CCCTGAGGCCGTCCACCAAGGCCTGCAGAGGGGGCTCTAGGGCCAGTTCTCTAAATTATGGTTAAGAGGGGCCGCGTTATAACAAGCACCTCAAAGGGGACCATATTTTAGAGAAGTGACCTTGTAGGAATGAAGGATGTTGAAGGTGTAAGGTTTAGGGTTGAGGGTTTGGGGAGGTTGGAGATTTGGGGAGGTCGGAGTTTATAGGGTTAGGGTTGAGGATTTAGGGTTCAAGGAGGGGAGTTTCCCAGCGGAAGAATACCTAAACCCTGGCCGTAGACCCTAAACCTTCAAACCTAAGCCTGAAAGAGAACTGACATCCAAGCCCGGGAAAGAAGAAAACCAAGCTCAAGCGTGCGGGCTTCTCGCAGCCCACAGCACACGCCATCAACGCCGCAACCAACTTGAAACCCTAAACCCTAAACGGCAAACCCGAAACTCTAAAACGCAGGGCTTTTCAGCCCGACACCCCGAAGCCGAGCTCTCGCGTACCTCCGCCTCGCGTCGGCGCGCTTCCTTGCCACGAACCTCGACCTGCCGGTGCTACGACGCTTGAGGCTCCGGGAATAAGGGGCTTGGCGTAGTTCAGGCTTAGGGTTTACAGGGGTGTCAGGGGTTTGAAGGAGGGTCAGGGCTACACTCAGAACTTGAATGTTTTTGAAGTTCCCGAAAACCTAGAATAGAAATCCTAAGGCCCTCTGACTTAAACGCTTAACCCCCAACAGCCCAGAACCCGACACTCCAAGCCTCAAGCCCAAAACCCACCGAAAACCCCGGAAACCCACAACGCAAAACTCCAAGCCTCATACTCCTAATTAAACAAAGCCCTAAATCCCAATTAAACCTCTAGCAGCCCCAAACTACAATATTCCACCCCCTAAGTCAAACCTATGTAGGCTGCTGATCTTGAAGCCACCCAAAAGCCCAAAGCACTCTTCATCCCTTGAATGCTGGCACGGGCCCGAGTTTCGGCTCGCGTCTTGAAGCCTCGCCGCATGGCCTCGCGACAGGATGGCCCGCTTCGATAGCATCAGGGTTTAAGGCCTCGGGCTGAGGAACCTGCAGGGGTCCTGGGGGGTTGAGGCTTGTTTGCCAAGTGGAGCTTGACTCCGAAGATGCCTCGTGCCCCATGGAAGCCTCCCAGACCCAAAGCACACAAGATATGAAGACAGATGCACTAAACCACCCTAACATGCAAAATCGCAAACATGAAAACATCCTCACCCGCGCCCACAGCCACACCTGAACCCTGAACCCTCAGCGCGGTCCCCGGAGGCCTCCAGAGCCGAACCTGATCATTTTAGTGTTTGGGGTCAAGGCTGCGGCTGGAGGGCTGGCTGGCTGGCTGGCTTCTTCGCAACCTTTTTCAAGGTTTAGGGGCGCTTCAGGGTGTTTTTGAACGTTTCTTCTTGAGGGTCTTTTGAAGGTCTAGGGCTTTTTCAGGGTGTTTTCATGTTTTGGGATTCTGTACTACTCATTGCTCAAGAAACCTCATAACATACAACATGGTCTTCGATATGAGGGCAAGATTGGGATTATTACCTTTTCTGTTTAGGGGTTCTGGAGCAGTTTGAAGGTTTCGGAGCTCTTTAGGGTGTATGTTTTTTGGACAAGGTTTAGGGTTGCTTCGGGGTTTTTGAGGCTTAGGTTGGGGGTTCTTCAGGGCTTTTGTGGGTTATGGGAATCCGGGCTATAGGGTGAAGAGTTATTGGGGTTTGTTTGGGGGTTGCCGGTATGTTTAGGGGACCTCTGCAAAAACTGTGAACAACAAAACACAACAAAAGAGAGGCGACCTGAGCTTGATTAATCTCCTAACAAACACCTTCCAAAACGAAGCCCTAGTTGTTGCAGGCCATCTAAATGCTAAACACTACAAACCCGATCAGCCCTGTAAACTCCACAAACACCCTATAAACCCTATCAACCCTGCAGACCCTATAAACCCTGCAAGCTCTAAAAACCCCAAAACCTTGACAAAACCATAAACCATGAACCCGAAGAATCCTGTATGTCTTTCAATTCTCTCTACTTCGGGGATCAAGATTCTGTCTAAGGGATCTGAGGGCTAGAGTTTAGGGCTTGGGGGCTAGGGTTTGGGGTTTAGGGTTTGGGGTTTAAGGCTAGGTGTGTAGGGATCTTGAACCTTGGGGTCCATAGGGTTTAGGAGTCCTTGGGGTTGAGGAAAGGGTCTCAGGGTCTCAGGGTCTCAGGGTCTCCGTTCTTGAGGTTAAGGGTTTAGGGCTTGGATTGAGGGTTTAGTGTTTAGGGTGCTGCCCCCCAAAAGCACTCGGCCTGACTTTTTCCGTATGTTCTCTTCGGCCGGGAGGCCATTTGCCAGGCCGACCTGAGAATGAGTAGGCTTTTTTGCGTTTAGGTCCTTCCCCCGCGTTCTCCATGTATGGCATCCCTAAACACGAACCCTGGACCCTATAAACCCCATTATAAGATTGAATACAACTACGGAGATTCAGCACAGGGCCTACACCTAAAATCTAAACCCTAAACCCTAAACCTTGGTAGCATGGCTTTTGGAAGCGGTGTCTCATATAGCGAGGGGTGTAGCATGCAATGGCTTCGAGCAGTTCGGCACATGACCCTAACACCCTCAACCCCGACACCCAAAGCCCTGAACGTGGAAACTTTATACCTCAACCCTAAACCCCCTGAAGCCACATAAAGCCATGTCTGAAGCGGAAAGAACCCTATCCCCTACAATAAACCCTTAACACTTCTAAACCCGAAAAAGCCGCAACCCCTACACCCCCTAAACCCTAAGTTACTAACCTCCACCCAAAATAAACCCCTACACCCCTCAACCCCAACCTCCTAAACCCTAAACCCGAGACCCTTCGGCGTGCTGGTTCTTGAGCTCACAGCGATGTCGCGCTTCAGCTTCAGGATCATCTGTGCAGGCTTGTAAGGCTTCCTGAACCCTAAACCCCCAAGGGTTTAAGCGTTCATGGGTTGTGACTTAGACTTTAGGGGTTTAGGGTTTTAGGGTTGAAAGTTTAGGGAACTTATACCCTAAACCCTGACCCTTTACAAATTAGGGGGGTGGGAGCTTGGATGATTCTGTGTTGGTCATGAAAACCTATTGGAACATGTAACTTCAACATGCTCTTCTAAACCCTAAGCCCAAAACACTAAACCCTAAACCCCAAACTTCGGAAATGTGAAAAAATCACCGGGGCCTGCCTAGGGCTCTGCGCATGTGCTCCCTTACCTTCATCAAGGGTTCTGAAGTATGGGCCCTTGGGCTTTGTAGGGAATATAAGTTAGGGGTATATGAGGGTTCCCGATATTAAGGGACCATCTAACATTACAAAGAATGTGGGGCCTCGAAGTTTACGGAAAACCCTAAAACCCTATAAACCCTATGAACCCTAAAACCTCGATGAAGACTCTTAAAAACAAAACTTATAAATCCTATAAACCCCCGAAAACCCTACTTCCTCCAGACCCTAAACCCCCCCCGAAACTGGCGGCGGCTACACCCGAAGCCCATCTGTCCGGCCTCCTGGCGCATGGCCTCCTTCTGCGGATTCGCCGACTTGCCCTGGAAGGCTTAGGCTTGGGAATTGTCCCTATATAAGCCGGGGTCTCGCAACTGAGGGTTTCAGAGTGGAGGCCCCGAAGCCCAAAACCAAACCACTCCGTGGATGGGTTTAGGGTTTAGGGTTGAGGGTCTTAGCCGGGAGGGCTTTGGGTGTTTTGATCGGCTTTTGGCTGACTTGCCGCTGTTTCACGATACTGCCCGCAGAGCCACAAAAAATGCAAAGTCTACGTAGGTTGGCCCTAACAAGCCTGTCGCAGCATTCTCGCAGCATGATGCCAGTGAGGGAGCGTACAAAACATTCCTAGGGCCCACTAGAACATTGTTAAAATTCATGAAAACAGTAATAATGAACATACTCTTGCTGTAAATAAACTACATGTTCAAAAGCCACGGTCGTTGAGGTTCTTCAGTTCTTCAACTAGACTAGACCCAGGAGTAACCTAGGAACAAAGATGGTACCCATTAGATTTACAGGGGCTTATAAGGGAAAGCTAAACCGTAAAGGGGAGAATCAGGGTATACTGTGGGTGCTAGACAGCAGGGCATGGAGCCATTGAATTGGGACATTGTAGGTTTCAGGGTTTCGGGGGTTGACCGGCAGTCTGTGGAATTTGAGGTTTGGGAGTAGGAGGTTGGGCCTTCGGGTACATCCGGGTAGATCCGAAACCCAACTCATGAAGGTCCAGGAAAAGGCTGAAGGCTGTAGGATGTTTATTGTGTTTAGGCGTCATGGGGTGAAGAGTTCAAGAGTTAGGGTTTTAGGGGTTTGGGGTTTAGTGTCGAGGAAAGGTAGGTTGGGGGGTGTCCCATTCTCTGTGCGTCGAAACATGAACCCTAAACCCCTGAACTTCTGAAACCCGAAATACGCCTAAACCCCTGACCCCTGAACGCCCCCCCCAGCCCCCTCGGGCTCCAAAATGTGGCCTTCTGTTTTGGAACGTCGGACTCCTGGGATTCGAGATCCTGGCAGCGCTATACTTCCTGCGATCCCAAGCACTTTAGGGTTAGAAAGGTGTTCGCTTATTGCATTGGCAACAAAGGACATGGAAGAAGGGAAGACACTATACTTCCGCGATCCCCAGCACTTTAGGGTTAGAAAGGTGTTCTCTTATTGCATTGGCAACAAAGGACATGGAAGAAGGGAAGACAAGCCCACCGAGAGATCTAGCTTTGGGCAACTTCCGCTGTTTTTGGAAGGAGGCTTTTGTTAAGGGCTGAGGCTTGTTTGGCGCTGCACAAACCCTGCCTGGTGTACTGGGCACGAAACCCTCTCCTTCCGTGCCGCGAGGCGAGCAAAACATTCAAGGGTGAGTCACTGGGGCCACCCATCCTTAAAAATTCTCAGTCGCCTAGCAGCCTGACCGATTTCATTGCCATATGCCTCGAATAGCTCCACAAACTTGCGGCTAGGTTGGCACCACGATGAATCATGGGGCCGGTGGCATCAAATTGACGATGAAAGAGACATGGGCAAGATCAAATCCTGACCATCGAGCTTCTCCATGAAGAGATTGAAATTCTCCTCGTCAATAGTCCTGTTTGGATGAAGCAGTCTAAGCAAGCTGTAGGTGTGGAAAGTACCATGTGTCTTGGTGTATGCATCATCCGCAGTAGCCCAGGGTGGCACGAACCAAGTGTCTCTGGTGTATCGTCGCCCGCCATCAAGTTGTGTCAGGGCCATGTAAGCCGAGCTCGGCTCGTCCTTTTTGGGAAATGGCTTTCCGGCAGAGGATCCAACAATCACGCAGCTATCTTGATCCTGCATACGTGCCGGGCAATAGAAACGCATTTGCGATTGAGCTAGTTCAATCCCGGCAAGCAGAAGACCGCCAGGGACAAAGGGCCCGATGCCACCGAACTTGGGAGCCGGAACGCCAGACTGGGCGGTGATGTCATACATGTTGACGTCCATTGCTCCAGTTGATGGCTCCCACAAGCTGGAGTAGCTGAAATCTATCCAGCCGGTAGGGCCCATCTGATCGAACATGTAAACACCCCTCAGGGGAGGCTGTTCATCCTCAGGACGCTGGGCCATCGGGCCTCTGGCGCCATGTTCAAGCAAGAAGCTTCGGATCTCCTTGTTCGGCACGGCCAAGGGTTTGCCATCTGCCGTCTTTGGGACATAAGCTGGCAGAAGGGCTCCGACCGCCGCACAGAGCGGCGTCACGTCCACCTTCACCAGTCCGGTGCCGACCAAAACGGCCAGCAGCGGAACGACCACGAAAGCGCAACAACTGCCAGTGAGCATCGTGGGAGCAACTGCAATCAATATTCAAGAGCCTAAGCCAAAAATGAGAAACTATGTGTCGTGTTGAAGGGCGCTTACTGGATCGGTGAGCAAATTGTAGACAGGCTAAGCCGGACAGGACTGCGAGCCACCCAGATCTGCAAGCCTCATCACAATCCTAAAGCAATTCGGTTCCAGTTGCTTAAGCCCTCTGAAAACTAAATGGACGTTGAAAGCACGCTCCTTCTACAACGACACCCACAAGCTTCCATGGTTTTGGGAGAATGGTATTTTAGGGCCTCGGATGTGGAAAAATTTGATATTTTGCAAGGTACCTTAAGCCCTAAACCTTAAACCCAGAACCTTCAGGGGTTGGTGGGATCTTGTTGTCTTCGCGATTTCAGTGGGTTTTAAGTTGGGTATCTCTAAGCCTTCTAAACCCTAAGCTTTGAACCCTAACCCTGCAAATCCTGAAAGTCAAAGGCTTGAAAGGCTTGGGCTTTACGGGGGGCGAGGGGTGTTTGAGTAGAGGGTTAGGGTTTAGGCTTCAGGTTTTGGAGGTGCATAGGGATGCTTTGGGGCTCCAGGAACCTCCCGAATTTCGCATGCCCGGAAGAAACGGGCCCCGTGCTTCTGCGTACATGATTCGCCGAAGTACAGTGCTAGACTTAGATAGGGCATGCAGCTCATCTGAGGGGATTCTATAAATCGTGGGCCCTTTTTGGGTACTCTGTACAAGGCTCCGTGTTATGGTAGGATGCCCCAAAAAGACCGGGGTTTAGGGTTTAGGGTTCAGCAGAATGGGTTTCAAGCTCAAACTGGACATGTCGCCAGGTCTTATCCCGCCCGAGCTCTAAACCTGTAAGCTCCTAAACCAACCCAGTGTGAAGCCTCGTCGTCCTCGTCGTCGTCATCGTCCTGCGTGCAGAGGGGAGAGGCCCGAAACCGCAGGCTCAGGGTTTACAGGGTTTAAGCTTGTTTTAGGGTTTGAAGCTGAGATCCCGGGCCTTGGGTTCAGGGCTTCTGGGGCTTCGGGTTTAAGGGTTTAGGGATTGGGATCTAGGGTTTTAGAGCTTAGGGGCTTTGCAGGCCTTTTGGGCTTTGTGTTGATGATGTCTAGGCGCAGGCACCCTCCTCTGGAACCTTTCTTGCCGCCGCCTTTCCTGGCTGGGAGCGAGGCATTCTCGCCCCGAGAAGGGCAAAAGGCTCAGTACTTGCGGTCCAAGGTTTAGGGTTTAGGGTGAAGGGTTTACCCTAAAGGTTTAGGGTTTATAGTGCAGGGCTTACCCTAAACCCTAAAACTGCCTGGTCCAACTACGTGTTCGGGGTAGAGGAGTTTAATGGAGTTTACATTTAGGGCTTCAGGTATGGCCGAAGGCCTGAGCAACCCCCCCGCCACCAAAAAAAAATGAAAAAAAGGAAAACTAGTAAACGTACATAGATTCTTCAAAGGTTTAAGGGGGCCTTAAGCGGGGCCTGAAGATTGGGACCCCATGTTAAGAAGCCATTGGGATCCTCAAAGGAGGCTTCAAGAGATCTTGCGGAGTTGCTGGGGCCCTCCCCGGTTAGGGGTTTGGGGCTGCAAGCGGGCCGTCGTGCGAACCTGGCGGCTGCGTTTGCTCATGTTTACTCAAAGCATGTCTCTTCAAATAATTTCTTCTATGAACCCTGGTCCCAGAACAATAAAATACACACCTAAACCCTATACGCTAAACCCTAAGCCCTAAACCCTAAGCCATACACCGCAAAGACCTGAACTGCTGGTGTGCCTGGCGCCGTAGACTTCTCGGCAGCCTTCGGCCTCGCTAGCGCTGCAGCTGCATAGCGCTTAGGGTGCGGGTTTTGAGGTTCTGGCGGCTTTGGGTGAGGGGTTTAGGGCTCAGGGGTTAAGGGTTTTTGGTTCAGGATTAGGCCCTAAATTTTCTGGGACCAGGAGCATGCGATCCTACTTGCCTGTCAATAGGTGCTATAGGAAGCCCTACCTGAACCCCAAGTACCTATGATTTTGCAGGGATGCAGGTATGCAGCCCCAACCAAGCCCTAATAAGAATTAGGGCCTGTGCTAAACAGTTTTCACCCGACACTTTGTTGTGTTACCTGTTTATGCGGGGGGGCAGGGGACGGCGAGGTTGGCGCCTCTTGGCGCTCTCCTCGTTTGCGGGAGCCGAGCGCTTGCCTGGCGCAGGGTTGGGGAGTGTGCTCAGCTGTCCGCTGGTTCAGGGGGCAGCTGGTTTCGGGGTCACAGGCCACAGGGGCAAGGCAGAGTGCGGTGCACTTGAAGGCGGATAGGTAGTTATAGGCAACCAGCTATAACCGTTGCAACTTGTACTTATAAACACCCCTCAGCCCCAAACCTAGAAACCTTGTTCTTAGAGCAATGGCCTTTCATGGGGATGATGCTCAGGGTTTAGGGTTCAGGGATTTGTGTAACACAAATGCTGCCAAGAAGGCTGTCGCGCAGGCTCTTCTTCTCGGCAACCTAGCAAAGGTCCAAGCTTGTTCCAGGGTGCATGGGGAGTTGTTCGAGTCTAAACTGGACTAAACCCCAAACCCTGACACTGGGTGCATTGCAGTGTCTGTCATCCCCAAAAAACGGGCACACGGTTCAGAACAACCCACACCTGGAGCTCAAGCTTAAAATTTGGATGAGGGGCTGATCGATTTTGGGCGTAGAGTTTAGGTTTAGGGTGGAGGGTCTAGGCCCTAGGCCAAGGGCTGAATCTGAAGGCTCTAGGGTTTCAGGATTCACGGTTGCCGTCAAGGATAGGGTTTCCACCATGTCCGGGACTTTTAAGGCCCCACCCAGATCCGTGGATCGCTGGCACCCATGTAGGCACGACAGCCGGTTTAGGTTTTAGGGTTGAAAGGGAGCCGAGCAGCCATACCCCAAAAGGGATGTCAAGTTCGGTTTGATAAGCAAGGCCACAAAAAGAAAGCCTGAACGCTCTGAACGTCAGAGCTTCGGCCCCATGGACCAAAGGGCCCAGCCCTGCAAACCTCCCGCCCCCTCCCTCCCCCTCCCCCCTCCCCGCCCAGCGCCTCCTCAGGATAGGCCACTTCTCGCAGGAGTCGTGGATCGTTAAGGACGTCGTGCCTGAGCCCGACCCGGGAGAGTGCTTTTTCCAGTTTAGGGTTTCTTGGGTTTAGGGTCTCTGGGTCTAGGGTTTCTACGGTTTCTCGAGTTTCTGGGGTCCAGAGTCTAGGGTTTAGAGCCCTCTGAAAATTGAAAACGATACCCAAGTACGGTATCCCTGACCCACAATATCTAACTACAAAATCTCCCAGTGCTGACCTAGGTTTATGGTTTGGGTGCTCAGGGTTGAAGTGAGACCACCCCCCCCAAGGTTGCCCTTTACACATCGGGGATGCCCTAAACTCAAAACTCAAAACGCAACACCCTAAAGCCCAAACCCTATACGACAAACCCTACACCCTGCTGTGAGACCCGCTCTATGAGTGAGGTGTACATGGTTGGCAGGGGCCAGGGTGGGGGGGTCGAGGTTGGCTGTCGCGTGGGTCGGGTCTGAAGTCCTCCACCCCAAGCCAGAGCGCTTGAGCTCCAGGCGCGCTCTTGACCTTTCCTCCTGGCAGCGATGATGACAGCGCGAGCTTGGTTTGCGGCTTGGTGCTTTCAGAGTATAGTTTAGGAGTTGAGGGTTTTGGAGTTGAGGGGGTAGAGCACCCCATGATTACATTTTGTGCCCATGGTCCTGCTTTGGTGTCCTCCTGCTCCTCCTCTTCGCTGCAGTCTTCCTGAGGATGTTGCAAGGTGTGCCCGAGTGCCGGAGCTGGGGCTATGTAAGGGCTTCATTAGGGCCTTTTTTCGGGTTTGGAGTTCAAGACCAGGGCCCATAAACCCTAAACAACCCAAAGCCCTAAACCAAACACACAAAAACCTGTAAACTCGCATCCACTCTGACAGCTTCTGGACTTCGGGCTTAGGGCTTTACAAAAACACAGCCTCGGGGTCCTTCATTAAGAGCCCACAAAGTCAACACTTTTGTGCAGGCCATTTGTCGTTGGGTCATTGTCATAGGTCCCCTATTGGGGTATCCTAGGGCTCTGTATCGCAAGAGGAAGCCCAATAAGGGGCCATGATGTAGAGAACTGCTGTAACTCCTTGTAGGATGCTTAGGTGGACAATGAGGCTCTCGGTCCTTCAGGTTCACTTGCCTGCTTGAAGAGGAATAATACCCTACGCTAGGTCCCGAGGTTCAGGGTTTGGGGTTGAAATTTAGGTAAGTCCTAAACCCAAGCCCGAAAGCCTCAGGCCCACTTCTGAAGAGTCACCTCGAAAGCTGCAGTCGCTTAACGCCCGGCAACACACCCTCGAGTTTTGAAGGCTCAGAAAAAGGGTGGTTTAGGGTGCTAGGGTTTAGGGTCTGGGTTCTAGGGTTCAGGGTTGGGCTTCCACCGAAGACCGTCCTATCCAGGACAATTTGCTCCCAAACAGCCGCAGCTGAGAGCTGCGGCGGCGAAAGAGAGAACATTCTTCTTGTGGACTGGGGCGCGCCTGTTTCGTGGAAACAAAGGTGCCTTAGGGTCGAGGGTATAGGGTGAAAGACATGTCCAGGGGTACCAAAGTCGCTATCTTGCTAGTTCTTCATAGAGAGTGCCGGACATCGGTACCTTATATCGTTTCAAAGCGGTTTCTGAGCCGCTGCGTTTTGGGGGTTTTCGCAATCAGGCCAGAATTGCTAAAAGCGCAAAAACAATGTTAAACAAATGCAAAACACAAAAAATATGAACTTTGCAAGACTCTTGAGAGAATAGGAACACCGACAACCAAGCAAATCAACAAAAGAAGCCCAGCAAACCAATTCCCAAAGAACCAAAAAAAAACAATACAAAAACAAAAACCGGGACTCTGTGAAAGCTGTAAGCTTTACAGTCAAAAGTCCCAGAAAATTGTTTTTTTTTTTGTTTTTTTTTTGTATTGTTTTTTTGGGACATTTCTTTTGGTTTCAGTGTCCCAAACACATAATGTGGCAGGTCCTGGCTGCTTGCTCGGAGTACAGTTTGAACCTATATTATACATATATAACTTTTCCTAAACCTAGGTTTCGTACACTTTTTGTAGTAAGAATACGATGCGCCATTGCTTGGGATGAGTATCATGTAAGACCTTATGTGCTTGTGAGTCTTGCGGATGATTTGAAAATGAGCATTATCCTTGAAAAATGACAACCATGTTGGGAGACCTGTGGAATGGAAAGCATTGAGATTGAAAACAAATGCTTGTAGCAGCCTGTTGGAAGGTCCCAGGAAGTAGTGAAAGCATATTTGCAGTATTCTCGCGTTTTTTCTTTTTTTGGCGGGGGGGGGGGGGGGGGGGGGGGGGGGGGTTGCAGTAAAAGACTTTTTTGCGTCACCCTAGGCGTACCATCCTTCCTTCTCCATTAATAATTTGTCTTTGAGAAACAAAAACACAGTACCCTATATGCATACGTGATATGTGTACTTATTCTGCTTTTTCTTTGCGTTTCCACAGGAGGCAAGCCCTATTTATGCTTCAAGCCCCACAGGGTGACAAGGTTCAATTCCTATAGGTAACGCTAGATCTTCAAATCCTTTAGGGTTTCATACATACATACATACATACATACATACATACATACCCCGTGAGAGTTTGAGAGGTAAACGCCCTAAGCCTTTAAACCCTGTAAGGTGTAAAGTTTTAAACACCTAACGTCTGGGCATTTATGCCTGAGCGCCTATAGGGTTAACACCTTTGAACCCTTTAGAGCCCTATAGGGTTTCTCTATGAGCTTAGCTTTACATACCTAAATCTCGTCCCCTAAACCTTTTTATCTTAACCCTACAGACCCTACAGAGTTTAAAATGTTCGCCGAAATGTGAACCTAAAGGGTTTAGGGAAAAAGGTCTTCATGCCTAAGCCTTAAAACCTTTAAGGGTTAAACTCTATGAGCTTCGGTTTACATGCCTAAATCCTAAACCCTGAACCTTTAAATCTTCACCCTGTAGGCTTCGATCGTGAAAATATCACAACAGATGGCTTCAAGAACATGGCCCGACTTTTCGTAGTTCATTAGGCCAATGGCCTGACTTTCGTCATTGCTTGGGTAGAAGCACCAATGATTCAGCGCGGAGGCTTGCAAAAGGAAACATACGCTTGATATACCCGGGAAAAAATGTCGTTGTGTATTTATCTCTTAAATATAGCAGAAATAGTACATCTCGGCGCGAGACATGGGATTTGAAGGTTGTTTTCTGCTTTCCGTTTATGGAGGCGGGAAGTCACGCAGTAAAACCCCCAAAACGCAGCGGCTGAGTTCCCGCCTTGAACCCTCATATCTTATCTTAGGGTAGGTTCATGTTCCCTTAATATGGGCCCTTAAACGGGGACCCTTATATAGGGCCCATACTTGAGAACCCTTCAAAGCAGGTAACGGCCCATGAAGGGACCATGCAACTACCCTGCCTTAGATCTTATGTAACTCTTTGAGGGACTACGCAGGCTTCCCACAGGCAAAAAAGTGCATAAGCAACCAGATTCAAGATTCGGGGTGTGCAGATACTTCTCCTAGGGCTCCTCCTGAGCTAAGTTCCCTAAACCCTAAACCTTAACCGAAACTTATCCTTGAACCGCACCAAAGGGCGCTGGCCTGTGCTCGTCCTTGTCGCCTTTCAACGCCTTCGCAGGACCACCCACCTTGTAGCGCCTGAGTGCAACGAAGGCGGAAACCCTCATCAGAAGCTCTACGAGAAGCGGGTTTAGGGTTTGGGGTTTAGGGTATTAAGGTTTAGGATTTAGGGTTTAGGGTCTAGGGTCCCCAAATCCTTGCAAACCCTTGCAAGCCCTAAACCGTCAAGGCCCTAAACGCTGAACCCTAAACAGCTCCAATCTGCAAACATGAAGAACAAAACCCCCACGTTCCATAGGTTGTTCTCAGGTGAGGCCTTCTTCTGCGCATACCTCTTGCAGAAATGGGTACCCAACAAATGTTCAGGCGAAGACCGAAATCTGAACCCTAAACTCGACCCGAACGCCGATATCTGAGCCCAAGGCCTCCCCCCCAAAACAATCCTAAAAGCCCTTTATGAACCCTTGGCCTGCTAGACTCAACCCCCGAACCCTGGCCCTAAACCCTAAACCCCTAAACCCCTAAACCCCTAAACCCCCAACCGCCCCCGACATGCTGGTGCAGTGGCGGCTCGAGGTCGCCGAATGGATCCCAAACCAACTCTGCCCGTATTATCCTGGCATTCGGAAAGTTACGGTTTATTTTAGGGTTTATGATGCTTATGCAATCGGTCATGCGGACTGTCGCGAAGCGAGACACTTGGCGACTAAACGGTTTAGGGTTTAGGATTTAAGGTTTAGGGGACCCTAAAACCTATATAGTTCTGCGCAGGACTCTACGTTATGCCCTAACCAGCAAAACTCTAAAAACGCGAAAGGTGGATATGGTGAAGGGCTTGCGAGATTTCGAGGAGCCGAGCCGAGGGGGTCCAAGAATCAGACTCAAAGCGTACCAGACCGCTGAGGGTATCTCGAAAATGTATCCTCTGTAACGGGCTTCGTGGAAATTGGCTCAGTAGCAGCAGCGCAGGGTACTAAATCCCACAAACCCCAAATCCCAAATTGCAGCTACGGTCTAGTTTGGCGGGGTTCTCTATTAGAACCATGAATGAACGAGTTTTTCCCTTGGGGATCGGGGATTTCTAGGGACATGGTTCTATGGCCGTTTCGCTGCGGTTTAGGGTTTGGGTAGGGGCCGGGGTTAAGAGTTGCGAAGGAGTCAGCCTCAACCCCCAAGCCCAAAACCTTCCCAACCTCGAGCCCACGAAAACTACGAAGTCGTCCTCGGGGGATCGACGGGGATGTCGTTCTTGTCGACCTTCTCAGGTGCTGCGGAAGACGAAGGTTTACCCTAAACACTAAACTCCAGAACCCTAAACCCCAAACCATGCTCCGGGGCTCTCACAGGGCTTTTCAGGGGACTGCCATCATGAATAGGGTTCAGGCAAACGGTTTAGGGAAGGCACGCCATGTGACTCTTGGGTTCATTTAGGGCTTGCTCTACGCGGACCTGAAGGGGTTCGGGGGGTTTCTGTAGGGAGCGGGGTTCAAGCGTTTCAGACTTAGGGTCTAGGGCTTAGGGTTCTTGAGGGGTTTAAGGGGGGGGTATGTAATCCAAGGTTCCCGAACACTCCCCACTACTCCCTGAAGCTCCTTAAGGTTCCCTGAAAATTCAAGGGTTCTGCAGCATGGGCCCTTGGGTTTTATAGGGTACATAAAGGTTTTTGAAGGTTCCCCAATAATGAGGGGCCCATAAAACGGAGCTACCCCACTTTACGCGGCTTACGAGGTCAGTGTCCGTGTCTCTGTGTGCATGTGCGCGTGTGTGCGTGTGAGCGCGCGTGCGCGTCGGGGGGGGGGTGGAGGGTTCCAGGGGGGTGGGAGGGTTGTGGGCTTTCAGGCGCATACAGGGCGTTGTCCGCCTTATAGCCTATGCATTCTAGATGCGGAGGCTCCAAAACTGAACCCTTTAAGCCCTCAGCCCTAATCCTACACCCAGGTCCTACACCCTACAACTCTCGGGACCCTACCCTCTGACCCTCACCTCCCCTCCCTCATGACCCTAAACCCTAAACCCTAAACTCCAACCCTAAGCCGAACCCCCCTCAAAAAAAACAGAGGCGGCCTCGACCTCGTTCAGGCGGACGAGGTTGTAGATCGTCTGCCCCACCACCTGCTTTGGGGTGGGAGTTCACGATTCAGGGTAGTTTAGTAGGCTTTAGGGTTTAGGGTTTAGGGGGCTTGGTGTTGTTGCGGGTTTGAAGGGCTTGAGCTTGAGCTTAGGACCTCGGTTTTTACGGCTGAGGTTTGGGTTGAAGGGCTTCACCGACATCACGCAGGTCGCTGTCAACTGTCAGCACTGCGTCCGAACAAATATACTGCCCCCCAACATGATGACCTTAGAGGCAGTATACTTGCAACATCTTCGGGACTATCATGCGGTGATTCAACAAGGCCAGCTGAAGTTGTTGTCAGGGTATGCTGGGGTTGGGACTCTTATCCTTTAACCCCTAAACCCTAAACCAACCCCACTCCGCAGCCCGCAGCCTTTCCGAAGAGGGTGTGCTTGCCGTCCAAGGAGGGAAGGCGGCCCATGGCGATGAAGAACTGGCTGCCTCATCTGCGCGTCAAACTGCACACGAAGATTCCTAAGCCCTATAAACCCTCTCCTAGACCTGACTTGCGGAGGGCCTATGGGGAGTCCATGGTGGTCCCTGAGTTGCAAAGTCCGGCCTCTGACGAACTCAGAGATATAAGCAAGGACCCTCTAGAGTGTGTAAGAGTTTAAGGTGTTGTTATTAGAGTTCTAAGATGTGCTAAGGCTTCAGGGTTTCAAAGATGTAGGGTTTCAGGGTAGGGCACAAATTTACCTTACTTGGTCTTTACCGCATTTGGGTTTCCTCTGACCCCCAGGTACCCTCAAGCAGGGTGATGAGATCATGCAGCTCCAGAGGAGTTTTGGGTTTACATGTTTTCGGGGATATGGTGGCTCCGAGTGTTGGACCGTTTGTCTTTGTCCCTCTGCCGGCACTGGCCACACCCATCATGCCGCGATACCTGCCACTGCGCAAATGGGCTCTCGGGAGTATTTAGGGTTGAGTGTGTTCCGCGTCGAGACAAGACTGACCTGTCTAGTGTCTGAGCAAGAAACACTGAGCCTTAACCCAGAAACCCACACTTTGCCCCTACGTCTTTACCCAAGCCCACAACACCATTTAACCCAAACCACAAGTGGTTCGGGTTCAAAGGTTTGGGGGGCAGGATTCACAGGATGAGATGCTGACAGTTCCTAGACTTCACCCGCCTGAACTTCAGCCGAGGATGGACTTCGTCGGGGTATGGCTGGCCATAAATGCTCTCGCAGCCATCACCCGTGCCGGTGGCATCTCCGCCCTGGACCTCTTGGCTAGGATTTAGGGTGTAGGGTGTATCGTTCAGGGAGCAGGGTCGGTCAGGCCTAAACCCCATAGACTCCAAGCCCTCAATCATCGAATCCCACCTTATAGACCCCAAAAGACTTCAGTCTCAGGCCTCTCATGTACATTATCTACAATCCAAAAACTGGTGTTGCGGGATTCTAAGGCAAACCCGAAAACAATTCTCAAGTTACCTACATGCTAACCGACATGGCTGACCAACCCGGCACCCTGAACCCCATCAGATCCACCTGAGACCCCAAACGACCTCAAGCCTCACCCCCCCAAACCCTGTAGCCCGAATCCCTTGCAAAGAATACAAACCTAACACCTCTATCAATCTCATCAACCCTAAACCACAACAAAAACTGGCCAAGGAGCCAGGAAGTCGCGAATCACTCGGTGAAAGGTGGTGCCGTTGTAGTACCTTGGGTGGGGGGGGGGGAGGGCAGGCTTGAGGATTTAGGGATTTTCCTGTTGGGCTAAGGGGATTGGGGTTTTTAGATTTACGAATTCAGGGTGTGGTTTTGGTTTGGGGGGCCAAGGTTCGGTTTGGTGGCATTTTAGGGTTTAGGGCCTCAGGGTTCTTGGGTTTTTTTTTGAGTCTTGCTTTGGGCCTGTGGGCTGCAGGGGTTTAGCTTGGGAAGAGGATTGAAGGGGGTCCTCAGATCGGCCTTTGGGTGTGAACTCATGTGAACTCCAAACCACAAACCTTCGAAGAACATGTCCCATGCTCAGCTATGCACCCTTCCAGAATCAGCTGGCAGAAGTTTCGACAGGCCTGCAGCACTGGAGCCTACCCCCAAACCCTAAACCTTAATGAAAGGAGGCGACCTCAAGAAGCCAACGCCTACCTTTTTTTTGGTAGGGTTCTTATTTGGGTTCTTAAGGTCAACAACCCCTAAACACATGCTAAACCAAAATCTACCCCCGAAACTTGAACTTAAATGAAAAAGGGATGTTGAGGGCTTTGGGTTTTGGGTTTTATGGTTCAGGGTTGGATTCTTCTTGTGCTGAAAATTTAGGGATTTAGCGTCCCAGGTACGTAAAACAAGAATGAGAAGGGTACTGTTGCTTGATGGAGAGGGGGATATGGGCAGCACCTAGTTCAGTAGGCCTTCGGGCTTCGGTGGATGTTTCTTCCAGTTCTGTGACGCTAAGCCCTAACCTTTACACCCCCACACCCAAAACCTTAAATCCTAACCCCCCCCCCCCCCCCCCCCCCCCAAAAAAAAAAAAAAAAAATCCTAAACCTCAGGCCTCCAAAAAAAGGCCTGAACCTTCAACACCCCAAACTTCAAGCCACAAACAAGCCCTGTAAGGCTTAGGCTTCAGGGTTTGGGTTTGAAAGCTCTGTCAGCAAGAATGCGACTGCTTTCCCTGACCTGCGCTACCTTTTGGGGTAGGGCTTAGGGTTTGAGGTTTAGGGTTTAGGGCATTCATTAGAAGCTGGACTGTTCAGGAACTTCAACAAAGTTACCAGAAGAAAGTTCCTTAACAGAATCCTTATTGGACCATATTATAAAGACTGAACTGCCTTTCGCAGCCCGAGGCTTTTGGGCTTGGGGCTGAGGAGCGAACCAGAACCGAAACAAAAAACGAGGGTGTCCGGGTTTAGGGTGGCTTGTGATCAAGACCAATTGTAGCCCGTTGCTGTGGATGCCCTTAGTTTTGGGAGGGCTCAGGATCTCTTTGGCAGCAGGGGCTTAATAATTCGGGTTCCCGAACCCTGAATGCTAAATCAATGGAACTTGGATTCGAAGCCCTAGACTCCTAGACCCTATAAACCTGAAGGCACAAGTGTGGCCCCCTCCTTGGGCGTCTCTGTTGCCCAGAGCTCAATCTCCAGGTCGCCTGAGCACTGCCAGGATGCTGGTTCAGGGCTGCAGGCTTGTACAGATTCTACGAGAAAGAGAGAAAGAGAGAAAGAGAGAAAGAGAGAAAGAGAGAAAGAGAGAAAGAGAGAAAGAGAGAAAGAGAGAAAGAGAGAAAGAGAGAAAGAGAGAGAGGGTGAGAGCTTGTATGAAACGGAAGTCGGGGAGGGTGCCGTGGCTAACTATACTGACAGAGTTGAAGATAGCTCACCAGCTACAGTACAGAAGAGCAGAGGACTCAACGGTCCAGCCGATTACAACAACAGCGGTGGTTCTCAGCGGCCTTGATAACCATGCATCCTTATTGCTACTCTGGCTGTTCAATCATTGGGGCATGCGACGGAGCTCTATCCTTCTGTCAAGGTGATAGAATATGGTTGCCTTGCTGCATATCACTCTCCGCATCTGCCCGTCCAAAAGCGGCACCCCAAACCCTTCTCAATAGTCCAAGCCTGACTCAGGCTTGTCAGCATTCCTTTTCCACACCCTTAAATTTTTCACCCTGCTCCACACCCCAGGCCCTGCATCAGCTCGCTGCTTCCCATGTCATGTTTAGCTCCCCGCCATGCGTGGTCTGCAACACGGCCTTGCCCTTTGTGCCTGGCTCCTGAAAGGCGGGGGTTGGGTGGGCATTTTGAGCCTGGAATTCTAGCTCACCCCTACACCCTGATGCAGAAATCTTGGACTGAACATCCAAATCTCTTTTAGGGTCTGGGGCTTGTTTTGGCTTTCGGGGACGTGGGGGTGAAGGGGCCAAACCACAAACCGTTCAAGTAAGGCATATAAACGTCATAGTCCCAAGCCCGAAAGCTCTGACCCCTGTGGCGAACTGACGAAGCGAAGGGTCCTTGATGTAGACTTCAGACATGGCACACAGGAACGGGCACTGCTGGCCGTTAGCTGCGCGTGCAACGTCAGTGCTGATGATACGTGATGTAAGGTTGGCTGGTGGTGTGTGAGGGATTTTGAGGGACTGTTAAAGGTAGGGCCCTAAATTTGTAAGCCCTACATCTACAAGCAGTGCTGCCCTTAAACAAACCCAAGAAGGCTTCGGGCTGTGCATGTTGCGCCAGTGTGCGCTATGCGAAGCTTGAGGATCTGTGGGCCCAGACGCATTCAAACCTCTGAGGCTTTGAGGGTTAGGGCTTTCAGCACAGTGTTTCCCTGGAGTCCTCAAGTGGTCATGAAAGGCTCTTGACACTCGGATTAAGACAATGAGTCAATTACTGTGGACAAGGACGTCGAGAGAGGGCTGTGGATTTGGAGACGGGTCCTGGTTCAAGGCTAAGGACCAGCGCAAGGATTCGCCATTGAGTTATGTGGCAAAAGCCGGCGGAGCCGCATCTAGAACCTAGAATTGACACTGCTGACTATTGATTGGCCTTCTCTTCGGGTATGGCTGAATTTTGCACTTCTGGCAGCGCCCTCATGCAATTGCAGCTGTTCATCGCCGCTTCTGTGCTTTCAAAAGCTCCACACGGCTGCCAGAAATTTTGAGGAGCTTCCAGGCCGGTTGAGCAGCCGGCTGCGGGGCTGCACTGCCACTGCCCAGCCAACAGGCCGAAGGACTTTCTTGCAAGCGCGGGTGAGGGCCGCAGCAGCTCTCGATGCCAACCATGTCTGGCGCGCCTTGCAATGTGTCCAATGTGCTGCTATCGCTCTTCTTGCTGCACGACTTGCCGCACTTGTACTGTAGCCTGCTGAGATCAACTCCTTTTGCCTGTTTGCCCATTTCCCGAAACTCAACTACTGATCCGTGTCGGCCCATCTCCCGAAACTCAACTACTGATCCGTGTCGGTTTTACGAACTGCTCTATGCTGAGCTCTTGTCCTGTGACATAAGGGTCCTTTGCTGTCTCTTCTGCCGCGCACGCAGCACATCCAGACCGGAGCGCAGAGTTCGACTCTTAAGGCCGCACTTAATGTATATAGATCACACCGGCCGAACTTTAGGCATACATTCCGTCAGCCCAGCTTCATGGTTCACTTAGCAAACAAGTCCACCTGTCACGCATGAGCGGACACTCTCGAAATTTTGCGGCCTGAATACTCTTGCTGCTACAGAAAAGCGATGAACTGGAAACTCTACGCTGCCAGGCCGGGTAGCTGCAAAAGACGCCCGGCTTGGCTTCGTGTCTGCTACGTGTCTCCACGCTCGCGCGCATTCACCAATCTTTGTCGTGAAATGCGCGTGCAGGTCACCTGTGGGCCGGGAACGCTGTCTCCTGGCCAACAGGAAGCTGTAACATAACGAACTATGAAGAATGGAAGAATATAGTTTGTATTCATAGCGATACATATTTGGAAAGAGTTGTCTTTGTCTGGGACTTGGTGAAGCATCGCCGTGAGGCCTGCACTGGAAACCAGGTGACCATCAAGCGAAGCACCTGGTGCTCAGGATGTTTTGAGTTTATGGTTCAGGGGCTTATAGGATGTAGCTGTCAAAAGCCTGAGACCAATGACCTGCGCCATGTTCCATTCAAACATGAGTGCTAAACCCAAGCATCGAATTCCAACCCGACCCCCCCCAAAGCCCTCCTGTTTGATATCGCGACTTGCTCCTAGAATTGGGGCCTGCAGGGTAGTCATTCCTGGGGCCCCAGCTGTCTCCACAATCGAGAGTGGCAACCTCAAGAAAAATCAAATGGGTCCACATGATGAGCTGGCAAAAGGGCCCGTAATTTAGATCAACCCCTGAACAAATCTTGTCCCCGGTTTTGTTAAGGGAATCCCTGTGATCTCTTTACTTTCCCCTTAACTCTTAGAAGCCCAAAGCACAGGGGGGCCGAGGGGGTATCATCTCGCATAGTCGAAGGCCCTGGCTATCGCAACCCGAAATGAATAGCACTTCGCCTTGAAACCTTTCAAAGCCCTTACGGCTTTGTAACCCAACTTCGGGCTTTGACTCATTGGCCCCCTGAACCTACTGAGTCTTCACATCCTCCCATCTACCCCGCGGGATATGAGGAACCTAATTCCCTCATTCCCTGCGAAGAACCAGTAGGTAAACCGTAAACCCAAGACCGGAGAAAAGCCTGTTCTTTCCGAGGCCGTGGCAAAGCGAGGTTGTAAGGAAACGGCAAGCTGAAGCCATGCCTCTGCAGATGAGTGGGCATGTTGCCTTAGGGGGGCTTAGGGTTCTGGGGAGCTTACAGCTTCGGACTTAGAGGGTTCAGGGTTTTCGGAATGAGGGTTTCTTGAGTCTAGAGGCGGGTGTGCCTGTTCCCTTTTTTTGTTTTTGTTTTGTTCTTTTTTTCGTCATTTTTTTGTTCGGGGGGGGGGGAGGGCTGGAGGGTCAGATGGGCTTCGTGCAGGCCAGTCTTGTGAATCCTGAGCCTCTTATATAGGGGTCGAATAATTACGAATAGTATTCTCTTATGGTCCCTATATCATTATACGATTTTAACCTAATCTGATTCGAATTAATTAGGGCCCCTGTATTAGTGCTCAAGCGCCGGGATCTGGACTTGAGAATGTCCGGAACCCTTCAAACCTTGCACCCGCAATTGGGCTTCTAGGTCCTGTAAAGTAAATAAAGTTCAGCGGCGTTTGGGCCCAAAAAGTGCAGTGCATCGTAGGTGTTCTTCTGCGTGCAGTTGCCGAAGAACAGAAAGCTCTGCATTCCTAGCCTTGCCAGGGAATGCTCGCAACAAGCGGCGTGTACTTTGGAGCTTCGGGTTTTGTTTAGTAGGGTTGGGCGTCGGTTTCAGTCTGGAACGACCCAGTGATCAAGACGCCAAGGCCCCAAAGTCTCCCCAGGTCATGACCCGGAGCCCTCGAGATGCTTGAAGCACAAGACAGGCAAACCCTGAAACATCCTCAATCCGCAGCACTCTCAAAACCCTGAAAGCAACCTGAAATCAACCCGAAACCCGTGCCCTCAAAACCTTGTCAAGCCTCGAAGAAACCCTGAATCTTGGAGCACCCCCACACACCCTGAACTGTCGGGCTTCTTCTCTGAGTCGGACGCTTGAGCTGAAACCAGATGCCCGCAGCAGCCTCAGTTCGACTCGGGCGAGTCTTCAAAATTCTAGGAGTTCAAGTGTTATGGTGCTTTTCTGGCTTGTAGGAGTTTAGGGCCGAAGGTCCTCTGGGCTGACTGTGTAGACGCACCTAAAAAAACAATCAGGGGAGCACCAGCGGAAGACCGACCAGCTCGTCGATGATGCTCTCGTCTGGGTTGAACCTCGGAAGAGCCCCCCAAGCAGCCCAAGCGCAAAAACCCTTGTAGCTTCAAAAAACTAAACGCGAAACCCCAAACCATTTTAAGCAAAAAGGCCTAAGCCCTAAAGCCCTACAACCCCAGGCCCAAGCCCTGAAACCCTACAACCCTATGAGCCCCAAATACGCCCTAGCAGATATGCACGAGTCGATATTGATAAAATGTGCATTGTAAATGACTCGTTTATCGTGTGAAAAGCATATCGAACCTTGATGCACATCAGTTATGAATTATGTTGAATCGAAAATATAGTATCTAGTTACAAAAACATGTCGAAATGCGTTCTTATCGAAATAACCGAATATATAACAGAAACATTTATAGCCACACACATAAACTATCAAAATTATTTTTACAAATTTTACAATTACATAATTTCGAATAATTATTATATGATATATTGTAATGTATTGAAATATAGTTTCATATTTCCACTTCGTAAAAATGATGATACTAATGTAAACGGTGGATGTTATGGTTGGTTAAGTTCAATAAATTGTAATGATATTAGCTTTGAATTTATTATTGTCTATTTGTCGACTGCTTTGAGAACATATACACATAAACAAGTTTAAAAGTATGTTGGGGATATAAGCCCAGAGAGAACAACGAAAACACACTAACACCTGAGAACCGAAAATCCGCAACTCACGTGGCCCTTTTCATGGGTGCGGGGCTTCTTCTTGCAGCATCTCCCGCCAGAGGCCCAGGAGAAGCCTCGACAGGGCACTTGGGGTGGTTCAGTTAGGGTTTAGGGCACGTGGCTTGCAGGGCGTATAGGGTCTGGGGCTTCTGGGCTCAAGGTTTGGGCCACAAGGGCCCCTGAAGCATTTCGCCGCAGGATTTCCTTCAAACAGAATGCCTGAACCCGAGACCGGCTTTAGGGTTTAGGGCTATTTAGGGTTTAGCGTGGTTTAGGGGCGGTCGTATACGAGGGCTTGTGATGGTTGATGCCCAGACAGTCTAAGCACTGGCGGTGTCTACATCGGATGTTGCGGGCTCAGGGGCGTTTCGGGTTGAGGGCTGCTTTGGGTTGGGGTTTCGGGGTGGGAGTTTGGGTTTTGGGCTTCGGGTGTTGGGGGAACGCTGGGCGGCTTGCGCCGGGATGTGTCAGAGCAAGGAGTCTTCCAAACTCTCAAAGACTCAAAGAGCATGAATTAAAAAACAGGCTTAATTTTATTAGCTAGGGTTCCCCTAGTAACTCTAAGGGTTACCCTTCTTACAACTCAGTTTTAGCAACGAACCACAAAACAATAACGGGACCTATTAGGGGTTCTTCAGCCTTTCCTTCTTTGGGCAGGGGCCGTTCTTTGGGCAGGGGGTGTGGGAGGGCCTTGATTACCAAAAGATCCCACAAGCACAGCCAAATACGCCGGGGCCTTGGACCGTGATCATGATGACCTTGGCAGGCCAGCTTCGGACTGAGTAGGGGAAGGTCCTGCAGTCAAGGGGCTGAGAGTTTGTTACCACCCACCTCAAGCCACCCAAAAAACCCTAAACCATTCCTGCCCCGCCTCCCCCCCCCCCCCTCATGCAAACTCCCGCCACCAAAAAACGATTACAAAACGCGAGCAACACAACCACAACTCCCAAAACACCTCAACCCCGACAGCCCAGGGGCTCGAGCCACCCGCACGGGCTTCAGGCAGATCCCGAGCCAAAACATTCATTGCAGAAAGATCTTAGGGGGTTTAGAGTGTTTAGAGGGTTTACTTTCTGCCCAGCTAAAGTGCCTAGTCAGGCTTGGGCGGGCTTCGTGTTTACTTCTGGGGCCCACCATGTACAGTACCCCAACGCCCGTCTGCGCCCTCCACCTCTACCGTCAACCCTGAACAAACCCAAAACAGGCTGAATGTTTACCTGACCCAGAGGGCCACTTGTAGTACGATTGGTTACCCAAAAGCCCTATTTAGTCGGGTTTCTGGTCACCGAATACCATAATATGGTACTACAAACGGACCGTCACGGTGAGGCATGTAGCCCTGAACCCGAAGGTTACAGGTAGTCCAGTGCAGCCCGGTTCACACCGGCGCCCACCAAGCTGGCACCTGACTGGGGGCAAGTTGCTTGGGCTCTTGCTGCGGTTCAGCACTCTTGCACTGCTATGGTTTAGGGTTTACCGGGTTTAGGGGGCTTGGCTGGAGCAACCGTGGGTTCAGGGAAACGAGAAAAGACTCTCAAGCCGGGTTCAGACGAGAAAAGAATCCAAAGCCAAACCCTACGCCCTACACCCAAAACCTCAAACTCGAAGGCCCAAATACCCCCCTTGGTTGCTCCCCAAAAGCTCTGGCGGCCTAGCAGGCCACTCTGCACCGCACTGATGACCTCCTGGCAGAGTTGGTGTCTGCAGGCCCTCAACCCCATTCAGGGTTTTGGCTTGGGGCTTGCAGGGTTGCAGGGTTGTAGGGTGCTTGGGTTTAGGTCTAGGACTGTTAAGTCCAGGAAGGCTCCGCGTCTGAGTCTTTGCTGTGGTCTCCGATCGCAGGTCAGTCATGAACCTGCGCTAGAATTGATTAGCACGTTCCTCAGGCCAATTTTCAAGGATAAGGGCTTGCAGTAGTTTTTTTGGGCTTGTGGCTTAGGATTTGGGAATGAACGCTAAAGCCGAACGAAAAAACACTAAACAACTACAAGCCCGAAGCCCTAGACCCTCAACTAAACGCTTAACCACCCGAAACCCTGGTGTTAAGGGGCTTAGAGAACATCCAGTCGCCGAAGCCCTGCAACTCCCGTGAGCCGTGAGTTGCACAGAGCTGACTTTTTTTCCGTGGCCTGCAGGGTTCAAATAAGGTTAATCGGGACGTTTTATAGGGACGTTTATAGGGGAGTTGTGAGGGACCCCTGCCTGCAACTTCCAGGCCAGGTGCACGGCAAAGGCCTGGAGCCAACGGGGGGATTTTCGAAGCCAATTCACTGAGGCGTGTTTAATGGGCCCTCTATACAACCAAAAAACGACCGCTAAATGACTCCCCGAACCCCCCCAGTTTGTTCCATTTTTGGGGCTCAATTAGGTGGGTAGTGAAGGAGTGCTGGTCTCTTCCTTTGAGTACCTACAACTCATAACCCTAGTCACTAGTCCCAACTGCCTATGAGCCGGTAACATTCAAGTAAACCACCGAATGTAACATACGTTTCTTAAAAAAGCAACTATGTCGGCTGTCCGGGATGGGATTCGGCCTTTAGCGAGAGGTTGATGATCTGGTTGATCCACTTGTGGTAGTCCTGCCAAGGCAAGGTGTGGACCCCCTCAAGAGCTTCAAGCCCTAAATCCTACAAACCCTCAATCCTAAGCCCCTTTAAACCGTAAACCCTGAACCTAAATCTTGAGAATCTAGGACATTGAAATTGAAATAGGGCTCTTGAAGCTCATTGGTTGGGTTTCCCCCCACGGCTGCTGGGCGGAGTGCAAGAGAGGACATGTCTCGACCTTGGGCAGCAGCATCACCAACACCGGGGTGACCTGAATGCTCAGCTTGAAGGAAGTTTATCAGGGCCATGAGCCCTTAGCCCTAAACCCTAAAACTCTACACCCACTCAGAGTTTTGCAAGAATGAGGCTCGGCATTGTTCGTAGCCGGCAAGCAGCTCAGAAATCTTTCTGTCGACATACATGCGGGGGATGTGCAGCATCACGGCGGCGTGTCGTGTCAATCTGCTCGCCGCTGCCTGCGCTTGCATTCCAGCAGGGATCTCTTTGCGTCATCCTCGCGTCATCTTGGAACATAGGACCTGCAAGAGTTCCTCACAGGGCTCAAAGAAATGGGAGCGCCCATTCAACTCGATGTACTCACTTTGAATCTCCTGCGCCACTGCACGCCCTTCTGACACAGGAACTAGGGGATCATCTTCGGAATGAAATTGGACAATCCAGCCGGTGTTTCTTCTGATGGCGGCCCAGTTCCACGGCCCTCCACTCGGAGGGTAGTATCCTGAGGCACGCTCGCCCGCATCACCCAAATCACTATGACAGGCAGCCACAAGCACCAGACCACCAACGACCTCTTGCTCTGCCAATCGCATGGCTGCTTGGGCACCACTGGAATGCCCCACAAGTACCGTATCGGGTCCGACTGCAAGATCCTCTTTCAGGAATTTCAACCATATCTCACGCTTCGCCTCATCAGGGTCGGGAAAGTCGCGCAGGTGAACCTCTTCGAACGTGCGGCCGCGTTTCAGGCTGCTTGCCAACCAGGCATACCAATTCGCCTCTTGAATCGGCGAACACCCGTTTCCTGGGGCAATGACGCAGCGCTTCAGCGATGAAGCAGAGCCCAACTCTGCCATAAGCGCATGCAAAGGCACGGCCTGGATCGCGTCCTTTCACTGGGATGCCCTGTGGTCTTCGTGGTCGTGGCCGCGACGCCACGACGCTGCTGGCCACGACGCTGCTGCGGCACTGTTGCACCTCAAGGAAGGCCTCGTGGGAAGCCGCGTCTCGGAGTTGGAGGCTAAAATGCTGGCGAGCACGAAACCACAGAGTTGTTGCAAGTTGTGGTGTGTTTTGGCAGACCCTAAAGCGTCTGCACCTGGCAAGGCTTTGCCAGGCACATCCCTAGTCATCTTTTAAGGTTTCGGGTCATCGGTGTTGCTTCTGTGGAGGAGCTCGGTTTTTTGAGCCATCGGTTTCTTGTTGAGACTCCCTGGTGGAGAACCCACGAGACCGCAAGTAAGCTTTGAATCCGATGAAGCTTGCCCACCCCTGCACCTCTTGTGTCGCCCAATTGGCAACCTAGAATTTGTTCGGTCCCTCAAGAAGCCCCGAGCACCCCTCAGATTCGGGGTTCAGGAGTTTTGGGCAGGTTTTCTACTGAACCGGCAGACAGGCAAGGCCCCGGCAACAATCGCAACGGGCTTGCGCAGGCGATCGGCCTCTGGTCCCCCCTACCCCCCCCAAGCCGTGAAACAAGGCGGGGGTAGGTTCTTGACATCACCGCCACAGGAACAAGTACGCTCATCTAGAGGCCGTGGCTCAGGGCTTAGGGGCTGCACCCACAGCCGCGCACAACAGCACACCAGCAGGCGTCAGCGCATGACAATCCGTGACCCGATTGCATAGCAAAGATGATGACAGTGGGCTGTTGTTGGATACTGACAGTGGGCTGTTGTTGGATACTTAATCTAACGTAGGCATGAGCAAATGCAACCCGACCATAAGCCCCAAAAGCCCTAGTTCTACAAATGCAACCCCTCAACCCAAAAGTCTCAAGTAAACCAGCAAACCGTTCTAACCCCTGCTTCCCAAACCCGAACTCCCAACCCTAGCAGGGTTGCAAGCCCTGAGACACCAGACAATTGAGCAGGCCAGGGCAACAGTCCAGGCCTCGGGAAGAAGCAGCCCGGGTTTGGGGTCTTTAGAGTTTAGGGTGTCGGGTTTAGGGTTTCCGAACAACAGGGGTGCGTTCATGTTTGCTTGTTTGGGGAGTGGGGTGCCCGTGTAAGGGGCCTTTGCGACTACTGTAGCGCTTTAGGGCTGATGTTTGTTGGATTTACGGTTTGCCAGCAGTTCAGGATTTTCGGCTGCTTCAGGATTTTTCGACAAACTACCGTTGCCTGTGGAAGTGCTATATATCGTTGTAACCACCCTTAACGCCTCCCCCCCCCCCACCCCGCACCCCCCCCCCCCACCCACCACCCCCCCTCCCAGTCTAAAGCGCTGCGAGGCTATTCGACTGCCATGGCGTTCTGCCGCTATTCCTGAGGTTGCTGCGAACTTGAACTTCAAGGACATGAGCATTCCTGGGCATGTTGGGACAATTGGGAGTTTCTGAGCGCTTGGAGACCTGGATTTTTGGGGCACAAGGCTGAGGGTCTATGGTTTAGGGAGATTAGTTTTGGGTTTCAGGGCTGAGGCCCAAACCCTGAACCCGATGTTTCGAAGGATTATGCTGAGGTCTCGGCCGAGGAAGCCTTGGTAAAGACCGGCAAGCGCCTGGATTGGGGTGTTGGGCTTTGAAGGTGTTGACTCATGCAAGGGCATAGGGTGTGGGGTTTAGGATTTTGGATGTATAGTCCCCTTTTAGGGATTACAGGTGCCTGACTCCATCTCTGTACTGAGAACTAGTATGCTATCGGACCGATTTTTAAGGGGGGCCTACTTAGGCAGTCTAGGGCTTATGGGGTTCAGGGAATTGGAATATGCATCCCCCTCCTCAAAGCTGCGTTTCTCTGTCGACACCTAACTTGCAACAGCCAGCAAACATCCGGTCCGCAGACCAAATCCTACAAGCCCTATAAACCCTACTAAAAATAAACCTACAAACCCTAAACTCTGCGGAGAACAGCCAAACCCTAAACCCTACAGAGAACAGCCGCGGTCTCCTTGACGAGGACATCGGGATCAACAGCCTTCAAGACCACGCCGGCCTGGCACATCGGGGGGACATTGCCGCGGGGGTTGAAGGAGGTGTGCTTGCAATCAACGAGGAGCATACCCAGACCCCCAAGTCTGAGTCTTAAACCCTGACTCTGAATGTTAAACCCTATATATCTCTGAGTCTTAAACCCTAATTAAGCCCTAAACTGCATTTGTTTTGGTGGATCTTGCGGTGCTTGAAGCTTGCACCATTCTCTGAAACTTGATCAATGGTGCTTATGTGATCCGCACGACTCGCTGCTATTTAGGCTTCAGGGTCTAGGGCTTCGGGTATCACATACCCTCACTCCAGTATGCCCACGAAGAGGCTGTCAACCCTCAATCCCAAACCTTATGAGAACCGTTTGAAGCCTATCCCGAAACCCGAAACCCTGAGAACCCTAAGACACCCAAGAACGCTAAAAACTCTAACAGTCCTAAACTCTGAAAGCCAGACACCTCTAAACTTGACGCCTTGGACCCCCATGGCCCGCCTTGTGCCGGTAAAACTCCTGCACGGCGGCTTAGGTTGGCACTTAACACTCGCAACCCCTGAAATAGTTCGGGAGGTGATGCTCTTGAACCAAATGTGGGAAATACAGGATATTCCAGGGGCCTATACCCAATTTAGGAGTTCTAGGGTGAGGGAGGATAGCCACGTGTCACTGAATCATCTCCGTGATCCCTTTTTCAGCAGTTTGAATGTTGAGGGTTTTTGGGTGTATACAAAAATTGTCGGGAACTGCATGGCCTTATGAGTTTGCCGAGCTCACTAGGCAGGCTTTTGGAGTTTCTTGTTTTGGGTTTTCGGTTTTTTGGGGGGGGGGGGGGGGCAATGGACTTAGGCCCATGGGGCCTGCCCTCAAACCTAAACCCTACACGAGTTTGTTTCAAAGCGAAGCGGTCTCGATTTTGAGGGCTGGAGGCCTCAGAGCGGGGACTGCAGAATGGTGAGTGCTGGATCCGGAGCCCTAATGCCTGACAACCCCGGCCCCAAACCCTACTTGTGATCCCTCAGCCCCAACGTCTAATCCCTAGATCCGAAGCAGCAAAAAGAGTAAATGCCCAAACGCAAAAACACCCCTAGACTGTGAACTCAACATCCACTTCACGAGCCCTAATAACCCCTGAGCCCTAAAAAAGCCTGAGCCTGCAACCCGAATCCCTAAACCCCCAAGCCCTATAAGCCCGAAGCCCTAAACCGCATGCAGGGCTCCTTCGGCGTGAGGGTGGAGAGGTCGAGGCCCGATGCCTCCGGAGGTCGTTGCTTGTTTAGGATGTTCAGGGATTTATAATTTGAGTTTTCGGGTTTCGGGCTAGGGTTTAGGGTCTGCGAAGGCTGGGGCTGGTTTCAGGACTGGTCCAAACGTTTTCTTCCAGTTGTGGGGTGGATAGGGTGCTGCTTCCCCTGGCTTCCACCCCAGGCATTTGTTTCAGGGTTTGGGGTTCCAGGGTTTTAGGGGCATAGGGTATGCAAAAGCATGCACCCACACACACACACTAACTTACACCTAGTTCCCCCACAACAAGCCACTTTGGGGTGTAGGCTTCGGGATATGCATATAAGATCCGACAGCCTGAGGCTGCGTGTAGGGTTCAGCCCATGAGCCAGCAGCTTCCCCCAATGGCCATGAAACCTCCGAACCCCGGGCAGACTCTTCCCGGACCTTATCATCCTCCAGCGATGCTTTATTTGCCACTTGGATGTTGGTCCCCAGGTCCTAGCACAGCTGCAGAATTGGAGGGTTCAGTTTGGCTCCATAGGGATTTTTAAGCTGCTTCTTGTGTTTAGGGTGAAAGTCCAGACTCCCAAATATTGTAGGGTTTCGGGTTTAGGGTTCCACAATTTCCCTACACCCTTAAGCTTGACACCCAGGCCAGGTGCGTCCTGGAGGCAGATTAGCAGCTTGTCACCCCCTGTGCGTCGGAAGCACTCAATCGCTGCGATGGACGCACAGAACCTTTGCCGCTTTTGGTTGAGGGCTGAGTAGGGTCTTAAAGGGATGGTTTTGAGATCTCAGGCAGCTGCGGGTTTGCAAAATCTGTGTTTCAGGGTTTAGCGTTTTCGGTTTGGGAGTTCAGGGCTGCAGCAATCATGACCTGATCCGGCCCACCCCCTCTCTCTTTGGCCCTATGAGCCTCCAAGTCTCTAGCTCCAAAGTGCGGCATGGTGCTTTTCGCACGGAGTAGATGTGAAAATCCCAAGACTTAGCCAAACGCTCCGGCCTGAGAGGCCCTGTTCGCAAGGGGACTTCGAACCTTGCCTGCCTGGCTGAGGTTCGGGCTCACCGCCGAAAAAGCAAAGAGCCAACCTTGGCTGCCAGGTGGTTTATAGCATTGTGGGGTTTTGGGACTTATGAACACATGTCAAGGTTTGATGACCTTCAACACGAAGAGGCCTTCGGCTTTAGAGCCCAAGAATACTCGTTCCCCTAAACCCTAGAAACCCCAAGCCCTAACATGCATGCGCTTCTACAAAGCTTTACAAGCTAGAGCGGCCTCTTGCCGCCATCCCCCCCCCCCAAGCTGAGACACGCTGAGCTCGGCTCCCATACAGGACCTTCAGCTCTTCCTTCGGGATGACCCTGTAAATGTGGTACCTCTCGAAATTTTCGGTAAGGGTCTCAGGAGGACCGGGGCTTCGCGGTTTAGGCTCAAAGCTGGGATACGTAGCTTAGATTCATCAACCAAAGCGCAGAGGGTCACATCACCGTGCAGAGCCACATGACGACAGGTGCCTCGGCGCAGGGACTTCCGCACAGGATGAAGCCCGACACCCTAAACCCTAGGTCTAACGGGTTTTAAGCTGGACTTCCCCTTTTTTCCGGCAAACACCGGAAGGCCTGATTCTATCGCGTCAGTTCTTAAGCCTTTTGGCCTTGGGGTGATGGTGGGGTTTTGGGTTTCGGGTTCAGAGATTGAGTGTTTGATTTGGGGTTGCAGGTTGGGGTTGCACGTATTCGGGGTTTTAGGGAATCGACTTAACATCTTGAATAAATTTAACCTACCAGCCATTCATGCCGATGTCCTGTACGCACAATTGAAAACGCTGGCAGGCACGAATTGAAGAACTGCGGCTTGAGGCGGTACTCTACTCTAAACCCTGCACGCAAAACCATGCTAAGCTTCAGCCTCAAACCGCCCTCAACCAGGAATCCTAACTTGGACTGCAGAGGCTGCACCCTTGGGCTTGGGGACCGTTTAGGGTTTTAGGGTTGAGGGTTCGAGGTTCAGGGAGGGTGTGGCCTAAACCCTAGAACCCCTTAGGGGCAAGAGTTGGGGTTCTCGAGCTGATCGTGTTGTTTACGGGGCCGAAGAATATCAACTCACACAAATAAACAAATATACATGGGTGTATATGAACAGAAATATGAGTATCCAAACAGAAGAAAATACATACATATAAAAAAACAAACAAATAAATACATCATGTATATATATATATACGTATATATATATATGTAGTCATCCTGGAGTAGATGGCATTCAAAAATTGGTGACTTTATTATTATGATTATTATTATTACTACTACTATTTTTCTGTTGTCCGAACCCCATAGATAGAATATGCTGGCGTGCAGGGAAATGGAGGTGGAGAGAAGGGCTCAACAAGCCCCTGACCCATATTCTATCTATCGCTTTGGGAACCCACTTTTGTTTAAACTTGAAAAATCGGCAGATGCAATCTATTCCACGATGACTGTATCTGTACGGATTCCCACCAAAACAGTCCATCGTTTCAATGATGACCCATATCCTGGAACCCCCCAAACCCTAATCCCCAAACGCAAAACTGCAAAGCTTCCTGAGCCTGCCCCCCCAGACTGAAGATGGGGCCTACACCCATAACATGGGGCAGGTTCGGGTTTCTTGTTCAGGGGCCATCCATCCCGGGGCGCACACCAAGACCCTGAGAATCAGAGCCGCTAGCTGCAGTAGCCACTTGCTCGCCTCACGCCGAATATGGAGCTTACAACAAAGGTGGGAGAGGCTATGGTTCTCTCTCTCTCTCTCTCGCTCGCTCTCTCTCTGTCTCTCTCTCTGTCTCTCTCTCTCTTGTTTATGGGAGGGAGTTTGGGTTTGGGTTGGTGTTTAGGTGCTTGGGGGGGAACAGGTTAGCATGTTCATGGTTGAACGTGTTTTGGGTCTTTGGGAGGTCTTCAAATTCTAGGGGTTGGAAGTATGGGATGGAAGTGATCAGCAACCTTCCGTTCCGATCCTTGAATTGCAAACGTGTGCTATTCTCATCTCCGTCTTGGTCAGAGCTAGGGTTGGGGTTTGGGGTTTTTAGGGGTTTTTAGGGGTTCTGCAACCTAGGTTTTCATTATCATCGCCAGAGTCCGTCATGCCCTACAATCAAAGCCCTGAACCGTGAACCGCACACAGCCCGATTTCGAACCCGATGTAAGACAAGGCTCCAAGCGGGACGCTACACGCAGAGTGCGAGGATTCCACATGCACTGCGCCAGCCTCCAGGCATTGAAGGCATCTTGGCCTCAGTTTGCTAAGGCATGCTCGCAGCATATTTTCAGGGTCCGAGGTTTCGAAGGTTTGGGCTTCAGGGCACGGGAGTTTGGCTTTCAGGCTTTCAGCATGTCCGTCCTGGAATCCCTATCCTACTTCTGAGGAAGTGGCGGAAGGAAACAAGCCAACGCGATGTGTAGAACAACATGGAGCGCGTGACACCAGATTGTTCCTTCCAGCAATGAAGGGCACCATATGGCACCATGCTAAGGTGGGAGCGGCGGCTGCAACGAATAGTCTGCGACGAGACGGTCCACCAAATCCGTCTGCAGGATCGACAACTTTTTGCAGGTACAGAAAGTTTCCGGATTCATGGCTTGCGGATGCTGCTGGTTTGGGGTCTGGGGTTTATGGTTTAGGGTTTGGGGGTAGACTGGATTGAAGATATTTAAGGGGTTTCGACTTTGAGGAGTCGGGATATAAGTACAAGATATTAGGAGGGTTTGATTTATCGCAGATGTGTGGGGACTGGCCATCCATCCGTTATATCATGCAAATCCCCCTCGACGTGAAGCGCTCAACCACCCCAAGCCCTAGAACCTCAAGCCCTAAACCCTAAACCCTAAAACCCCACACCCCAAAAACCCTATACCAAAAAAACCCAAACACCCTAAACCCAATACCCTAAAACCCCAAAACTCCAAACCTCGGTTTCCGAAACCCACCTGGCTCTGTCCTGCGAGGCTGTTGTCGTGGCCGGCTCCTGCCTTCCCGTGATTCAGATGCCAATTTGCGATTTGGTGGGTGTCTCTCTGTGTGTGTGTGTGTGTGTGCTTGCTTGCTCGTGTGCTTGCTCGTGTGCTTGCTTGTGTGCTTGCTTGTGTGCTTGCTTGTGTGCTTGCTTGTGTGCTTGCTTGTGTGCTTGCTTGTGTGCTTGCTTTTGTGTGTGTGTGTGTGTGTGTGTCTGTCTGTGTGTGTGTGTGTGTGTGAGTTGCTGTTGGTTGGGGGCGGGGTGGTGGGGGTGAGGGAGTTGGGCATCAGCTGTGTTCGAAACTTGATGACGATTTGCGTGATGGGGTTGAAGCACTGCGACACTTCGGTTGAAAACGTGCCGATGTGTGAGTTGGGATTCGCGCGCGCAGTCGAAGACTAAATGTGCAGTAGCTGCAGCGGCTGCTTCAGGAACCTTTTGCCAAACAGAATGGCTGAACGCCAGCCCGAATGATGAAGCCATGATCAGCTTACAGCTGAACAAGCCGTGTCAACCATGAGCCGTGGGGAGTGTTTTTTTTGAGTTTGGGGTACTGGTTTGCTCCTATTTTGGAGATGGGCCATCCAAAGGTCCGAAGGCCCCCTTCCCAAGATACCATAAGCTCCAAACATCCTCCCTAAACCCTAAACCCGAATCCTCTAACCCCTAATTCTGTAAGCGTCCTCCACTCTACTCTGAATCCCTAAACCCTAAACCCTAGCCACCGTTGCCTGCGCCTGCCCCTTTCGCTTCAGCAGAGGTTTTTGCAACCTGGAGCCAACCCTAGACCCCAATCGCAAAACCCTGAACCCTAAACCCGAGACGGGTTCTGCTTTGTTAAAGAGCTTGAGGAAAATAAGTATTTCTGGAGCCTCCCCGGAATGAAGAATACCCCCTCAATCCTTGGGAAAGTTTAGGGTGGGTAAAGGGCTTGCGAATCCCTGAAAGAGTTTGAGAAATATTCCCTATAGTTAAGGGGCATCGGATCTCTGGCAAGACTTTGGGACCTTGAGGTTTTGAGCGGTGACTGCTGTAGGGCCTACGTCTTTCAGAGCAACTTAGGCTCTTCTTGTTGTTTCGTTGTGTTGGTTCTGCCATGTTGACGGGTCGAGGGCGAACCGCTGTCAATTAGACAATGGTTCTCGTGATATCGAGTTTCTGCTTCTTTCTGTAGAGCATCTATGCAGGGCTAAACGGTATTGACAAGGTTTGAGCGGGGGGGGGAGGGTGGGGAGAGGGTGGGGGCCTTCAAATCGGAAAACCCCCGAAACCGAGCCTCAAACAACTAAATCTTGTACACCCTCGGAACCCTAAACCCTAAACGCCCTAAACCCTGAACCCCAAATTCTACACCCTGAAGCTCACGAAAGGGATTGGGGTGGGAACTCAGGATCCATGGGTGCGCCGGCGTGTGGCGGAGGATGCGCCCCACATGTCAGGACAGCTGTCGAGCCAGGCCAGGTTGCAAGGCAGAGTGACAGAGTGCTTTGGGAATCAGGGTTGAGGGATGTTGAGGGTTTAAAGCGTATTGAGGGTTGAGGGCTTGAGGGTCAGGGCTGAGGGTATAGGCCTGAGGGTTGATAGGGTTTGGGTTTTTGGGCTTCCGTTCATTGCGGCAGTTTGCTGCAACAGGCAACGGCTTTCATGATGGGGTTGCACGAAGCAAACGCGGTGATGTGTGCAGACATGCTTGGGGCTTATAGTGTGTAGGGTGTAGGGCTCCATATATACACATATTATACACATATTTAGTGTTCCTTCGGGCTATTTCGAGCGTCTTAGGGCTTATGGTAGCTAAGAGGTTGGGATCTCCAAAAGGGTTTAGGGCCTCGTAAATCCCGCAAGCCCTGTAAACCCATGAGCTCCAATCCCAGTGACACCACACCGATTCGTTTCGTCAAGGAGTCTTCCTTGGATCCTATCGAAATCCCTGTTGCCAAGTACAGTAGTAAGGAAGAACTCTTCCGGAAACCCTATAATCTTGGAGTCATATGCAGCAGACCGGACACGCGGGGGTTTTTTGAAGCCTCACCTCACGGTGCACCAGTTCTCCGAACCGAACCTCGGCAGGGGGTCTTTGAGGCCTGTTTTGCCAGGGCCTAGGGTTGACGCTTTATTCTAGGGTCCCAAGTATGGGCCCTGAATTAGGGTCCCTTGTTGCAAGAGCCTGATATACACTATGTAAACAGGCCCATACATCGGATTCCTTGAAACAAGGGTAAGGGACTATACTAAGGGGCCATGATCATGACCCTAAGCCCTAAACCCTAAGACCCTAAACCTCTGAATATCCAACCAGGTTGAGATTTAGGGTTCAGGGCTGCAAGCTTTGGCTTTGCAGGCTTCGGGCTGGGAGGCGATTCAGGGGAGGGATTTTCGGCTGTGTTTGCCTTCACTTTACAGCCGTAAACCCCCCTATTGGTCTTCCCCAGAAGGAAAGTTAGGTCCCTGGCCTGTCGGGGGCAAGGCGGAGGATGCGAACCTCGACAGTTTGGGTGTCGGGTTTTGAGGGTTCTGGCACTTTTTGGAATTTTCTGCGCCGAGGCCTTGGGCCATAAAGCAGGCAAGCCCCCTCCCCAGAGCCTTTCCCACCCCTCCCCCACCCCACCTGCCCCCAGCCCCCTGGTTTGGGTTGCCCTTGTTACAGAAGCTCAGGCCGAGGCGGATCGCGTATCGTTAAAATTACGGGGTGAACCGTTAAGAAAAAGGAATATCAGGGTAGGCCTGAGACCCTAAAACCCAAACCCCCAACCCAAGAAGTCTTCACCCTGGACCCTACAATCCCCAAATCCTCGAACCCTTGGACTTGAAGACCTGGGTGTAGGGTTTAAGGTTTAGGGCTTAAGATAAAACTGATAACCCAAGTTAAAGCCTTACAGTACTTCAACCCTGGGGAGGCACTCCCCGCCATCTTTGCAGCGGCCCTCTGAATCAAGAGACTTCAACCTCGAGCCCTGAGCCCCAAAGCCTGTGGGGGTTCAGGCTTTGGGGTTTAGGGTTTAGGACCGGAGTGTGTAGGGCTTTTGTGGGTGAGGTACCACCGTCCCCATGGGTGCCTCTCCCAGAACCGGCCACGCCAGCCAGTCGCTGTACCTGCGCAGGGTCTTCAAAGCTGTGGCTTAAACACTAAACTCTAGGCCCAAAGCCCGTTAACCCCAATCCCTAAACCTGAACGAAACCCAAAAAACCACCCACGACCCGAACCCCCAGCCCCTAAACCCTTATGCATCCGAAACCCTGACTAAACCCCCCTCAACACCCTCAACTACTGTAAGCCCTGAATCCTCTCTCCCTAAAGCCTAAACCCGAAACCCCCAACCCTAAACCCTAGTAAGCCCTACCAAGTACTTCCATAGAAAACAGCCTCGGGCCTGGTGAGGGCCTTGGCCTCCACCGCCGGGCGCCAGGGCGCCCACCAGGGCCCTGGCCTTGCAGCGGGGCTGTTCGGGTTTCGGGTTTAGGATTTAAAGCTCAAAGTTTAGGGTTTTAGGGTCTCGGCTCAGGTTGGGCTTGTAGGAATAGGGGGGTTTAGGGGTTTAGGGTTTAGGGTGTTTCACGGCCAGGGGTCTTTGCGTTTAGGGGGACATAAAGCGGGCAGTGGGGAACAACAAGTGGCCCAGTCGCAATCTTTACCCGTTTTTGGGGAACCTTATTCCTAAACCCAAAACCAACACCCTAATAGTTTAAGAGACTAACAACAGCAAACAAGGGTGCTTTTACTCTAGAATGGCACATGGGCTGCCATCCTAAACCTTAAACCCCCTAAACCCCCTGACCCCTCTGAACCCTACGTAGGGTTTAGGAGTTTAGGCGTTCGGATTTAGCCAACTCCTGCCTCACTCCGTGTCGGCAGTGCCTCTGACCTGACACGATTATTCTTAGCAGTTGCAGTTCGCTTCTTAAGAATCTATCCATCGCATCGCCGAGGTCAATGTCCTACATGGGTTTAGGGTTTGGGGTTGAGGAGGGAGGGCGAGAGAGGGTGACTCCCCTCAATCCCCGTCGTAGAAGAAGAGAGCGTACAAGAAGGATTCCATTATGATCCAAACCATGATGGTTTGGTGCCTTTAGGGGAGACAGCGTCCTCTGATGCAGTGGCACTGCGATTTTAGGTTTCCGGTAGGGTTGACGCTTGCGCGTTAGCTGCTGAAGTCCCAAATATCCCCACCCTTCCTCCCCCCTCCCCTCCCCTCTGCCCTCCCCCGCAAACGCAGCAAAGCAACCAGCCACAAGCTCGATCACGGCTTCCTGCAGCAGATTGGGACCTTACGGGTGGGTTTCGGGTGGAAGCTTGTACGGAAAGAACACAGCCCTGCGGCCAGAAATGAGAATATTCGACAATTATCTTATATAATTGCTGTATGGGGAGGCGTTTGCTGCTGCAGATGTCGGATGTTGCGATGCCAGTGGTGGTCCCAGTTGAACATCCTGAACCCGGGCACAGCCTCGTCGCATCTGACTTTGCCGGGCTCCGTTAGTCGCCTGCCAGAGGCGTTCAAGGCTCTCGGGCATAGGGTGTAGAGTTCAGGGCTTAGGATTCATAGACCTGTGAGCTTCTTCGTACCATCTGAAACATCTTCCAACATGAGCTCCTCTTACACACACAGATGGGCATTCTCCACACACGCGTACCCTTTCTCCACCCCCAAATGCAAAAGTCCATATTACAGGAACCCCGAAAGGAGGTGCACCATTTTCGGGAAGCCCACAGGAAACAACTTAAAGAGCAAAGCCAATAAACAAATTAACCCTCATAAACCCAATAAAGTCCAAAGCGCCTAAACCCTAAACCACTTAAACCCTAGGCCTTGAACGCTAATCCACCTAAACCCGAAACCCCCTAGCCCCAAAACCCCGCCTGCGCAAGGCCACAGCGCAGGCGTGCGTCAGCGGAAGAGCCTCGAAGATCCGGTCCAAAAGGTAGTCTTTTGAGGTTTATGGGGTTCAGGGTTTAGGGTTAAGGCAAAAGGATTTTGTGGGCAACCGTAAACCCCATGAACCTATGCGAAGTTGCACAAATACGGCGGGGAACGCCCCCCTCACATACCCCCGAACACTATAGTCCATCATACAGGAAAGCAGTCTCTTCAACCTTGTAAATCCCGAGCCCTCTTTAAACTCATAAATCCACGACTCCCTTAGACCCCATACATGCTTAACCCTCCTGCACCTTATAAACTGTAACCCCCCTTTAAACGTTAAAAACCTTGCAAGTCCTAGAACCTCGTAAACATCACAGACACACCCTTAAACCTCGTAAAACCTTATAAGCATCATATAGTCCCAAGCTCTCTTAAGCCCTCTCTCTCCATAAAAACACTCCTAACCCTCGTAGAGCTTTACATAGTCCTAAACACCCCTCCCCCAAAACAACCTAAAGCCAAGAGCCTAAACCCTGCGCAGCCAAGGCTGGCGCTTCCAAGCGATACTCGGCGAAGCAGCGGTCGCCCGGCTGCAGCCCAAGCTCCAGCATGTAGTCTACCTTTTCAGGCTATTGCTTATTTACGCCATTTTCTCGTTGATGGCTATTTATAGAAATACATATCTGCAAATATATACATATATACATATATGGATGTTTTTTCTTCTTGGGGGTGTAGGGTTTGGTGGTTTAGGGTTTGGGTTTTGGAGCTATGGTTGAAATTGAACAAGCAGAAGCAGTGCCTGCTGCTTTTGGGGTTGAGGGGCTTGGGGCTTGAGTTGCGATGTTCGAGCTTCGGTGTGGGTGCAGGCAGGCCTACATCCGAAGCCCAAAACCTTCACCCGATTCTGGAAGCCCAAGGGATGAGGAATCCACAGCGATGGCGCTTCCTACCAGCGCCTCCAGTGCTAGTTGCCTAAAACCTAACCCATATACCATCCTAAACCCTAAGCCCTACACCCTAACCCTGCACCCAAACCCAAAACCCTAACCCTAAACCCTAATTAAACCCCAAATCCGGGTAGCCTGAACACCGGGCCGGACAAAAGCGCACCCAATAATTCAGGTACCAATTTTGGGTGGCAAAAAGGGGCCCCTAAGGTTGCGGGCTTAGGAAGCTGAACTCTCGCAGCCCACGATGAACCCTCCTCGAGCCGAGATGTTTAGGGTTTCTGGAGTTGATAGGGCTTGTAGGGTCTCTAGGATTTATAGGGTTTCGAGGGTCTTTAGGGTTTATGGAGTTTATAGGTTTTATGGCGCTTGCTTGATTTATAGGCTTTATAGGGTCTAAGGGATTGGAGCCCAGTATCGGATGTGCCTCGTAACCCCAGTCACGGCCGTAGAAAGGAAACCTGGGACCGCACCCCAATCTGCAATCTGAGCGTTGAGGGGCCCCAGACTTAGAATCCTAGACTTATAGGACGCCCAGCTCCAAGCACACAGTTCACCACTGCGGCTGCGGATATGTGGGACCATGTGCCCTTTGCGGTACCGACAACAAAGACTGTACTCAAGACCCCTACAACGTGACCGCAATGTCGAACAGCCCGCCCTGTGACTGCTAGGGTTGAGGATTGGGTTCGGTGTTCACAGCTGTTTTAGGATGCGGACAAGGGTTTGGAGTTTGGATGTTGAATGAGCTCCCGCACTTGGCAGCACTTCTACTGACAGGCGGTTCTTAAGGTCAGCCAGGCTGTAGGAGAATATTGCAGCAGATTGCAGCAGTCATGCGACAAAGTTCGCGAACTGCAATGCTATGCAGCGTAAGGATTGGCGGTTGGATCATTTCTGCCCCTAAACCCTAAACCCTAATGACATTGAGTAGCGCACCTCGTCTCAGAACCCGTATCTCGGTAGCGCACGCGCGCCGCCTTGCGAGGCAACTGCCATTTCAAGTGCGCGGAGGCACCTAGGGGGAGGGGGGTTTTAGGGTTTAGGGTTTAGGCCCTGAAAGGGCTTCTGATCCATGTTGTCCCCTTAAACCCTCTGAAAACTCTTCATAAATATGATCCTCCGTAAACCCGGTAATTAATGGAAAATAAATAAAAGCCCCAACGTCCTAACTAGTGATCCATAGACGTAAATAGGAATCAGAGCTGTGCAAGGTATACGGTCCTAGCTTTAAGTGCTGAATTTATGGGTGACTGGCAGGCCTTAAGCTGGAATGGAAGTCCATCGAACTCAACAACGCAACAACAGGTTCCCGAAACCCTAGACCTTAAATAAACTCTACACCCTCATAATATCTAAACCCTAACCCTAAAACTAACCTTTCTATGCCTTGCGAAGCCCACAAAAGGTTTTGAGCCATCCTTTTATGCAGGGGATTTAACCGAAACCAGCAGCCCAAGAGCACCTGGATTCATTGAAAACAGCTCCTCACAAAAAACATGTGCAGAAAATACGAAACAACTCAACAAACAAAAGGACGAAAGGACTCGAACATGTATCCCCGACCCTCAAGGCCTTGGCTTCTACTGTCCTCGGGCCTCCATTTCAGCCCACAGTCGCTTTCGCCGAACCTGCCCCACTCTTCGGGTCTCTTCGGGCTTGGGGTCTTAGGGGTTTAGGGTTTAGGGTTTTTAAGGGTTTTGGGGTCTCATTCACGTTTGGAAGTCGGGTTTGGAATTTAGCATTTTCAGTTTTCGGGTTTAGGCGGCTTAGGGTTTTTGAGGCTGAGGAGCTCTTGAGTTTCGGTGGATTATGGGGTCGAAACTTCTGTTCCTGGAGGTTGCCGGGAGGTAGTTCAGGCATTCAGGGTTTACAACCCTACACCCCAAACCGCACATACTCTGAAACACCTAAAGCTTCATGGGGCTTCAGATGTTGCATAGTTTGGGCCTCCCAGCATCCGCCGGCGGCAGACGCAGTGGCAGCCACTACGAGGCCCTTGGCACGCCAGGGAGCCCCGAACCCCAAGGCCGAAACCCTAAACTCTTGGAGGGTGCGCTCAGGCTACCAGTCACCCTACAAGACCAACAGCCACCCAATGCTAAGCCACCTGAACCCAAGTAGGGTTGGGGTGTCGTGTTTTCTTATATATAAACAGACATACATAAATATATATATATATATGTACATACGTACAAACGTGTGTGTGTGTGTGCGCAGTTGCGTTCGCATATGCATTTGCAGGTGTATTTGGTTCTGGTCTGTATACTATTACGTCGCGGTAGCTAAGCAGGACTTGGCAAGGGCCTTTTGGGGTTCGAGGTCCCTTGTCTACCTTTGGGTCCCGACAAAGCTTCATCTTTGGGGGCTTGGTGCAAGGAAAATATGTATTTCAGAGTCTAGGGCTCAGGGATTAGGCTTTTTGTTTTTTTTGGGCTCGTTGCAGTTCAACGTGTTTCGGGTAATTACCTGAAGGTTCATGGGCAGCTACAAGTAGGGCTACAGAAGCCTCACTTCCAGTCCAACTCTTTTTTAATATAAATGTGCGTGTGTGTGTGCGTGTGTGTGTGTGTGTGTGTGTGTGTGCGTGTGTGTGTGTGTGTGTGTGTGTGTGTGTGCGTGCGTGCGTGCGTGCGTGCGTGCGTGCGTGTGTGCGTGGGTGTGTGTGTGTGTGCGTGCGTGCGTGCGTGTGTGTGTGTGTGTGTGTGTGTGTGTGTTTGTATACATGCATGCACACGCGAGCGCACACCCACACCCACACCCATACGTATTCTGTATATACATATATGATTGTAGAACGTCATGGGGCACATCCCGGCCGGGTCTTGGGCACATCTTGCGGCGCGACTTTCCACGAAGGCCATGGCTCTTGTCCCTAAAGACTTGGGCTTCACAGGGGCTTGCCCCCGCAAATCCTGCATTGAGGGTCGATGGGGTTTAGGGTGTTTAGTGCAGGCCTACTCTGGGTCCTAGTTAGTTGCTCCCTTGCTTTGCTTGGTGAGGTAGGGTTTATGGGGCCTAGGTATTCCTCGTCTTTTACGGTTTAAGGCTTTGCGGGTTGGGGTGCTCTTGTGAGTGTTGCGAGCACTCTTGTTGCGCAAGGCCCCTAGGGCAACGGATGTGCATGCCTGAGAGCCATTAACAGCTTGACTGAGCAGCACATGCCATGGCTTAGAGCTCAGTGTTTCCCTGGAGTCCTCCAGTGATCATGAAAGGCTCCCGACACTCGGATGAAGCCAATGAGTCTAATTACTGTGGACAAGGAAAGGGGCTATGGATTTGTATAAGGGCCTATTATAAGGGTCCGTGAGCAACTGAGGTATCTGGCAAAAGCCGGCAGACCCTCGTCTAAAACTGACAGTGCTGACTGTTGCTTGGCCTTGTCTGCGGGTATGGCTGAACTTTGTACTTTCTGGCAGCGACCTCATGCAATTTCAGCTGTGCATCGCCAGCCTCTGTGCTTTCAAAAGCTCCACACGGCTGCCAGAGATTTTGAGGATCTTCCGCGAAGTTCAGTCTTCGGGGGTCCGCGTGCTCTGTCGTGCAGCGTGCGCGCAGGTTTCCAGTTTACAGCTGCAAGCTGCTCCGCGCGTATCATTACGAGAATGGGCATGTCAGGCGTCACGGAAATGAATCTTGCCGTTCCGGTGGTGAATCGCCCGGAGCAGCTCGACGCAAGGGGTGCAGCGCCGCACCGCCCTGCGCTCCCAGGCGTAGGCTGGAAGCTCCCCGTACCCAGGCGGCTCAAACGGGCCATGCCAGTAGCCGTAGATGCGTAGGACCTCGGCTGAGCCGCCTGCGGGTCGGGCTCCTCCTCAGCTCCTCAACGGCCCGGCTTCGACGCTGTTCTCGCAAGCGCCCGCAGTTCCATCTTGAGCTCCGGCTCGTAGGAAGGTGCTCCGCTCCACCAAGCGAAGCGCCTGTTCCTCTTCTAAGTTCTCATCGGCCTTTTGCGGCAGCTTCCCTGCCTTTATTTAGGCCATGGGCCTCCTCTTCCGTGGGGCTGTTGCCACCACGCTGCCTGCGCTCAAAACAAAACAAACAAACACGTCCGGCTTAGCATCACCGTGCTACACTACACACTTTACACTTTGGCTCCCAAGGACTAAGACCAGAGCTCCTTCTGCCTGCTGTTGTGCAAACAGCCTCCCGGCTGTGGTGGTGCACTACCACTGCCCAGCCAATAGGCCGGAGGACTTTCTCGCAAGCGCGGGCGAGGGCCGCAGCAGCTTTCAATGCCACCTGTGGCTGGAGCGGCTTGCAGGATGTCCCTAAGTGCCGCTATCGCTAGTCTTGGTGCACGACTTGCCGCACTTGTACGATGTCAACTCTTTTTGCCTGTTTGCCACTTTCCCGAAACTCAACTCATGATCCATGTCGGTTTTACGAACTGCTCTACGCTGAGCCCTTGTCCTGTGGTATAAGGGCCCTTTGCCGTCTTTTCTGCCGTGCACGCGGCACATCCAGACCGGAGCGCAGAGTCACTGAACGCTTGGATCACACCGTCCGAACTTTGGGCATATATTCCCTCAGCCCAGCTTCATGGATCATGTGGCAAACAACTCTACCGACTCTACATGTCACGCACGGACACTCTCGAACTTTTGCAGCCTGAATAACCACATGCTGCAGAAAGCGATGAACCGGAAGCTCTATGCTCGCAGGCCGGGTAGCTGCAAAAGACTCCCCGGCTTGGCTCAGTCAGTGTCTGTTGTGTACGGTTGCGTGTCTCTTCCACATTCTCGCGCCTTCACCAATCTTTGTCGTGAAAACGCGCGTCCAGGTCACCTGTGGGCCGGGAACACTGGCTCCTGGCCACAGGCAGCTGTAACAAAACGAACTATGAAACATAGAGGACAAAATAGTTGGTATTGAGAGCTAGTCAGAAGAAGAACGCCGCAAATAATATATATATATATATATAACATGTATATCATCAAGGATTCAAAGTGCCCTTGCAACGATACACTGTGCCAGTTGGGTCATGGGCGCCCTATGTAAACTCTCACCCTAAACCCGAAACCATCAACCCAAATGGGCCTAGGTCGAAACGGGCTTAGGTCCTGGTTCTCGGCTTTGAGGTGTATAGTGATGTTGCGTTTACGTGGCCGAGGGTTTAGCCCTCAACCTCATGACCCCCTGCCACCTCATCTTTGGTAGGGTGGAAGAAACCGCGGGGAAGTATGCATGACAAAGACCTAGGTCCTTAAACCCCAAACCCCAAACCCTAACTCCCCCAATATCAGATGGTGCAGGGAGGGTCCTTTCGACAGCAGGATGAGGACTCACTGAAGTCCCCCTCACAGTTCCTCGACATCGTCGTAACAGTCGGAACCTTGCAGGCAACCGCTTAATGTTGGACCCTGTTTAGCAGGAGCCTCCTTAAACACATCAAGTTCGCAGGGCTATTCAGGACACCCTGGCTGTTTGGGGCGCGCGGTGGGATCCCGAACTAATTCATATCGTCCGGGCGCCGTAAGAAAATTCCACGCGGCGCGCCTGTAAAATCAATTGCCGGGCAGCACGGCCCCTTTTAAACTTACATAAAGTCCTCCCTAGCAAAATCATATAAAACCCGTGAACCGTGTAAACAGAGCGAAAACCAGCTTCGACTGTTCTGGGAAAAGGGGGCCCACCACACTAAGGGGTGCAGGGTTTTGTGAATTTTGGGTTCAAATGGTCAGATCCTCCTCAACATCACATCCAACACACAGCTTCTTAAAAACGGGCGATGCAGCGTTTAGGGGTTTTGCGGTGTTAGGGTGCTGGGGTGTCAGGGTGTAGGGGTTTGGAGCTTTCGGTTTTAGAGTTTTTGGGTTTAGGGCACTTCCGCGGCAAGTGCAAGGCACATTCTGTGGCAAGTGCCCCAGAAAAAAAAAAAAAAAACCGCCCGTCAAACTTCAACACAGGAAGTGCTCAGAGTTATGGGCCTTTTTGGGGGGACCCTTTCAAAATTTCTCAGACTGTGAAGAGCCCTATAGGACCTCCTGGCCCCCAGAGACAAGAAAAGCGGGGGACCAGATTTACCCTGACAGGACATTGAGTTTTACCAGGGATACATGCTTGGGCCATGGTCGCCGTGACCTGGGTCTCTCAGACCCTAAACCCTAGACCCTGAAGCCTACACCCTAGACCCTAAAGCCTAAACCGGGGACCCGGAGTTCAGCTTCTTGGGCTTCCACAAGTTAAAGGGCTCTGTCCTGCCCACTTCAAAGCCTGAAAGCACCTTGAACCCCCTGAAGCCGAAGGGTTTCTGCGCGCACCCGAGCGCCCTAAACTTTTTGGGGTTTAGATGTTGTAGGGTTTGGATGCTTTAGGGTTTAGGGTTTAGGGGGTTGAAGGGAGAGAAGGCCTAACAAACTCAAAGCTCGAAACCCGCTTAGTATACATAAGGGGATCTCAAGAACCTAACTCCCTCTGTTTCCCTACGAGGAACCAGTAGGTAAATCCCCAGGTCTATGCAGGCCAGGCCTTTTTCCATGCAATCTTTGACTCAGACAGGTCTCCCAGCTCCGAGCAACGCCTGCAACAACCCTTGGTCTGATTTTGAGTATTCTCATGTGTCGCACAACACGTGCTATCATTTTTTCTACGACTACTTTTCAGCAATTGTCATGAATATTTGCTTATGTAATGTTTCTTTTGGTTTCTCAAAGGACGAGTTTGGGTTCCAAGGCGTTAGCCCAGCTGGCTCGAGTTCAACTGAAGCTCCACCATGCTCATCATTAACATGACCCATGCAAACCCGTCATTGGGGACATGTGCCAGGGTCGCGCGATAGGACCGAATGGCTTGCCGGACACTTCGCCCCCCACACTCGCCGAAGTAATAGCAATGGCCAATCTCATAGGCCGGGGCAGCTGCAACGCGTGCATGGCCTTGTCCTGCCTGCCGCAGGGCTTTCTCGACTGACCTCCTGAAATGCTTCAGGGCTTGCCGCCTTTCCTTGCGGGAGGGCGTGGCACCGTATCCGCTGCGAAGCAGATCCGCCAGGTAAAACTCCTGCAAGGAATCACCAAGGAAGTTCCAACCGGGGAGGCGATCAAGATCATACATCTCGGACACCGACTGTCGCAGTTCTGGCTGTGCTTTGCGCCACTGTTGCAGGGCTTCTTTCGCTATCTCCCCGGCCCGGGGCATGTTTTCGCGAGTGACGAAGCCCTCGATCACCGCCGTCAGATCCTGGGCATTTTGGAAGCCCTCTGCAGATTATGTTCCGAACAAGGGGAACTCTCAAAATAGGAGGTTTAGGCTGTAGAGTTGAGGGTTGGGTGTTGAGGACACAAGGGCAAATGAACCAAAGTTTTCCAAAGTCCTGCCTAGGATCTGGGTCATGGACTCGCGCGCAGAAGCAGTCCACATTCGTGAGGAATCCGCCCTGCCAGCGCTGCCGATACATTGGATGGAACCAGCCGTGACTCACGGGAATCAGAAACCGATCTTGGATGAGGAAGCACGCGTACCCAAACTGCCACAGGTAGTTCAGGGTGTCCAGCAGATCCACCTGCCAGAGGTTGCTCCTTCTTTCTGTCCTATAGCCCCCTCGTAGCAGTAGCTGCAACAAGTAGCTTGTGATCCCATCTACCAGCCAAGCTCCCCCCCTCCCCTGATAAGGCCAAGATAACTCTTGCGCAAGCCCTATTTGGACATGAAGCTACGCTGTAGGGTACAGTGTTTCAAGGGACTGCCTTTCAACTTTACGGCGGATACCTTGATCGCCAGAACAGCATCAAACATAACGCTTCACAAAAAAGCGCAGTGCCGCAACGATTAACATACCTAAACATCACACCCTCAGAACCGTAAGTACAAAAGCCTGAACCCAAGAAATACAATGAAATCCGACAGCCAACAAGAGCACAAGAAATGGAACCCTAAACCCTTTGCCCCAAACCCCAAGCGGAAAACAAGCCGGCTGCAACGCGAGGATCTGAGGTATGTGGCTGTTGGGTTTCGGGCTTGGAGCTTTAGTTTAGGGTGTAGGGTTTGTAGGGTTTTGGGTTTAGGTACCCTGAACCCATAACCCCTGAACCCTGCATCCCCTTTCAGAACCTGACTCAAGAATGCTCTTCAACACTCCACAAGCTGCAGAAAGCCCTTTGTATGACAAAAGATCTTTCCTACTCCTTAAGCCCCTAAGCCCAAAACCCCAAACCCTAAACCCAAACTCCTAAACCCTTTGTTTGGGGGCTTTATGAGTGCACAGCCCTACAAGGGGGTGCACTCTTTGGTTTCAACGGGCTTGTAGGGGACCCCAAGCCCTAAAAATGGAATAAGGGCCTGCTCTGGGTCCTGACCCTAAACCCTAAGCCCTAAACCCTAAACCCTAAAAACCATACAAACCCTATAAGCCTATAAACCCTATAAACCCCATAAACCCCAGAAACCCTACAAACCCCATAAACCTATAAACCCAACTAATGTTCTAGGGTCCATCATAGAGGCTGTCCGCCTGGTCGCGTCTGCTTGCCTGCCTTGGTAGCCAAGTAACCATCGGATAATAAGGGTACCCTTTCTGGGCTGGCTACTTTATAAGGGAACCTTGAACCAAAAAAGGGTAACAGGGTGCCACTGGGTCACCAAGCTGCTCAAAGATCAAGTACTTCACCAAGCGCTTCCGGAGTAGTCCCTCGGCTCCTCGAAGCACGTCTCCTTGGCTAGGGCTCAGGGTTCGGAGTTTTTGAAGCGTTCCTTCAGGAATCTGGGTTCAGGGTTTAGAGCGCAGCTCAACGACCGCAATCGCTTCTTACGAACAGAGAGAACGAGTGCAAGCTTCCCATATTTAACATATTTCTCTCAATTGCTTCCGAGTTTCCATCGTAGCCTTCGCAATCCTTGAGTGCTCATTGTTGATCGCTTCAAAACATGCTTGAGTTAACAACTCGGACGAGAAAGTATAGAGGCAAAACCCGAAACCATAAACCAGCATTTTGATTGAAGTCCAGAATCCATCTTGAGAATGAAAATCTGCTCGGATGGCTGAAAGCTGCACTCCCCCGACAAGAGCAGCCGGTCCAGAGTTTCCTGCCTCACGAAGGTGAGCTCCTCCTTGGTTGGGTTTTGGGTTTTAGGTTTTGGGTTTAGGGTCACATCCTTAAGGGCTCAATCCCTAAGCCCTTAGCGCAAGCTTCTAGGCGCCAGTCGCAAACCCAAACACAAACGGCCCTTGAACCAACCTCTCTCTCTCTTAGAACCTCAGCGAGTTAGGCTTTGGCCTTCTTAGTAGCCCAGTAGCCATATTCTGGTAAGGGCACCCTTTTTTCGTTGCTTACTTTCCAAGTAGAAACGGTTGCTGTCTGCTTCTTAGTTCGGAGCTTCCCTCCCGTACGAAAACAAAGGCTTATACATCGATTGTAAGGTCTCTTTGGACTTAAAAAAACACAACGCAGAATTGCTTGCTGAGGACACTGGGGTGGATTTGGGGCGGCCTACGTGTAAAGATTACACGTCATGGGCTATGGGGGGGGGGGATTCAAAACGCCCGCCCCCCCCTCCCCCCCCAAAACAAAAAAAAAGGCCGGTTCCATAGAGGGCTATGCAGCGTTTAGGCTGTAAGATTGAGCTTACTTCTTCAATAATCAAGGGATAACCAGGTCAAACGTTCTTATTCATAAGTGCACAGGAAGGATACCCAAAAAGTTGATAATTGGCTAAGTAGGTTAGGGAGTAGATTGGAGCCCCAAAGAGTAGAGCAGAGCTTCAGGTGGTGTTTCGTTGCCGTTGGGAGTCCACAGGCCAGCCAGAAAGCCTTCGTCCAGAAACGCGACTCTGCCGGTGGCAGTGGAAGACACCTTCTTAGTTGAGGGTTTAGGGTTTAGGGCTGAGGGGCAGTCTGGTTTCGGACTTAGAGCTTATAGAGCTCTAGGGATATAGGGGTCGCGACATGTTGGGAGTAAGAATTCGGGTTCTGGGGTTCCAGCGGCACCGTTTCAGGAGAAGCCGTGGCCGTGATGGAGCTCTGAAGGCTCGGGGCTTAGCACCAATCCGAGGCGTATCCCCGACACCCAGACCTGCCCTAATCCCAAGCCTGCTGAGGAACGAGCCCCCGCAAGCCCTGAACCCAAACCCCAAACCCAACAAAAGCCCTGTACACCCTAAGCCTAGATCCCCAAACCCGACTTCAGCGCTACACCCAAAGCCCTAAACCCTAAATCCAGCGGTGCGACCCAGCCACTGCAACATTGATGGCACAGAGTTGCGCCTCCCAGCCTATGTGCCAAGAGGGTTTTGGGTTCTGTGCAAGCTTTAAGGGTGTGGCAGGGTTTAGGGTTTGGGGTTTAGGGGTTTAGTAGGGGGTTTAGGTTCTAAGGGTTCTGGGGTTTCTGGTGTAGGGTTTGGGGTTTGGGGTGTTTAGAGGGTTTGGGGTTCGTAGGTGTGAGCACCAAACGGCGTTTGCAGAACATAGCTGATCGACAACGGCCCCCCTAAACCCTAAACTAAACCCAAAACCCAGAACCCTAAACCCGATACCCTATACCCTAAACCCGAACGCTTCTTCAGGCAGGTGCCTTGGTCACGCGCATTCTGCAGGAGCTGGGTAAGGGATGCTTTGCTCGGCTCGATGGCAATCACTGTGACCTGGCCCAAGGCAGGATGTAGGGCCAAGGGTCTTATGGTAGATTAGCTCCCCCGTATGGAGTAGCACTTAATACAATAGGTACTTGCAGCGACCCCGCTCTTCAAAGCAACACTCTAGCGTCTGTTAGTTGCAAGATCCCGCAGGTGTCTGAAGGCCATCCCTAAACCCTAGACTCCCTAGACCCTAAAAACCCCAACCCCGAAATCCCCCCAAGATCGCACACCTCCCAGCCACTCAAGGGCTGCTTCCTCGAGCCGAAGCTGCGCAAGATCTGCACCGCCTGCCCAGAGAACTCGCCGGTGTAGGCGCCTCAGGCTCAGATAGGGCTAAGGTTTTTCAGGTTTAGGGTTATGTTCAGGGTCTGGGTTCAGGGTTTAGGGAGAAGGGTTCAGGGTAGAGGGCTGCTCCTAGGTGCTTCCCAGCAACTCATTCACGCTTAGGGTACTCGTTATCTTACCACGCAGTTTCAGTAAGGAACCCCACAAAGGAACAAGGGAATCAGGGTACTACTGGTGGACCTATGCTTAGTTTGGGCTAAAGGTTGTTTTGAGGTTTTGGGTTTAACCCCCCCCCCCCGAACCCATGTACCATGAAACCCTAAACTTTAAACTATAAAAACCCTAAGCCTTAAAACAACCTAAACCTTTTAACCTCTCAACCCTCAACCCTAAACCCTAATCTAAATACTTAAGGGCTGAAATCTCCAGGCTTGTGCTAGGGGTCAGGGGCCTGAAGTCTATGAGCGATTCAGGGTGCAGGATTTATAAGGAGGGCTTTTGTGATTGAGGGTCAAGGGAGTGCAGTGGCTTAGGGTTTAGGGTTTTGGGGTCGCCTGTTCGGAGGTACAGGATTTCTGCGAAGCTTCTTGGAGCAACTGAAGAGAAAGAGAGAGAGAGAGAGAGAGAGAGAGAGGAGGGAGCGAGGGAGCGAGGGAGCAAGGGAGCAAGGGAGCGAGGGAGCGAAGGAGAGAGGGAGAGAGCGAGAGAGCGAGAGAGGGAGAGAGGGAGAGAGGGAGAGAGGGAGAGATGGAGAGACGGAGAGAGGGAGGCCTAAGGTTCAGGGGACATCCAGGGCATCAAAAGGGAGAAGAAAACTGCGCCCACCAACATGATAGCTCAAGGTGCCGACGTCCACAATGACTCTCCGATGGCGGCCCGAAATGCCGTGGTCAGCAAGTAGAAAGTTTTCGTCGGGGTACCTTGGCCGCAAAACAGGACTTAATAAAACGAGGGGTTCTGGGTGTCTGACGTTGATAAGATTTTGAGTTGAGGGTGTTTTTTGGAAAAACACTTAAAGATTACGGGCGTATTTAGCTCTAAGGTTTCAGGTTAGTGTAGGATGATTTCGGACCTGTAGGGTGTAGGGTACCCTACTATAAGCAAGAGGCCCACACCCCTGACAAAGCTTGAAGCGTGAGCGCCTCAAGAGTCTTCTGGAAGGACAGGGGGGGGGGGGCGCGGCCAATCGAACTCGAGATGCCGATCTTGTCGAAGAGCGCCCAGAGACAGGTATGGAAGCAGGGCGTCTGCTTCGGTTTTGTAGTTGTTGTAGAAGAGTGGCAGGCTGTATCGCAGGAGATACGCTATCCTCGGCGTTTCCGAACAGCGCAGAAGGGGCTGGAAGCTTGGCAAGCAAAGGCCAACAGGACGGATGTAATCCGTGGCTAGAGCAGAAACACGTTAGAAACATGCAAGACATGCACAGGAGCTGCGAATCGAGTGCGGCGCCTCTGCGCCCTAAAGACCCTCAACCCCATGGAGCTACAAAGCGAAATGACCGACCAGAAAGTTGTGTTCTTCCTACGAAAACCTCCACTCCCTGAACCAGAGACCGAAGAAAACGAAGCAACCGCTCACAAACCAAAACTTAAAGGAAATTTCGACCCTGCAAAGACAGAACGATCGAGACATACCCAGCAGTTTTTAGGTTCCAAGGCCAAATCTGAAGCGAATAAGGGAGACAAGCAAGACACACAGGCATAAACCCAGAGGGGCACGCATAATTGATGAATATGGAGACGATCGGGTCCGTTGTCTTCCATATTCTTCACAGCGCACACCACCACGCCTCCCCGAACCCCAACTGACCTGTATTTGGCCAGTATGCTATAAGCGACATATTGAGGCTCATGATGCTGGCCCTGCTGCCGGGGTGAGCTTGACAAAAGCCCAGCATAGACAGGCCAAATGCCAAGCATCATCATCATCATCATCATCATCACCATCATCATCATCTGTATCTGTTGGGCCGTTTTTTTCAGGCGACACCGGCCAGAGTCCAAGCATCACGCTTCAGCCGGCGGGTCTTTCAGGTCAGGCCGGATGCAGGGCCAGCATCATGAGCATCAACCGGTCGGCGACTCAGCCCGACCGCAAAAGAACAAAACGCATGGCGTGTGCATTATTTGGAGTCGTCAGGAGAACAAAGATTGTGCGCTGCGCTGCTGCGCTGCGCCTCGACAACCTAACCTACGCACAAGCCGCAACGCTGAACCCTAACCCCGCGTCCTTCCTCCTTTCCTCTTAACATCAGCATGACAGGGGATCCTGTACTGTCGTATGTTAGAAAGGACGGACTTTGGGCGTTGTAGTCCGCTCATCGACTTCCGACTTCGGGAGTTTCTGGGGCGTTTTTGCGAACACGTCGCATGGGAGTACCTGCATCAGGGTTTAGGGTCTATAGTTTCAGGGTTTAGGGTTTAGGGCCCCAGCAAGCGAATACAGGAAACGGGGAGGCGACTAGGTCCTAGGTGATCGACGTAGTCCCTAGGCCCATCCTTTCTACACAATAATTTTGGGGGCAGCTATAAAGGCTTGGTACTTTGGGATATGACAGTTGGATTAGGGATGCAATGTGTTTTAGGTCAGGGTTGTCGGGTGAACGGCTTCAAGTAATCCGGCCCCAGGAGCTTCCGCCAGTTTCCCAAGCATGACTGGGCATGGCGTGACCATTCCTCTTGGGATATGTACAAGTTGTTTACCATGTAATGTCAGGGTTCAGGGCTGGGATTAGCTCTAGGTCGGGCCTGAAAAGGGCACATGCATTGCCACTGTTTGGGTAGGGTCTGGGGTTGGGCTCTCAAAGTTTCCATAGCTCAGGGGTCTAGATGGTCTAGAATTCGGATTTCGGGGCTTTTGGGAACTCATGCGTCCGCATGACGATCTTCCGTTTGGAGTTGCTTGCTTGCTTGCTTCCCATATCGCCCTTTGCTCACGTTCTAGGTGGTGCTGATGCTGGCCTGCCTGGCAGCGTCTGGCGTTTATTCTATGATCTTCGGGGGAGAGGGCGGGGGGTTCTTGCCCCAACGGCCGTGACAAGCCAAAAGCTTCTCGGTGCAGCATACAGCCCTAAACTCTAAACCCTAAACCCAAGCTTGCCACTAGATTGGCGCCTCTAGCCCCAAAGCCCTGCACAACCTCGTCTCGCATGCCTTCGAGCCCGAACCTTCACTCCGTGACGCCGAAGCCACAACCCCGAACCCCAAATCCTAAACCCCCACAGACTGTACCTTATGTTCACATTCTTACATCTTCTACCACCCATAAAATTACGTACGCGCAAAAGGAAACCACTATCTTGGAGGTAGAGATAAATCCCATAACTCCCAAACTGCTTCAAGTATAAGAAACCCCAAACCCTAAACCCTAAACCCTACACCCCAACCCTAAACTAACAAGCCATTAGGCTCCCTCATGAACCTAAGAATCAAGAGGCGAACTTGAGGGTGAGGGGAGGGGGGGGCCCTAGACCCTGAATCCTTGTCGAGTTCAGGTTTGAGGGTAAGGGGCATGGGGTTTATGGGTTGAGGGTTTAGGTCTGTACGGTTCCAGGTTAAGTCTAGGGTTTCGAGTTTAGGGGGTTTACGGTAGGGCTTTAGCTTTAGGGTTTGGACTGAAGGTTCATGTCCCTACACCATAAGACCCATTGCATGCCAGCCCTCTGAGACATCCACCGCAGCCCGCGGGAAAGTTGTGGCGAACCCTGCGCGCTGAAGCTTTGGGCTTCATTTTGGCGGGGGGAGAGGGGCGGGGGGCGGGGGGAGAGGGGGGCTGGGGGGTCTGAACGCTTGGATTTGAAAGGGTTGCGTGTTCAGGGTTTATGATTTTACCGCCTTATGATAGCGGTGGTGTTGGCTAATGTGTGAAGAAAATCAGAATTTAAATGGGCAAGAGGGCACTACTGGAGCGTGTTTACTAAACTATAGCCCGTCCCATATCGGGTAATTAGCCGGACTAGCAGCAGTTGTGCTAAACTAGGGACCTTAGAGACAGATGGGAGAACTGACCATGTCCACCTGGATTGTTCGGGTTAGGTTTAGGTCTTGATCATTTAGACATTGCGGGAACGGACCGCCCAACGTACTTGACGACTACGCTAAGGGGCTAGACCCCCAAAACTCGAAACGTCCAAAGCAACACAACAACCAACCAATACCTGGGCCATCCTGGGCCCTAAATCCTAAACCCACATCCGAGACCCCCATCTCCGAGTAGGACGCGGACAGCCCAGGGGCGTGTTCTGCCCCATCCTTGCGTGCGGCCGTGCAAGGGGATGTTTAGGGTTCAGGGCACTTGTTGGTTTAGGGTTTAGGGTTTGGGGTTTCGGCTAACCATCCTCCTCCTGGCGTGCACAGTGGCATGGATCCCCTTAACCCAAAAGCCCGCCAAACCCTGTTTCTTATAAGCCTCGAATCTGGAACCCCGCAATCGTTCCTCAAGCCCTCAACCCTAAGCCCTAATTCCTAAGCCCGAAACCTGTAAACTCAAAGAACACTGGAAGCCCAGCACGCAACCATATTATGATGAGACCCTTGATTGGTGTTGGACCCCACTGGGCTACCACCCCAAACCCTAAACCCGAAATCCCACACCCTAAACCCTAAACCTCAAGAATGAATCACATGTTCAGTTGCAGTTGGCCCACTGGCTTGAAGCTTTGAATGGTGCGGAGGCTTCAGAGCTTGAAGGATTCCAAGGTTTAGAGTCTAGAGTTTACGGTTGGGGTTTAGGGGTTTACGGCTTTGGATAGGGTTCAGGGCTAAAGACCTCCACCGTGCCTCGACAAAGTACCACTGCAGTGCCCTCCGGCCTTGAGCTCGGGCGCTTGGGGCCGGATCGGGTCGGATTTCGGGCTATACAGGGTTATAGGGTTTGTAGGGTTTATAGGGTTTTGAGGGTCTTTGGGGTTTGTAGGGTTGGGGGGTTACAGGGTTATAGGTATACATGGTTTGGGGGGTTACAGGGCTATAGGGTTTGTAGCGAGTAGGGGGTTGTATAAGATTATAATATAGGATTAGAAGTTCATAGGGTTTTAGGGGGTTATAGGTTTATAGGGTTGTGGGGTTGTGGCAGTTGAACCCCGGAAAGGGGGATCTAGAGGGGCTAGGCGGGCCCGAGACTTCGGGGTTGGGGGACTTGGGAGTGCACAAGGGCCCGGCACCCTCAAAAACCCTTCAATCCTACAAACACTATAAACCCCTTAAACGCTATATGAACCCTGTCAAGCTCACCTTCCGAAGCTCGACACGACATACAGCCCAGAGAGCCCTAAGCCCTAAACCCGGAAACCCTCAACCCTCAATGCTAAATGCCCTAAATTTTGCCCTAAATGGCTAGGCAGGCTGGGATCATGTACCACAACCTGAACCCTAAACCCCTTTTTTAAACCCCTAAAACCCCAGGCCCTGAACCACATGTATACCACAAACCCTAAAACTCAAAACCCTAGACCCCAAAAGACCCTAAAAACCCTAAACCCAACCCAAACTAGCAGAAAAACCTTTTAAGGGTCCACACTAAGGGACCATGTAACTACCCTAACACAACCCCAAAGCCCTATATACCCCCAAAATGGGAGAAAAACCTCTTGGGCACCCCAGCTCTGGTTGCCGAGCAGAGGCCACGGAAGTCCGTGGACGCCCCAGACGGTGTCGAAGAGCAGCAAACGGTTGCTGGACAGGGTTTTAGGGTTTAGGGTTTAAGTTTAGGGTTTTACGGGTGTCGGGTTGAGGACTTATTGACCGGGTTTAGGGTTTACAAGGTTTATCGGGCTGCAAGGGTTTAGGATTTACAGGGTTTGGTACTGTAGCTAACCCCTAAACAGCTTCAAGCCCACAAGGGCCCGAAATCCCGAAATCCGAAACCCTATAATATCCCAGCAACCCGGAACATCCCCGAAGAGGTTCGCTCAATAAGCCACCCCAAACATCCCACACACCACCCAACCCCCCCCCCCCCCCCAAAGAAAAAAACACACACACACACACACACCCAAACCCTCAAATTTCAAAACGCCCGATCCATACAGAACCAAACACAAAAACAGCTGAATGGAATGTTAACTTCTTTGGCGCTAGACTGAACCCTAAACCCTAAGCCACTCTCCCCCCACCCTCCCACACAAATAACATGAAAATTCGCGGCACCTCTTTGGCGCCACGCGCGCCACGGGGCTCCGGGGACTGAGGTTGGGCCTTAGCTTGGGAGTTTCTTGTAATCACCCCAGCTGAATTAGAGGTTCAAGGGTACTTAGAACCTAGGGTTTAGGGTTTAAGGTTTAGTTAGGCCCAGGCTTACCCCAAAATTTACTCTACCTATATTCTACTTAGGAGACTTAGGACCACCTGTTTGGAAAGGGGGAATTCGGGTAGAGCCACCAGAGTTGCACTTCTAACTACATATTTAATATATCCATGGAGCTGCGGGTGAGTTCGGTTCTGACGGACCCCGAAAGCCCAAAAGCCTGAACCCTCGGTGCAGTGACCCCTCTTGGAGATTCACGGGTGCTTAGAACCCCAATTATAACTGTACCCATAAGCCCCCCCAAAATTGCGCCTAAATCAAGCCTTAATTCAATTTGTGCTAAATGCTAGACCCGACACAGCCCTTGGTAGTTACGGCATAGAAGCAAAACACAAACCCCCTGCATCCCTAAACCCAGCACACCCCCACCTTCCCTAAACCTCTAAACCCCTAAACCCTTAACCCCTTAAAACCTTAAAACCCCTAATCCTAAACACTAGACCCTAGACCCTAAACCCTAGCCCGCGCAACTGGAGGCCGGGCCAATCTCCATCTAGCGACCACAGCTCCAGGTCACCTCTCTAACATACGGATATGGTCAGTTCTCAAAATTATGGTCCCTTTTTGGGTATACCCTATATAAGAGGGTCCGCCTTACAATAAGGACCCAAAACAAGATCCTATTTTTGAGAAAAGACCATACAAAGGGAGACGCAGGGTTCGGGGGTTCAGACGTTTTGGGTTCTGGGGTTCTGGGGGTTAGGGTTTAAAGGGGTTAAGGGTTTTAAGGGTTTTGGTTGAGGGCTTCGGGTTTAGAGGTTTTAAGAGTGGACATAAGGCTTTGAAGGGGGTAACTAAGGTCTAGGGTCAAGGGTTTAAGGGTTAAGGGTAAGGGGTTTAGAGGGTTAGGGGATTAGCGGTTTAAGAGGATCATTGTTGTTAGGCCCTAACGTAGGGGCCTACTTCATTGGAATGGATGTCTTTCACTGCAGCTGTAAAGAGGGGTTCTAAGAGGGTTTACAGGTCGGTGGGAAAGGGCTGAGGGATTGAAGCATGGGGCCCAACACCCCGCCCCCCCCCCCCCCCCCTACGACCCCGGCCCCCTACCCCACCCTTTTTCAAAACGCCAACCCCCACTTTGCTGCAAGCCTTCGTCACAATCTATGAATATCCTTTCTATGTACACCCTCCAGACCCATAACCCCGATTCACTCCAAGGAACGAAGTCGATATGTATTCCAGGTTATTGTATATGGCATCACGCACTATCCTCGCGTTGCCTGTGTAGCTAGCGCCGTCCAGGTCATTCACGAAGAGTAGGGCATTGACACGTGGGAGTCGGCTATCCTCACACAGCTGTGCATGAGGAAGAGGGCTTCGTGTTGCCACGCCCTTGCGCACCTAAATACCCGAACATGGTGAGCTGACGAACTTCGACCCCTAAACCTTAAACCCCGAAACCCTAAACCCTAAGCCCCGAACCCCCCACATGGTCGTCCTCGAAGGGCGTGGGCGGGGCATCTCGATGGACGCGCTGAGATCGATCCTGCCGCATCGTTGTGTGAGGCACCCCTAAACCCTAAACCCCGATATGGGTTTTTGTAGGGTTTAGAGTTTAAGGGCTTAAAGGGTTTAGGGCTTAGGGCCTAGGGCTAGCCCTTTCTTTTGGGGGGCCTTAGCTTTGGAACTTCTGTGTCGGCAGGGTGGGGCGGGGCGAAGCTAGTAGTCAGTAGTCATGGCAACCTCAACCCCCAGGAAGGATAGGAAGTATTTGGGTTTAGCGTTTAGCGTTTAGGGTTTAGGGGGTTTAGGTCGGTTCCTAGGGTGCGCGGGTCGTTCGGCACTTGCTGATTGTGGGTGCCCCGGTCAACCCTCATCCTAAACCCTAAACCCTGATCCCCCTCCTCGTGCAAGCCCAGGTACCCCGACGGGAGCGTCTCCAGGAGGTTGCCTGCAAGAAGGTTCAGAACCCCAAGCCCGAAACCCTAAGGTTTAGGGCTTAGGGTTTAGGGTTTGGGGTTTGGGGTTTAGGGCTAAGCCCATGAAGCCTCTCTCTCCCTCTCTCGACCGAAGACACAAGTGATGACAAGTTCTTGGAGCAAGGATCCCGGAAGTCCAAACCCCATACCCCAAAACCTAGCATCCCACCGAGTTCACTACGAACCCCTTCGTCGGGCCTCGGGGTTTAGGGTTTAGGGTTCAGGGTTTAGGGTGCGGAATCGAGTCTCATGTGGCAGGGTTGAGTTGGGGGGGGCTAAGGAGGGCTGTCCGGTTTTCAAAAGGGTTTTTGGGACCTCAACCCTTAGCTCCCTCGTGCCTTGTTTAAACCACGGTGCCGGGCGCAGCCGCCGGTGCGTGATCTCAGGGAAGGCCCGACCACAGGAGCTGTTGTCTCTACAGTGGAGTTTCAGGGTTTTGGGCCGTGGGTTTTGCAAGGCATCCTATCATGAAAGGGGCCCTGGGTTCAAACTTCAGGGTCTTGCTGCTAGAGTCCCCGCTTCGGTGTGCTCATGATGATCCGGATGGGAAGTGCTGGTTGTCCGCAACGCCTAAACCCTACACACCCCACAAACTCTAACTCCTCAACCCCAAGCCGAAGCTTTCGGAGCTCCTACGAGCCTTCCAAACCCTACTACTACAAACCTCGGGCTAGGGTCCCTAAAGCCCAAACCCTAAACCCGATGGAGAGTGTGCACCTGCTCCAGCAGGGCCAAGAACTGCTCTGAGAGGAGGTAGTGGCTGACCTGCGCAAGCTGCGGGTCAGGCGGCAGATCCTAAACGCAAACAACCCTATAAACCCCAAAACCCCGAACCCTGTATCACCCCAAACCCTAAACCCAGCTAAACCCTAACACCTGAATCCCTAAACCTGAAAATGCGAAACCCTAAGCCCTAAAAAGCCCTGAACCTTTCTTGGGTGAGAGTTCTGGGCTTCAATTTGGTGTTTCGGATTGAAGTTGGGAGCTCAAGCCGCGTTCCTCCATGCTTCCTCAATCTATGCATGAGACTATGCACCTTACAAGAGATGTGTTTCTGGTTCAGGGCTTAGGGCTGTATCCCCGAACACAGGATCTAACTAGCTAAAGCTACACCTACCCACCCAACGACACAGGGCTCAAGGGGAATGTGCTAGTACCTTAAACTTGGAGTATACAATGCCAAGTCCGAAACACCAACCCTAAACCCTGGACCTTTTTGCAATTGAAATAAACCACACTTGCCAGAATGGCTTAGGGTTTAGGGTTTAGGGTGAGGCTTCATGTCGATCCAACCCCACATCCGGTTCCTGGCGCACCTCCATGGCCCAAGGCGTGCTTATGGCGGCGCTGATCCTGCGAAAATCGTCTGGGGTTTAGGGTTTAGGGTGGGGATGTGGGTTGGGCGTATAAGGTGCCGCGTCGCGTGTCCGTGCCCCCCGCCCCTGTCCCCCCAACCCCCCGCACCCCCTCCCCCCACCGGCACACAAGCCCTATAACCCTTATTAAGCCGTTAACCCCTTGTCCGTAAACCCGAAAGCCCAAAACCCCCCAGCCCAAAACCCCCCGCACCAGACTGGACATGGCGGGAATCCTCCTTAGGGTTGATAAAGGGTTTGGGCTTGGGGTTTGGGGGTTTACTACGCAAACTAGGCAACTATGGACCATCACAAAATAGCAGCCCAGAGAGCACGGGCTGCAGGTGGCCTCCCGAACTCGTGCTTCCCTGGCCTCGGCAGCAGGGGCTCTCGCTAGGCTTTCGGATTCACCCTCCTGCAGCACTGCAGTCTAAAGTCTGGTCAAACAACCGAAAAACCCTCACAGGCCGACAAAGCCCAAACCCTAAACCCCATTATTGCCCGCAAAACCATGCGAGCACTATAATCCCTAAGGGTTAAGGGTTTGGGGACTCTAAACCCTTACCCTAGTGCCCGGCTGCAGCTCGCACTTCAGGGTGCCAGATGTGCAGTCCGCCAACACCTCCTTGAAAGCGGGGTTTAGCGTTTACGGTCCTAGATTCCTAGATTGAAGGTCATTTGCAGGTTTCAGCTTCTAAGTAAGGCTGTACGGGCTTCTGAATGCGCCGCTTGCAAGAGCGATATGAAAAGGGGAGGAGTGTTGCCGCAAAGCCCTGCATATTTGAGCCGCACTCATACAAATCTTATGGGCTGCTACCACACTCGCTTTGAGCACCGGCCGAAGGTACTTGGCCATCGATTCCATTGCATGATGAACTGAGGGTGACAGCTTTCCATGACTATGCCGAGTTTTTTCGTCTTGCCTCGTCATGCAAGTCATGCAATTCCGTCGCTTAATTGAGAGAGAGAGTTTTGCAAAGGCCAAGTGCTGGGCGGGTCGTCGCAACAAAAGGGGCTGCGAAAAATCTGCGCCCTGCACCATGGCAGGTGGCGGAGCAGGTTGCAGAAGCTTTTGGAACTTTACAAAGACTGCAGCCCAACAACTCGACAGATGTACCTTGTCAGCCTTCAAGAAACTTCAGGGGCACTGAGTACTTTGGTGTTGCGTTGTAGAACTGGGCAAAAGGCCGTCCAACTGCAACCTGCGGACGACACCATGACAACGCGCCGAGGGCAGCCGCACGCACTTCCCCAGCACAGGATCCCATTTGGCCCCTATAAAGCACTTTGAAAAATGCGCCTAAATTGTAAGATCCGAGTCCTGCCCAGTATGTGACAGTGCAGGGCTGGCCTTGAAAATACCCTGCGGCTTGCGCGAGGTGTAATTACTGCACGAAACACGAAACGCCCGAAACGCCCAAAGGGTCGAGGGTTGCCATATTGAACCTAATTTTAAGGGGTGCAAGTCTTGTGCTTTATGAATTACGTGTTCATCATGCACAGGCCTTGACATGCAGAATGTCTTTGGGCTGTGCCCGGTACCACAACGGAATGGGTGGCGGCCTGTACAGCTACAGACAAGAAGACCCATAGCATAGCAGCCAAAAAACAGGGCATGGTCTGACAATCTGCAGGGACATTCATTGTGAAATCTTGGCCGGCAGCTCATGTAGGCATATTCTCAAATCGCCCGGACCTTGCCCTGATACATAGTATGGCCTGGAAAATGCGTTAGACCTTTTTGGGTCAGACCTATTTGCCGGCTTTCGCTATGAGTGAGCCAGCATCCACGTTCACATCTGATCTCGTCATTTAGGTGACGTCAGTCGATTGAATAAGTTCAGTGCCACCATTGGCTACATGCGGTGAAGGGTGGAGTGAGCCGGCACAAACTGGATTGAGGGGTTGCATCAGGAACACAAACTGAAACATGTGCTCTGCTCGGGCCGCATGGTGCAGCCCTGGGCGCTGAGAAAAGCTTCTCGTAATTCGCGCTCAGCTTGTGGGCTTTCGACATGAAGCTCTCGAAATCACCTTGCAGTCCTCGGTTCTCAAGTAACCTAAGAAAAGTGGGTGCCGTGCTTTGCAAGAATGGGGCTCATTTGGGACCATAACCCCGAAGCAGGGTCCAAAACCCTAAACCTGAAACCCTAAACCCTAAACAGTGTAAACTCTATACTCTAAACCAGAAACCGTAAGCCCTCAACTGAGGCTACTGAGCATCCTAGAATCTCTCAAAGAGTTCCAGGACGTTTCGGTGACCCGCTATCAGCTCTTCCGGTATGGACCAGCTCCTGAGTCCGGGTGTGACATAGGCTTGACCGGGTTGAGGGTTAAGGGAGGGGGGAGAAAAAACGGTGGGAGTCTTGATCAAGTTCTGATATTCATTTCTAAACCCTTTGAGCCGTTCTTCGGCGACGCCAGCCACGGTGGTGGAGCCGTTGTGCTGCCGGAGCCTGCGCACAAAGAAGTGTAGATGGTTCAGGGTCGAGGGAATACTACACTCCCCGTAGATTAACTCCTCCGCGGCCCCTGAAGTCTCGAGGGCCCTTGGGATGCCCTTGGGCAAACGCCCAGAGGCCTCGTTCTTCTTCATCCCCCTGTCCGTGACATGCTGACCAGGCCAGGAGCAGCTTGGACAAGTGACATTGAATGGCCTGGTCCATCATCATGGCCAGATTGCGCAGCGCACGAGTTCGTGCGTTTAAGGCAGTTGCCATGGTGACCACTGAATACGCTTCTTCAAGGCCTTCAAGGCCTGGTGACGCCATGGCTGGGCTTTTGCTGAGGCTCCACTGCCCCCTAACACTTTCCCTCTAAACCCATGGCCACGGCGCTCAGGGCTGCACACGCTTCCAATGGGTAGTCGGGGAAATGCAGATCGGAGTCGTTACGATGAATCTGTACACTCACACGAATGCGGGCTACGTACCATCAAGAGTACGGGTACTTGGGGTAGTCTCTATTATACATATATACATATCGCTGTGGCTCTACATAGGGGTATGTCGCGGTGTCCCGCCACCCGCCTGTGTTACATACGTATGTCGCGCCCATTTGTTTCATACGTATGTCGCCGGGTTTGTCGCGGCTGTTTTGCGCTGTCTTGAGAAAGAGATACGAAACCCATGCAGTTCCAAGAAGGGGCTTGTCGCAAAGGCTTGTCGCGGAGGCTTGTCGCGGAGGTTTGTCGCGGACTGCTTGTCGCAAGCAGAACGGCTTTGTTACAAACCCCATGTCGCGGAAAGACGCCCGGGAGCCAGTTACATACCTAGGCTTTTGAGCCGCACCCATATGTGTATATATATATATATAGTTGTGTCAGAGTTATAGGTTTACAAGGGTAAAACATTGGAATATTTTTGGGCCCCTGTATTGGATCTAGACCGCCGTTTGTCCCCACAAGCCAAAAACAAAGCCTCAGACCTTCAAACGTGCCCTGAAGCGCCCTGAAGAAAGGTCGGGTGCGCTCAATTGTGCTTGAGCCCAGCACTTTTTAGCCCACAGCAGGGCTCTTGCATGATGTGGTCCTCTTTTGGGGTTCCTATCATAATACGGAGGCCTCTTTTGAGGGTACCCATAAAAGGCCATAAAGGGCCAATAACTTAGAGATTCCCCCGCACCCAACGCGCCTAACTTGGCCCTTAACCTTATCCCTGGGCTTCCGGCACACATGTGCACGCCGCGGTCGCGCAGCTCCTACTGTCAAAGGGGTTCTGGTGTGGGTCCGTCGTACGGGTCAAAAAGCATTTGGGCGGCTAAGAAGCGACAAGCCCTAAACCCCCGTAGGTACAAGGCTCCGTACTGTAATCAGATAGTCCCACCTGAAAGCCACCATGCGTGGCGGTGCAGGCTCAGGGTTGAGGGTTTAGGGGCGCCGCCCCCTGGATGGGCGAAGCCCATCCGTCCTCCATTAGGGCAGGCGCCACTGCCACCGGCAGAAAGTCATCCATCACCACGAAGCCTCCGGTGCGCAAGAAACCCTAGACACCCTAAAGCCTAAACTCTCAACAGAAAGGTTTGGTAGCCCAATAGCCATTTATCCTAAGACCTCAGGCCCCAAGACCCAACCCTAAGCCAGAAGACCCAAAGCCCTAAACCCTAAATAGAGTTTGCGGCCAGGTGGAATTCAAGGCTGACGAGTCAATCGAGAAGGCATGTGCCCTACACCAAAAACATCCCGAACCCCTCGGCCATCACTCCCCTGAGTCGAGGCCCTCAACCCATTTTCAGCCCTAAACCCTAAACCCTAAAGCCCTAAAACCAATAAGCCGTAATAAGGACACCTCACGCCCTACGACCTAAACCAACCCAGAGCCCGAGGCCAAGGCGCGGCCGCCGTGGCCTCTCCGCAGGCAAGTCAAAGCCTTGTGGTTTATTGTCCAGGGTTGAGGGTTGAGGGTTGAGGGCTGAGGGTTGGGGGTTGGGGGTTTGGGTTGAGGGTGATAAGGTTTGGCGCTTAGGGTTGAAAATGGTTGGGCTGAGGGTTAGGATTGTAAGCTACGGGGGTTAGGGTTTTAGGGTTTAAGGTGTAGGGCTTAGGGTTGAAAATGGTTGAACGGTTTGGGTTGTCTGTTTAGGGTTTAGGGTTGAGGGCTTTAAGCTGTTAGGGGCTTTAGGGTTTTAGGGTGGAGGATTGAGGATTGTCAGGTTTGGAGTGAAGATTTTAGGGTTCTAGGGTTTTAGATTCTTATGGTTTAGGGTAAGGGCTGAGGGTTTGAAGGTTTGGGGTCAGGGTTTCGGGGTTTAATGTTGAACCCTGTTTAGTGTAGCCCCCCACCCCCCCCCCCCCCGAACAGTCGAGGCGTGGATGTTGCCCTGTTTAGACGGCCCCGGGATTTTTTTTTATTATGATTTTAATAGGGAGGAGTTTAGATAGATTGAAAAGGGATCCATATGAATTTAACATGGATGAGCTTATCTGAATTAAAAGGGGCCCATATGATTTTACAAGGGATGAGCTTTTATGAACGAAAAGGGGTCCATATGAAGTTAAAAGGGATGAGCTAATATGAAGTCCAACGGGGTCCATATGAATTTAACCGTGCGAATCGAAACGGGATCCGGGATGAGTTCATGTGAACGCAAACTGGATCCATAGGCTTCTTCCAAATTCGAAGCCTCCGGGCCGGGGCCATGACGTAAAACAGGGCCCCAGGTCAGTGCCATTATTCGGGACCGAAGTCGGCTTGAACGAAAGCAATTTTTCAAACGGTTTCTTAAAGGGAATTAATGGTTTCGGGCCGGTTGGAATGGATGAGATCGGCCTTCCAAATCACAAGGTCCGGCTTTAAAATCATAAGGCCCGGCTTTAAGCCAAGAGACCAAGGAATCCAAATTCGGAGCCTCCGGGCCGAAACAAGGCCCAAATCCTTGTGAAAACATGCCGGATTCCGGGAACCGTTTGACTTTAAAGAAGGACTCCCAAACAGTCAGGATGCCCTGAATAACTCAGCCAAATTGACTTTACAGGGGAGGCCCCTGCTTAACAGGCTCCAACATCAAGGTTTAGAGGTTTAGAGGTTTAGAGGTTTTTAGAGGTTTTTAGAGGTTTAGAGGTTTAGAGGTTTAGAGGTTTAGGGTTTCGTGTGTTCAAGGTTTTAGGTTCGGGCTTCGGGGTTTGGAACTTAGCAGATCAGAGGCTTCTATGTGAGACGGTCGGGGGGGGGGGGGGTATGGGGTTCAGGTTTGGGATCAACAAGGGATTTTCAGTAGTGTGCAGGGTTTTAGGTTCAGGTTTTGGAGTTTTGGGATGTAGGGAAGCTTAGAACAACTGATAGTAGTAAGGTGTAGGGGGTTTAGCGTCTCCACCCTTTCAAAATCGGGGATGGTTGCTGCCGTCGTTTCACTGTGGATATTGTTATTGGTATTTGATGCTGTAGCTATACCGCTACGATGTGAGACTGGGCTAGGGTTCCCTTTCATGAGGTAGTGCCTTTGTGAAGAAGGAGTCCGATTGTGAAAGGCAACTAGTACTCAGAATACGACCTAGGCTTGGGGGGGGGTTTAGAGAAGGGTAGAAAGGGTGATTTTAAGCAAGGTCCAGGGGCTGTTTATAGTGTAGGGTTTGGAAGGTTGTTCGTTGTAGCAAGGGTTACATGAAGTTTGGGACTTTGGGTCGGTTTTAGTGTTTGCGAAAACTGGGGGTGAAAAACTACTAGTTCTTTCTTAGGCTTTGGGATGTAACTAGACCCTACACCCTAAACCTAACCCTAAACACTAAACACTAAACCCTAAACCGCTTTCTAGTATAACTCACCTTACAACTGCTCAAGGAGGGACTGCGGCAAGGGTGGAAGGTTTGAGGCTTCTTTAGTTTGGGGGCTGTAGGGTGTAGAGTTAGGGTTCAGGGTTTAGGGTTTCGGGTTTGGGGTATAAGGAAATAAAAAACAGAAAGCCCTACACCCCTAGATCCTAAACCTCCAAACCCCGAGCCCTGCAACCCCCAGAAGCCCCCTGAACCCCTAAAACCCTCACCTCGAAACCCTGAACCCCTCAAGCCCTTCAAGCCCTAAAGCCCTGAACCCCCAAACCCTAAAGCCCTACACCCCCAAAGCCCTACCTGCAGGCTTTGGGGTTCTAGGGCTTGCCCTTGGGAGTTTAGGGTTTTAGGGAAGATCACTACCCTAAAGCCCTAAACCTTTTTGAACAACCTTCAACCGCCAAACGCCTGACCACTAAACCGAGAACGCGGAGGCCCAGGCTCAGCAACTTCTCAAGCTGGGGCACCGCCTCCTCCAACCTCTCAACTCTCTTTTCTTCTTAGAGTTTATGTGCGAGTGTAGGCGGTTTATAGGGTTTAGGGTTTAGGCTCAAAAGATGGTGAAACAGGCCTCAGGCCCAGGCCCTAGGCGCAATTGGCACCAAATTATAAGGTTGTTGAGCTTGCGTCTTGCAAGCCAGCATGGAACCGGCGGCCCTGCCCTGCTAGCACACCATGTGCCATCAGTCGGAGCGCCGGGGACTTAGAGCTTAGGGACCCTGCTGGAGTGGTCAGGAGCAGAACGTCGGGTTTAAGGCTTAGGGTGTTAGTTTAGGGGGGTTGGGGGTTGGGGGGTTAGGGCTTTAGGGCTTTTGGGGTTAGCGGCGCCCAAAACCCTAGACCCCACCACCGCCCACCCTGCCTTGCGGTAAGAAGGTCCGCCCATAGCCTGAGCTGTGGATACTGCTGAAGTGCAGAGCCCCATGGCTGAAGGTTCAGGGATTACTTGGAGGTTCATTTCCTGCTTGAAACTATTCAAGGGAACCCTTCAAGATTCAGGCCCAGGTTTTCGGGCATGTTAGCCCAAGACCGAGCACGAAAAGCTCGGTTGGCAGAATGAAGTTTCCGGCTAACCCTACACCCAAACCTTAACCAGAGCTTAAAAAGGCAGCGGGATTTAAGCTCTCAAGATGCCATCCCTGCGATGAGAAAAAGCAGCCTGGGATTCAAAAACCGAATAAGAGCCTCGGGGTTTTGGTTTAGGGCTTAGGTCAGCACCGCAAAAGAACAAAAATGAAACCCGAAGCCTGTCATTCACACAGCCGCAACTGAACTTGAACCGAATGAAACCCCCAAACCCAAACTAAACCCTGATCAAACCCGGAAACCTAAACCCTGCCGCGGACTTCAAACCCATACCAGACTGTCCAGCCCTCGCTGGAACCCTACCCTAAACCTGAAACCCTCCTGAACCCCTCGGGTTCCAACTTCCAAGACAAGGCTGAAGCGAAGTTGCCAGGGCCGTCGGGCACCTGCATTAGGGGCTTTACTAGAACAGGGTTCTGGGGGTCAGTATAATTGTACCCAATACGGGAATACTAGTAGTACTTCTGCCAACCCCCATAAGGCATGCTGGGGGCTAAGGCTTAAAATGGTCTGATGTGGCTTAACAGGGCTTAACGGGCTAACAGGGATTGATCGGGTTTAACTTGATTGGCGCGGTCCCCCGGAAGTGTGCTTCTCATTTCGCACATTATTTGGCAGGAACATTATAGCTCCTTGAGGCCCGAAACCCTAAACCCTAAACCGTAAACCCTAAGCCCTATAAACCAAAAACCCTAAGCCCTAAAGCTTAGGTGAGGTCACATAGCTGGGGGCAAAACATTCCAAGATTTCGAGGTCTGAGGACTTGAGGGTTGCGCATGACTGGAACGTACTGTTCTGAGGTTCCCGCCAATCCCTATAAGAGGCTTGAAGCGGTTTAAGTTATATATCTATATACATATACATGTGTATCTGTATTTTTCTGTACGTACAAGGGTTATAACCGTTGTGCATGTATGTATGTATATGTACATGCGGAAATCCTAAACCCTCATCAACTTCTGTCCCTAGGAAACCCTCATCAACTTCTGTCCCTAGGTAGCCAGGTCTCTGAACGACTACGGCCCCTTTATCGCGGGGGGCCCTGTTGCAATACAGCTCCAAAAGTGAGTACCTAAACAGGGCCCAGAATGTAGAGAGAGTTCACCATCATGAACCCTAAACCATAAACCCTAAAGTCCCTAAAGCCCACGCTCAAAAGCCACGACCCTCAAACGCACTCAAAAAACCCAAACCTTCGAAGCGGCTCTCAGAGTCGGGTCGAGGCTGCCCAAAGCACCCTAGAATTTGTAAGGGGAATCGGGCTCAGGATGGCTCAGGACTTATTAAGGGTTTTAGGGGGGGGGGGGGGGGGGCGGCGACCTAGAGTGATCCAGACACCCTTAAAGACAGGGCTCTGTACCTGAACTCTTGGTATACTCCCTGGTGAAGGCACTTGACTCAGTGACTCTAACCAAGCCCCAACCCCCAAACCCCAACTTCAACTTTGGATCATTAGGGAACCCAAACCCTAAACAAAAAGGGAATAAGGGCCTACTCTGGGTCCTAGTGTTAATTATAGGGTTCTGGGGTTATAGGGATATAGGGTCCTTGAAGCATCTAGAGGCTTGGCGCATCGTGGGGGATCTATTGAGGGGCCCTAAACCAAAAAACCCTAAACCTCAAAAGTGTTCGGAGCCTTCCCCGGCTGGAAGGAGTTCAGCAGGCACTCCACGTGGGAGGCAGAGTCCGCGCCTCTGCAGCTCGAGAGCTGAAAGCTGTCGGACTGGAGAAAGAAGTATTTGCTGCTAAGGCTTGGTCCTTTAGGGTTTGGGGTTTAGGCTCCCTAATCCCTAGCCCTAATCCCTAAACCCTGAACCCTAATTGAGGTACTTATGGCTACCCATAACCTTCAAGATGGGAAAGGGGCCGAACATCCACCAAACCCCAAAGCCTGAAGCTCCACTGCGGTTTTGCCCACCACACCAATGGAACCACGGCATCTGGGTTTCGGGTTTTGGGGGTTTTGTGGTTTTGGGGTTCTGGGCTTTGGTGGTTTTGGGGTTGTGGGGTTGAGGGGTTCCGGGGTTCAGGGCTTTTGGGTCTGCGGTTCAGAGCGCGTGGCCTTTGGAGTTGAAGGTTCAAGGGTTTAGGACTAGGGGGGCTAGGGGCGTTAGGGGTCTGGAGCGGCGGGTTTAGGGTCGAGAAGTTTACAATAGGGCTGCAAGGCTTTCGGGTTGAGAGGTTACGGCTGAGAGTAAAACCCGACATGCCCTACACCCTAAGTACATTATTGGGTTGGGAGCCCTGAACCTTGTTGGGTCTTTCATTGGGTTGAGGAGTGGGGATCCCGGAACCCCATACACCTTCGGAACCATGTGGCTTGAGAGTGGATGATTCTTGATTTTAAGTTCTTGAGTTTAGGGTTTAGGCTTTGAGGTTTTGTGGCTTAGGGCTTGGAAGTTTCTGCTAGTAAACCCCAAAACACGTGACGTGTCTAGGCAGCCCACCTGCCCGCGGATCGCAAGCATGCGAGCCTGGGGGACGCGGGGGAGAAACATGCTTGCTCTGATGTCGGGATGCAGGCAACGCGAAAGCCCAAACCGCCATCTTCATACTTAAGGGTTTCGGATTTAGGGTTTAGGGCTGTAAGCCCTACAAGTGCTAAGTTAAACCCGATAAGCACGGTAAACCCTTTCAGCCCTCATTCATACCCTGCAAACCCGCCAAACCTTTTTTAGCCCCAAAACCAAACCCCAATGAGGCCCCCGCCTTGTGGCAAGAGGGGGCACCATCTTTGCGCGATCGCTCCAAGAATCCCAGATTCTACGAACTGAAGGGCTTGTTCAGGGTCCTGCGTTCAGGGTGCGAGGGTTGAAGGGGATTTGAGGTTGCGCCCTTTACGGACTTCCGGGTGTTTACGCATTCCGAGAGTCTAGCCCCGCAAGCCCACTCGTGCGCGCCGTCTTCTTTGGTCCAAGAGGCTGATGCATGGAGCAGCCTCCAGTCGGCTGACAAGCACCTCAGAGCCGGTGATGGCAGCTTCGGTGTGGAGGGTTTTGGCCTAAACTCTGACGCCCTGAGCCCTGAAGGCCATAAAGCTTGAACCCCATAAAGCCTAAAGCCCAAAGAGGTGGGGCTAACGAGGGTCAGCTTTACAAGACCCGGGTTGAGGTTCAGAGTCAAGGGGGGGGTTTGGTGTGCAGGGCTTTCAAGGCTGGGGTTTAAAGGTTTTTATTTAAAGGCTTAGAAGGCTGGGGAGCGAAGTCGGGGTCGCATGACAACCCCCCAGACATGAGGGCGCCCCACTTTCAGGGACTCTTGGAGCCTCTCCTGGCAAGGACAAGTCATTGAAATTGCTTTTTAGGGGCTTAGAGTTTTTGGTGTTTTGGCAGCTGGGGTTTAGGGGCGAAACTTCAGGGTTTGGGGCAACTACGGGCGCAAGAGCTCTATTACATTAGGTTCTTTCAGGGTTTAGGTTGGGGAGTTGAGGGTGTAGGGCGTAGGGCTTAGAAGGCTCAGGGTTCAAGACTACTGTGTTTGGGACTCCGGCTTGGGATGATAGGACTTTTAGGGTTCTGGGCTTCTTGTTTGGGACGTCGGACTTATAGGGTTTAGGGTTTGTGGTTTAGGCCTCGGGGTAGGCCTTTCAGATGTACACTGAGGGTCGCAGCTTGAGGAACAGAGATTTCAAAATGGGAGGCCTCATTAGTTTTCCAGGCTTCGATTAAGAGTTTAAAGGGGGCTTTTGTAGATTCTGGGTTCCGTCTTGAAGTTCCTGTTATCATGCGAAGCTTTACGTTTAGAGCCCCCACAATTTATGGAGACTCCCTCATGTTCGGTACTCAGGGGCATGCAGGGCGCTGCCCCCCCTTAAACTGCCTTAAGCCCTATATGAACCCCCCAACCCTAAACACTAAACCTTAAACCCGAAACCCCCACACCCTAATATCCCCCCCAACCCTAAATCCTAAACTACCCGAAACACTCATGAACGACTCAGCCACATTTCGTTTAAGACCCCACCGGTGTCCCGCTTCGACTCGTTCTCCGTTAGCATGTAGGGGTGTACGATAAGAGGAACCCCCCCAAAACGCTCAGGGTTACAGCGTTTTGGGGCTTAGGGGTTGGAGAACTGCCCATGTTAGAGGATTTAAATCACAAGGCTGTCCCAGCTGGCCTCCACCCCAACGTGCAAGCGGTGGATGGGCACATCCTGAGGCGAAACCGTCCCATCGGTGAAGCCAAAAACGCAGGGCCTGCGTGCCCCCAACAGTAAGCTGGGGCCAGGACGCTCAAGCCATAGGCGTCCTCGCTCGCCGGCTTGGGCCTGGAACTCAGCTTGTTCGGGCATCGGGGTTATTGGCTTTAGGGTTTGGGGTATATGGTTTCGGGTTTGGGATTTATTGGGTTTCCAGGGTTTATTGGTTTTAAAGGGCTTTTCGCGTTTATAGGATTTATATGGTAAATACAGGGTTTTCGGGTTCAGACCTCAACTCAACCCGAAGAACACGAGGTTGGCGTCCCGCGGAGCCCCAGACTCAAAACATCTTGGCTTGATCTAGTATAGAGTAGATTGTACACATAATATTCTAGAATAGGGTGTGGAGTTCTTCTTGAGATCTGCCAAAGGCCGTACCTCCGCCTTTCCATCTTCATGCACTCCTGTCTCTGTGAAGAATACTTCAACAAGCTTCTGTTGATCAGCTTCTTCAAACGGTGCCAAGTCTTCAGCATCATCGTGTTGTGAAAACTTCTGTTCTGATGGACACTTGTGCGGAAGAACTGATACACCGACATGTAGTCCAAGAAACACCAGGAGTACTCGTCATGCCAAAGCTGGGCCGAGGCGATCATCGCCAGTTGATTCCCTCTGGGATCAGGGTGCTCCCTGGTTTCCCACACATGAGACACGCCGATAATCCGAACCTTGCTGCGAGAGGCTTCGTCTGTCTTCCACTTCTGTAACTCCTCGCGCGTGACGAAAGCATCTGGGTACCTCGGATGGTGTTCTAACTCCTGGCGACGGATGAAAGTCTGCTTCTCCGCTGCTTCTCCTGTCAAGGGCTTTCAGGCAGGTTCCCCGCACCAGGCGAATGTCTACCCTCTCATCCAGGAGGAGGTCGGCTAAGCCAGAAGGATCCTGCAGGTTTGTGTAGAGCCGCCCGACTTTCTCCTCCCCTGAAGCAGTCACGCCTCCGCCTTCGTGCATTGCGGCCCTCGCCTGTTCATCGATCTTTGGCTGCGGCATCCCTTAAAGTATGCGCAAAAGACATCTTGCGCGCTTGGTACCCCTAAGACTCTGCTACTTTAGCAGCGAAAGGGCCAATTTGGATCAACAGCCCCCCCCCCCCCCCCGGAGTTTCGGGGGTCAGGGATTGAGGAGTCCTGTATAGTGTCGGCTTTAAGGCGCTCTAAACACTACACTACACCCGAACACCAAAAAACAGTAGCCTTCTGTACTCTGCTGTAACTGCTGTATGCAGACTAGCAGGCTGGTACCTTGTCCAGGTCTGGGCGGCCAGGTCGGCAGCCTTGATAGGAGTGTTGGGTAAGGCAGGGGGTTTGCGAACAATGACCAGCCCTAAACCCCAACCCTAAACCCTAAACTCAAAAGTAAACCTAAACCCTGAATCCTGAACCCTGAACCCCTAAAACTATACTGCCTATACCTCGAAACCCTGAATCCTAAATCCTACCCAGGGACGCTGAACTTTAAACCGGAACAATCTAAAGACCAAACCAAATCCTAAGAGCACCCAAACACCTCCGAAGACTCCAAACCTGAACCCTACACTCCCCCTGCCCCCTGCACTATGCCAAGACAGCAACAGCCCGCCAAGCACCTCTCAAGAAACTAAAGGAGGGAGCCTTGTAAGGGACTAGATAGGGAAATAGACGGGTTCTGTAAAGGTTACATAGGGGACGCTTATATCAATTAAGCCTCCCTACACCGTAAACCCTAAACACAAAGAACCTTGATGCTGGGTAGCACGGAGGGCCATCGTCTCAGCTGGCAGCCTGCCAGGGCTTACGGTTCGGGGCTTTCGGGCTTAGGCTTGCCTTAGTACGTCTGTTAAGGCTTTTGCGCTTTTGCAGCTGGCCAGGGTTTTGCGTTTTGGAGTCACTGTCAAGACCAAGAGACGGCCCACACATGCCCTTACTAAACCCAAAGCCCCTACTAAACCCCCACAGCCCCGAAACCGCGCCCACAAACACCCTAAGCCCTGTAGCCCACCACCCTAAAGACCCAAACCCCTAAAGCCCTTAAGCCCGAACCATCCTTAAACGCACAAAAAAACTTCAACCCGGGCTGGGCTTCTGGCTCTCCGATCTTCCCTGCGGCCAAGCCGGGCAGCTCGCGCAGGCGCTGCATGTGCATCCAGCCTAAGGCTTTTAGGGGTTTGGGGGTGGTTGGGGCTTCGGGTAGGCTTTCGGGAAGGGCTTACAGCACAAGGTATATGGTTCTCAGACTGTACAGGCTTCATAGGGTCGTAGGATAAAGCCCAGGATACCACCAACCTTCTCTCATATCCAAAAGACAAGCGCGTTGAATTCTATAATAAGCCTTGCAATTTTACCCACAAATCTGCCAGCAAGATCCTGCAAGCGAAAAACCAGAACGTCCACTGCGAAGATCTCCAACGTGCCACAGTGCCACTCTAACCGGAGGCAACTACGCCGGAAGCCGTCGGAGGTGTTCAAAGACAATGCGTTCTCAACTCAACCAAAATGACCTAGATGGGAATTCAGGTCTTTAAAGAATTTGGGATTGGTTGGCCCATATTTACAAGGCTGAAAGTGGAACTCCAGGGCCTAAATATGTGTTGGGGTTTACTCCAAGTAGGGCATGATTAAAGTTTCGGGTTTAGGGTTTAGGGTGTTGGGAGATGAGTAGGTTGTCGAGGCTCAAGCTTTGCGGTCTGCTGCCGGGCTTCCCTGAAGAACCCACAACCTACTGTACTTCTTCTGTACGATCTTACGATACAACCGATTTATTATAGGATTCTTATAGGTAACATACAAACAAGTAGGTTTTGGGTTCTGCAGGTGGGTTCAATGACAAGAGCCCAGCTCAGGGAATGCCGGCCCAGTTGTCGGAGGTCGTGTCGTAACCTGCAGGCTGGTTGAGTGGCTGTGGCACTTACTCTCAATTCAAACCCTATAACAGTCCTATAACTATAACCAACAAACCGCAATCAAGTATACTAGGGCTTGGGATTCAGGGTTTGGGGGGTTTCAGGGCTCTGGCTTGGAGGGCTTGGGGCTTTGGCGTTTTGCTATCATGTGTTTTTGGTGTAGCGACCCCATGTGCCAAAAACAAACCCTGAAACACCAAACTAAGCCGCAAGCCCGAAGCCGTACACATTCCAACCCCTAAACCCCCATCCCTCAGCTGTCTGTTGCAGGGCTCGGGCCCCGGACCTTCCGAGGCTCTCGGGCACCTCCAGCAGTACCTGAGTGTGGCAATCTCCCGGGGATCAACCGGGGATTAAAAAAGGGTTTAAAGGGTTTAGGATTTCAGATTTGGAGCTGGGAGATCTTGGGGCACATCCAATCCCCACGTGATCCATCACGAGGCTCCGGCTCCACGACCCTCCTGCAAGTGCAGCCTTCCACGTATGAGGACACAGGTTTCGAGGCGGCGGGGGGAGTCACCAATGCTGCTGCAGGGAAAAATGAACACCTCAAGGAGCAACTAAGTCGGGAACTGTGCGAACAAGGAAGGCGGTGTTTGACCGAGTTCGAATGCCAGCTGTCGGATGTGAGGGTCCTCAGCACGACTGCTCGCAGGAGATGCAGTAGAACATTGACAATAGGACAGCTGCCATGCAAGTTCCCGTGTAATTAGTGCAGGTGCTTCTGCTCGAGCCCTAACCTTCGATAAGATCCAAACCCTGGGCCTGCTTTCTGACTTTGTTCTGGTCTAGCAAACAAATGCCACAATTGAGATGAGCCCTCATATCTACCATCTCAAGCTCCCCAAACATACCCCGAAATCTTGCAAGGAAGCTGCTGCTTAGGGCTTCGCGCTGGGCACGCTAGGCTGTCGAGTTGAGGGGTTTAGAGTTTAGGGTCCCTAAACCCTGAACTCTGAACCCAACAAACTTTACACGGCCAAGTCGCTCAACCGTACCTTGAAACCAGCAAATGTCGTTCATTCTTTTCGGGAGTGCCCAATTATGTTGAGCATCCAGTGGAAGAACAACCTGGTACACCACCTCCCCCAACCACAAACCCTAAGCCCCTAAACCCTAAGAACAAAATCTACCATGACTACATTCGAAGATCGAAGTCGACCCTTACAGGCCACCTCCCAGGGCTCCAGTGCCGGAAACAGCGCCGCAGCCTCTAAGCTAGCTAAGGGTTTAGAGTTTAGAGCTTAGGGTCTTTGCGTCTTTGGGATTGAGGGGTGTATACAGTCTAGGGTTTCGGGTTAGGGGGCTTCTTTGTTGCAGGCTGTAGGGGATTTCTGAATATAGGGTAGGTTTCTAGCTTATCTCTGTACACTCTCATTGGATCCGAGAAGTTCCCCCCCCACCCTTCTCCAGGACTTAGTGTATCCTCTGGCCCAAGCCATTTCTGGCTTCTTATCGATTCTTGGTTCATGACGTGACTCGAAGAGCCGCTCCCCTTTGACTCAGAAATTACAAACTGCCAACATGCCAGGTGCACCACCAGAATCGTCTTTCACAGGAACTCAAAAAGCAGAAGAAGTATTCCTTCATCCCCGTGACCTGGAGTTTCAGCATGCGTGTCCCCAGAACCTCAAGCAGAGAGGGGTGTATAGCATCTGGGTCAGGGGGTGGCGCCCTGAACCCCGATTCCCTAAATCCTTAAACCCTCTTAAACCCCAAGCTCCCCAAACAAGACCCAATAACTAGAGCCCGTGCCTTGCTCAGCACCAGCCGCACAACGACGTCAGCGGACGTCCTCTCGGCTTGAGCTTTGGATGCCTTGGCTCTGGGTCTGCAGGGTTTAGGGTTCAGCGTTTAGGTTTGGGGGGTGGGGGGTTTAGGGTTTAACTCCTTGTCAAGTGCTGAGCGCACGGCATAGAGCTCGCTGCTGCCCTGGTTGATGCACTCACTGCCCACATACCTTTATGGGCAAGCCACGGAGGAAGAGCAGAGTCTAGGGTTTAGGTTTAGGGGGGTGGGGAAGAGCAGCATGAGAAATGCCCCCTGCACCCACTTGCAGGCAGCACACGGCGTCCAGTCGCAGAAATCACGCCCGAGAGCGGCAGTGGGACCTGCTGCAGACGGTCAGTCCACTGGCTGCTTCGGTTTCAGCCTTCGGGGCGAGGGGACCAAATGAACCCTAAAAGGTCGATTCACATACGATGATTATAATTGGGATTACATGAGTAATTACAGGGTGCATGATCCCAATCTCAGGGCTCATCTGGTCCCCCACGACTATATACAGAGGACAGACTCGATCAGGCTAGTGGTCTGCCTTGACGGGCGCTTGCAGCATCCTGGCCAGGCAGGAGGACAAGGCCGACCTGGCAGTTTAGGGTTGAGGGTTAGGGGTTTAGGGTTTGGGGTTCATGGTTTGGGGTTTAGGGTTTAGGGTTTTGGGGCTTGGGGGTTAGGGAAGATCAAACTTGGGGTTGCTTTACTCGTTCTTACTAGGGGTTTGGAAATCACAAGTCCCAATACTTATCCTTTCAAGGCCCAGATAGCAGCACTTAATAAGGTACGGACCAACTGTATTAGGAGCCAGCAGATGACGACCACGGGATTGCCGCCAAACCGCAGGCTTCGAACCTTGCATCCATACACTCGCAGCCCTACCCCTAGCCCAAACAAGGTTAACATTTCCAAAATACTAAGATTCTATGCAACCAAAGAGGTCAAAACTTACCTACCCAGTCCTTAAGAGCCCATTTCTTAGGCCCTAGACCCGAATCTCGAATTCCCGAAACCCTCTGACTCTAAGCCCTGACAAGCCCCCTGTAGTAAGGGCCTTTGCAAAGATCCTGTGCAGGTCCGCGGGATGCTGCGCAGCCACTGAAATGAAGATCCTAGCGAAGCTGAGCATTTCTGGGACTGCGTCTATTTTAGGGGTCCAGCCGTGTTCAGCCGTGGTTTGATGCAGTACTGCTTCGCACCAGTCGCTTGTCGTGTTTAGGGTTTAGGGCCTGAAGACGCCCTGCAACCACATTATTGCGCACGACGCCGACAATGCTACTTCAGAATGGGGCGAACCCAGGTCCGACAACATGCGAAACCGCTATTCCTCTTAACCTACGCTCCCCACTCCACCTAAACCCTCAACCTAGACCCTCAACCCTAAACACCCCCCTCTCCCCCACCCCTCCCACACCACGAGAAGATGATAAACACTTGCACTGGGCCTGGATCTGCGTCCTCGGTGCCTGCTCTGTTGAGGGCTTCAGGTTTGAGGAGGTTGGGGTGTCTCTCAGGTTTGGGGTGTAGGGTTTACCCCAGGGTTTTAGACCGTAGGGCTCATGAGGATTTTCTTCACGTTTAAGGGTTTGGATGTAAAGGCTGATTCGATTTAGGGCTTTAGGGTTCAGGTTTTAGGGTTTTAGGGTGCGGGCTTTTGCCGTTCTAGGGTTCAACTATTAGGGGTTTTGGCTTAACCAGGCTTAGGTCTACAGTGGTTGGGGCCTAAAGTGCTTTGCGGTTTCAGAGCCTCGTGGTTTGGTTCTTTTGTGGGGGTTTTGCAGGCCTGTGTATGTTTAGCGCTTTCTGGGCTCAGAGCTTAGCATCCAGAGTTCAGGGCTATATAGTGGGTTTAGGGGTATCATGGGTTTCCAGAGTGCAGCCGTGAACCCCTAAGCCCTAAACAAAAATGTATATGCATGTACATATGGTACATATATACATGCATTAATTTACTAGAATTGAGTACGTATATACTGAACAAATTAAATGTATGTGCAAGGCCTCAGCACAGATGCGGCGGCTCGCAGGCAGCGTCGGCTGCCTTGTCCCCATGCGCAAGGGCTCGCGGCGAGCTACGAGGCTGAGGCTTGCAGGGTTTAGGGTTTGGGGTAAGAGTCTGTAGAGTTAGAGTTTGGGGTCTTCAAGGGCTTTGGGGCCTTCACTCGGAGATGGGTTGTGCGGGTACAGGGTTTGGGGATTGTTGTTTCGGGCTCTTACCCTACACCCTAATACCCGAACTGGCCCCTTCAGGCTTTGTGGGTTTGAGGCTGGGTCTGAACCATCGACCCTTTAGGGTTCATGTGGTCCCCAAGGTGAGAAGCAACTTGATTGCCCCAAATGCCCTAACAAGGTTTTGGGGAGTGGTCGTAGGAGGTCCCCTGATGTAGGGCTCGAAGCTTCTAGGACTTTGGGTAAGGGTTTAGAACCCTAAGCTCCAATGTCAACCCTATAAACGCCAAACCCTGATGCCTGAACTCCTAAACCCCTCAACCCCCCCCCCCCCCCCTCCCAGACCTGCGAGATGGAGGTGACGCACCCTCAGCTGAAGAGCCCACCAAGTGGCCTCCGCCGCCGATCAGGGTCCGGGGTTTAGGGTTTCGCTATTTGCCTAGGATTTAGGGTATGTAGGGTTGGTAGGGTTTGTAGGGTTTAGGGTTTTTGGATTCCCAGGCTGTCTTCAGTTCTGTGCTCAGATACCGTGAAGCCCCCTGACCAGGAGCCTGTGAGCACCGGTACGGCCTTTCCGAGGTGTAGATTCCAACCTGAGAGGTTTCAGGGTCATAAGGGTGTAGATTGCTAGTTGACCAACATTACCTGTTCCCACAAAGATCTAGGAATCCCACATAATTTTCTAGAAGGACCTACAGACCAACCCCCATATAGAGTTTTTGTAGGGTTGCTAGGGTTGACAGACTGCAGCAAGCAATCGCAAAGGTACCCACTTTCAGGCTTTAGGGTGGTTTCTGGTTTCATGGCCTCACGCGGACAGTGTGAGGCCAAGAGGGCGCTTTGACGCCCGAAAGACCCTGAACCCACCTGAGGACTTGGCCGCGGGCACACGCAGAGCTGTCGGCTGCGCCTCCACCTGCTTCGGGGGCGATTCTGGGGTTCAGGGGTTGAGGGCTCTCAGTAGGGTCTGAAGGGTTTGGGTCTTAAGTTTCTGAATTCGAGCTGGGCTTGCAAGCACCTTACCTTCTTTGGGTTTTGGGGCTTCCCTCTGGTGTACACAAAGGGGTGTAGGGTTCAGGGGCTGTTTGGGCTCGGGACTTCCTTTCTTCTTTCTGGCAAGTCCACCTAGTGTAGTAACATGTCTAAACCTTCCGCCCTACATATGAACCTACATCATAGAAGCCAAAAAGGCAAATGCACGGCAGAACTCTATGAACTATAAACCCTACGTCATACAAAGCATTGCTAAACCCCTGCGCCAGGATTTGGGGTTCGAGCAGCACCGCGGCGAGAAAAGCGGCAGCCTCGCCTGGACCGTGTCTGCAGGCGACAGCGACGTCCAGTAGTGCCGTGCAGCGTCCGAGGCGTCCTGATGGCACTGCGAGGCGCTTCCGTACACTCTAAACCCCAAACCCTAAAAATTGAACCCTGAAGCCTCTTGGGGGTTGCTTGGCAACAGCCCCGTCCTCATGCACTTCCTCTCTGACCCACGACCCTAAACCCCAAACGCTATGAACCCCATAAACCTTCTGAACCCATGAAACCCAATAAACACACCCACCTCACAGCTCTCCCCTCATGCAGCAAACATTTCCAGAAATCCCCCAGCTTACCAGGTCCACCGGCGGTGCGGACATCCATGGCGAGGGCGTGGGGATGATCCTTAGCTTATACAGTCAGCTACAATGATTTGCTACAATAAGAAGAATAGGAAATAGTAGCAATAAACATAATGGTAAAGGGAATACGAGTGCTAATAATCGCAATAACAGTATACCCTTACAAACCCTCTCAACCCTAAACATTGCTCAAGTCTTGATAGCGTACGGGATGTTTCGGGAGCAGGCCTTCCGGGCTTCTTGAGCGGCTCTTAGTGTTTAATTCATATAGGGTTTAGTCATAGGGTTATTGGGTTCTTAGGGTTCAATTTGTAGGGTAGGGGTTCTTAGGGTTTAAATTATAGAGTTCAGGGTTGTTCAGGGTTTCTATAGGGCCCATGGGGCTTAGGGGTCTCCATTTTTCTCGGGCGGCGCATAGCAAAGCAGAGCAGTGGCCCCTGAGGCCGCCGCAGGGTTGCAAGATCCTGGTGAGGGCGCAAGGAACCATAGCAGAGCCGAAGCCCTAAACCCTAAACCCCCAAAAAACAAGGCCCTGAATCCACAACCCCCAACTTTTCTTTAAACCCGATTGGATCTCGAAAAAAAGGATTGCAGGCACCGCTGGGAGGTCTGAAAGTTCGCATCGAGACTTTGGTGATATGCACCCCTCCCCCCCCCACCCCCCCATGCCTCCAGGATGTTCTGCATCTGCTGCAGATGAGGCTCCAAATGGACCTGGTTAGGGTGTTTGGTTTATATATAAGATTTATATAAGGGACCTGGCTCTGGCTCTGTTCTAACTTGAAGGTGTTGCAGTACCCGTGGCACCAAAAAGTCACAAAAGGCACTTGTAGGGAAGTATGCATTGAGGCATGTAAGGGTCTATAGGGTTTAGGGTGCCTCAACTCGGAGGGGTACGCTGTGCTGACCCGACAAGGTGAGGTCCAAACACTCATCATCTCCTTCTCCTCGTCCGTGAAGGCCTTTCGCTGCAGGGTTTAGGGTTTCGGGTTTGGACCCTAACCCTGAGAAAAACCTCCCTAAACCCCTAAATCCTAAACCCTAAACCGAAACCCTCAACCCTAAACCAAACCCTCAGCCAAATCGCTGGCATTTGGCTGAGGTCCGCGCTCCGACTTCCTGGGCTTTCTGGCTCTGCAGGCCAAACAAGTCCATGATGTCCCAGGAGATCCTGTCACCATTTGGTCACTTCTCTAAATTCTTTAGCGTGTGTTTAGGGTCCCAGGAGATCCTGCTAGCTCAGCTGCTATGGGTTCAAAGAGTGTGGCGGAATTAGGAATTGTAGCGCTTCGACGGGTTTGAGGTTTATAGGGTAAAGGGGCTTCAGGGTTAAGAACTCTCGAGTGTCGGGATTTAATCGACTCGGGAGTCCAGGGTGTCGGGGTTTGGAACTCAAGGAAGATTTGGAGGTTCGTAATCAAGGGGCTATTTTAAATTAGGGGTACAGGATGGTACAGGATGGTTGTACAGCTACAGGGCTTAGAAGCCCATAGCGATGAGGAGAACATGTCAGCTGCAGCAGATCAGCAAGCGTGCCTGCGGAGGTCCATCATCCACTCTTGCCCTGGGCTTTGGTTCATGTCTTGCAATACTTTGTGTTTTTTTTCCCCACCCTCGGTGTGGGGTTGTCAGATTTTAAACTCAACTCTGCTCCTCGCCCGGTGTACTCCTTGGTCATCCCTGGAGTTCCCAACCTCAAAGTGTCCCTGCCTTTCTGCCCAACCCCAGAGTCTCCCTAGAGTGCCCAACCCAAAGTGTCCCCGGAGTGCTCCAGCCCCAAAGTTTGCCTGGAGTGCCGAGCCCCAGAGTCTCCCTAGAGTGGTGTGTTCAACCCAGAGTCTCCCTGGAGTGTGGTCTCCCCGAAGTGCCCAAAGTCTGCCTGGAGTGCCCAACCCCAGATTCTCCCTACAGCGCCCAACCCAGAGTCTGCCTGGAGTGGAACCGTAGAGTCTCCCGGAGTGCCCAGCCCCAATTCTCCTTAGAGCCAGAGTCTCCCTAGAGTTGCCCAGCCCCAAAGTCTCCCTGGAGTGCCCAACCCCAGAGTCTCCCTGGTGCGTTCAACCCAAAGTCTGCCTGGAGTGCGCAACCCCTGGAGTGCCCAACCCCAGAGTCTCCCTGGAGTGCCCGGAGTGCCCAACCCCAAGTCTCGTGCCCAACCCCAGAGTGTCCCCGGAGTGCCCAGCCCCAGAGTGTCCTTGGAGTGCCCAACCCCAGAGTGTCTCTACCAAGATAGGGTGGGGATGTTCGAAGTAAAATAATTTATGTCTATACTTAAAATCATAGTCATTTCGGTTGTTTGCTCTTTCTTGTTGTTGTTCGTAGTTGTTTCTACTTTGTGCTTGATCTCATTCTCACTCCCACTCTCATTATCACTCTCAGTCTCTGTCTCAGTCTCGTTTGTCTATATGTATAATATACGTATATACACATGCGAGAAAAAATTCAGATGAGGATGGTTGCATGTACATAAGTTCAGGGCTTAGAGTCTTAAAGATTCATGGATGTTTATCAACCCGATAAAGCCAAAGCCGGGCCATGAATTGGGGGAGGGGTCCGATCTCCACAGACTAGGAACCGTCGCGATAGTTCTAAGCAATTTCGGGGGCTATGGTTTCGGGATCGCGCTACCCTGAATTCGGGGGGCTGCCAGGCCCTTGGCAGCAGGGGTCTAATTCATCTCAAGCATGTGCCAGAACGCGCCGACGACCGTTTTGCTCGTGAACCATTATACTCGCAGTTGCGTCGTCGTCAAAATTCTAATCAGATTCTGTGGCCGACCGGTGGGGGACTCGACCTTCGCCCAGCCTCGGAAACTGCCGCCAATGGACAACATGGGTGAGGCACATGGGTGAGGCTGGCCCCCCCCTCGGGGTAGTTGTACCTGCATGCACTGTTCGCCTACATAGCCAGGATAGATATGGGGTTGAAGGAAACCAGCATGCTGCAGAGGTGCACTTCAAAGAAGTAACAACCCAAAACCAGGCGAAGCCCGTAAACCTTGAACCATGGATGCTGACGAGAAGCCGTCCTTCACTCGGAGTAGAGCAGAAGCCCTGCAATCAGAATGACCACAATGGCCAGGAACTCCAAGAAGCCTTGGGCAGAGACCCTGGCTCCATTGTAGGGAATGTATCGGAATGTACAGGGTCTTCAGAGAATGTCGGGCAGTGGTATGAGGGCCTCCTGAAACCCTTAACCTCGCCCTGAGACGTGTCCTTGAGAAGGCCCCTTCGCTTCAGGACCTTCCCAAAGTCTCCCGCCGGAGCTCAGAACCAAAGGAATTTTCGATCTGGGCACGAGGGTTTCAGACTCGCTTAAGGGCTTAGGGTTTACGGCTCCTCAAACCCTTCAATCCCCCCGGCCCCTGAAAAGAAAGCGCGCAGAGGTGCCCATCCCAATCAGCGTGTACGTGAAGAGGTCCTCCTTCATGGATGGGTTCCGAGCCATGCCAACCACCAGTCTCAGTTTTGGCGAAATGGCCGCGGAGCTTCTTTGGAGTTCAGGGTTCTTTTGGGGCTTCTTGGGTTTAGGGTTTAGGGCTTCGGGCTTAGGGTTTAGGGTTGGGGGCGGGGGGGTGGTGGGGAATTTTGGTTGGGCTCTTTGAGGTCGTTTCTTTGATTTTGCGTGTGTTGGGCTCTTTGGGGTATGGAGGGCTCCAGGCCGAAAAGGGTTCTGGGGGTGTAGTTGCATTCGCCCGAGGCTTAGGGATCGGACTCCTGTCGGATTTCTGACTAAACCCTCAACTTGGGATGTTCCCCATTAAGGGCTGTTAGTATTAGGGGACATCCCAACCCTCAACCCTAAAGTAGGGCTTAGGGTTTCAAGTTGAGTAGGGTGTACAAAACTCGAAATGCAAACCCAACTAGGCTTATGCATTTCTAAATGTGTAAACAAATAAGGGGGAACATAATAATACGCAAATAAAGGGATAACTAACCAAACGAAGGAATAAACATAACTAAACCGAAAAACACATAAAGATATGTAAACTATATAAATATATCTATATCTATATCTATATATATATATATATATGTATGAGGCACTTGCTACCCAGTACAAAGAAGCCCTCCACCACTTCGGGGTGGGCCGAGAAGCGCCGCGAAGAGTTGTCCAATGCCCTGAGCGCAACCGCCCACCGCAACCTTGGAGAATGTTCAGCCTTAGGGGTTTAGGGGTTTAGGGTTTAGGGTTGCGGGGGGGGAGGGGGGTTTATATCGTCTTTAGGGGTTTGGCTCCATGGGTCATCAGGGCTCTATTTTCGAAAGGTATGTATAATTGGTTATGACCCTGCTTATTGCGGTACAATGACGCCTGCACCTTCAGAAGAGAACTGAAGAGTAGTGTAGCAGCGTTCGGGGCCGGGGTGTGAGAAGCACTTTGAGGCCTACAAGCCTCTCTGTCTTATAAGCCCTATCAACCCTAGAAACCTTGTAAACCTTTCCACAGAGGTACCAATCAGCAAGGTTAACGCTTTAAGCTCTGTCCTTGCCAAACCCTAAACCCTAATCCCTGAAGCTCCACATCCCCCCAGCTCTGCCCAGTCGCCATGGCGATGGCACAGCCCAGCACGGACACTCCGGCGTTGCGCTTCGTCATGGGCTCTCCGAGTCCTGCTAGGGCTTAGGGTTTAGGACTTGGAGGAGGCTGTTGTGTCAGGGGCCAATATAGGGACCTCAATACTTAGAATAGGCTTTTGGTAGTATAATCCTATAGGGACCAGAAGGAAATACTACTAGCAATTGCTCCGACCCCTACATGTTTGGGGCTTAGGGCTTAGGGCTGTTCAGGGCTTAGGGTTTACGGCACATGAACTCTGCCCGTCACCTCTTCTATGTGACTTCGCTTCTTGTAGCCCAACGGATTAAGTCTTTCGGAAAAAGACTGAAAGTTCACCTGGAACCCTGAACCTTGGCATCCAAGTTAACACCCCCAGAACGCTCCTGCGGTCTGGACAGCGGACGGAGTCTGGGAAAGCTGGCCAGGAAGCGGCTTGGCCTGTGCATTTTTGCGGGGACTGACTTGACCCATTTAGGGTTCAGGGTGTACTTGGAGGTTTAAGGGTACGTAGAAGCCCAAGAAAACCGGTACTTATGACCTGTTTAGGGGACTTAGGGGGCTTAGAAGTATGGTTATAATTGGGGTCACAAGTGCCCATGAACCTCCAAGTAGGGTTCAGGGTTTAAGGGCCCAGGGTCCTTCTTTGGAACATCTTGAAGTGATGCTCTACACAGACTTGATCTAAAAACCTGGCCGTCTTGGAAAACCACCAAGCCCTAAGCCCTAAATAAACCCGAAACCCTGTAAAGAATGCTTTTTCTGATCAACTGCTATGATGGCGGCTGGCAAGGCAAAAAGAAAGGGGTTGATGCCTCATGGTCGTAGGGGTTGATCAACCTTGTTGGGGGGCAGCTCAGCAATCATGGGATTTTGCCTTGGACCCCTAAGGTTGCACCCTTGGGTTTGTGGACCCCTTGTTCAAGATCCTCTAGGATATAATAAGGGCCATATTTGGAGTATACTAAGGGAACCTATCCTTAGGGGTCCGAGTTGTATGATTCCCTTGAGAGCAAATTGCCCTTTAGAAACCCCTACAAGGGCCCAGAATTCAGAAGACTCCCCTCCCGGTCCCCAAAGAGCTGTTTCAGAGGATGTCGACGACCCCTGCCATGCCTAAACTCTCAGAGAATCTCAGAGACGCCCTAGCCCCCTAAAGTTATTTAGGGGAGTTTGGGTGTCTTGCCTCGGGGCGCAGCATCGCCAGAAACCGGCAACTTGCGGGCGCCGCCTTCGGAGCGACGCTTTCGGCTTTGAGGGTTAGGGTTTAGGGTTTAGGGTTAGGGGTTTAGGGCTCAGGGTTTAGGGTTTGGGGTTTAGGGATTAGGCTGCAGGCTTGAAGGGCCAAGCAGGGCGAACTGGCTTAAAGGGTTTAAGGGCACGGGTTTAGAAGGGTGTCCGAAACCCGGAACCCTGAAGCCGGACCTCTTGGTACCCTGAACCCTGAAACCTTGGAACCCCAAAAGCTTCAACCCCATGTACGCTAAAGCCATTATATAATCTTTAGGACTTTAGGACCTTCAGGCGTTCAAGGAATAGGGTTTAGGGCGCATGTAGTGTTTGGGGTGGCGACAAGAAGCTGTTTGGGGTTCAGGCATACGATTCAGGATGAGTGCTGGGTGCCACCAATTTCTGGGACCTGCCCCGGCCTGTCGGAGGATGGACTGGGGGGCGCGGGCGGCGCGGACGGCATGCTGGAGGAGAGCCATTGTGATCTCGGTCCTAGATGGATTCGTCGAGTTCTCCGAGTCTCAGCTGGCTTGAACCAATCTCGCCAGCAGACGAGCACATGCTGCTCCCTAGACATCCGTAAATCCTGTGCGCACTGAATCAACAAAACTAACCCAAATATCGTTCAAATTAGACAGGCACCTATTTACCCCTAAACCCCAAATCCCAAACCCCCAAACCCTCACACCTGCGAGAGCCCCGCAATCGTGCGTTCCGAGGTGCGGAGCCACTGGGGCCAACCCAGGTCTGTTTGCTCCTGGAGCTTAGGGAGCTTCGGGGTTAGGGCGAGCGGCTAGCGGCTAGGGCTTAAGGAGGGTTTAGTTTTCTTAGGGGCTATAAGGCTTGACTTTCCAGGCTTAAGGGCTTGTTGAGCCTCTAACCCCCGAACCCGAAGAAAACTCCCTAAACCCTAAACCCTAGACTCAGGTGCGGCGAAGGAGCTCCGAAATCGAAACGGCGAGCAACAGACCATCGAATTGGACTCGCCAGATCAAGAAGCTGGAAGCGACCCTAAACCCTAAAACCTAAACCCGCACTTATCTAGCCAAGGGGTTTGGGCTCGGGGCCTATACTCCCCCACCCTCCCAGGATCCGGCTCAGACAGCCCTTGAGCTGGCCATACTCGAGCCTTAACTGTGGGTGGCACGGGATCCCAAAATTGAAAGCAACTCCATAACAGAACGGTTAACCAACAAAACAAAGCAAAACAAAGCAAAACAAAAACGAAACTTCGAACCCCGAAACCCTGACTAAACCTCTAAGATCCCCTTACTGCCCCAAAGCCTTCAGCCCTAACCCTCTGGTTCTCAGTAGGGAAGGAAGGGATTTGGCGCACGCTAGGGTACCTATAATTCCATCATTCCCTACTAGGAACCAGGAGGTAAACCCTAGCCCCTAAACCCTCGAGGTCCGCAAAGCAGCCAACACCCTAAACCCGAAAGCCTAATTAAACCCTAAACCCTAAGCGCCTTACACCCCAGGCCTTGGCTTCATGCCGCAAGTCGGCGTGCTTGAGCGCCAGGTACAAGTTCACAGCTGCATAGTTCCTGGATTTTTTTGGACTCAGGGGGGGGTGTGGTGGGGGCGGCGGGTGGGCCGGGGGCGGGCCGGGGGGGCCCCCCCCCCCCTTCCTTTGACCTCGATAACCCCCCAAACAAAAGAACCCTCCCAGAATAAGGGGCATTAAGAGGCACCGCCCTGGGCCCCCCTTCTTTTAAGAGTTTCAGCCCCGTAAAGCCCTCCCTGGACTCTCGTAGGAGCCAGAGACCGTCAAGGCTCTTGGAACTACAATCCAGAAAATCATGGGGCAATTTCTGCCATCAAAAGCTGTATATAAGTAGTACTGGAATCTGCAACTTTTTTCCCCACAGACTCTAAATCGGGGCTTTGTGAAGGAAGTCCATCAATCACTGGACGAAGAGGTGTTTTGCTGGCAACTGACTTGAGTTTAGGCCTCAGCCTTAAAGGGAATGGGTTAGGGTGGTTTTGCCGCCGGAGACGGTGTGGGGTGGGATAAACGTGTTAGATGGCCCTCCACATTCGGGCCACAGCTGCAACAAAGCTTTTAGCCCGCATCCCAACTGCACAGCTTCGGCGCCATATGACAGCGAACCCTAGACCCTAAACCAAAATTTGAAACCACCGCAGAGCCCAATTGAGCCGAGCTTCAAGGAGAGCGCGAAGTCGATGAGGTGTCGCGGGGCCTCCAGGTTTCATTCAGTGCGCTCTTGCAGGGAGGGTGTTGTTGAGTTGGGCTTACAGTCAACATTTCCCCCGCCAAAGGTCGATAATCCCTGATAAACTGCGATGTTGTACGATAAGACTCATGATATCAAGAGGAAGGAAGAAGAGAGAGAAATGAGATTCAGGAACTTACAGTCCCCAGAAAGCTAAACGGCTAAAGCTAAAGCTTGTTTACTCGGCTCCACAGAAAAATACGTCTGCATCATCGCACATTCCATTGTAATCCCCCAAACCCTCTTGCACCCTTTTAATACCTACATGCACATCCCAAAGCCCAAAGCCCTAACAAACCGAACCTCTGTTACAAACCTAGCCAAAGCCCAAACACGACTCTGCCCCCAAGTTCCCCAGAACGTACAGCCTAAACCCTTAAAAGCCGTTGTGAGGTGCATGGCCCCTGGGCTCGTCAAGGCCAGCTCAGCCAGGATCGCCCTGAGACTCCATCGAAAAGCCTCCTGAGGATCGAAAGGGTTTAGGGATTGAAAAAGGGTGTTTCCCAAAATAGGTGAGGCCCCCCCCCCCCCCCCCCCCCAGAAAAATACCTGACAGTCCTGGGTATAGAACCCCCCCCCCAAAAAAAAGAGAAGTAACCCTAATTTTCAAATATATCCTTAAGCCTTGGCCCAGCTTGACTTTGAATTTAAGTTGCTCTTCTATATCTTTCTGCATTAAGCCAATATCTGTTTTCGATGCGCTCCCTACTCTTTCCTTTTACTTCCTCTGGCGTTCTTTGAGATTTCCCCCAGCCTGTATTCTATACTTCCTGATTGCAAATTCTTGTCTGGATGAAAATGTCGTCGGGGGATTGATGTCTGCCTGTTGATCAAAATTTAGCACTTCTTTTGCCAGCAACCGTATTAGTTGTTGCTTATCCTGAGTCAAACCCCCCTAAAACCTGAAAAACTCTGGATGTTGGGCCCAACCGTGTCTCGTAGTTCCGGATGCCAATGTGCTGGATGTCCTGCCTGACCTGCCATGATGTACGGATGTACGATTGCGTTTTGTGCATTTCAGACGCGACTTGGGGTTTAGAGGTGAGGTTGGCAGTTGCAAACAGCACTGGCGCCGGCGCACAGTGTCTTTGTACCCGGCAGACACATCCGCCTTCTGCAGATCTGGCCCGTTGTTTCGCAGGCTTCTCCTGCCTAATTCATGTCAGCATTTAACAGAATTGCAAGACACGGCTTCGCTTGCGACAAATTACTAAGCATGCATCTGTTGGGATGCACGTGATGTCTTAATCTCGGAAGTAGGAGCATTCCTGCGCTTTCCATGCTTTCCACACCTTTCCGGTGCCGGCATCAGCAAGCCCCCATCGAATTAATCGGCCCACTTCTCCAAATTGTTGCAGACTATCCATAGCACACCAAGATGCCAGCAGGCCGGACTTCGGGTCTAGAATTAGCGATCGCAGCTCTGTGTTGAACTGGTCGATGTTCATGTTATTCTTGATCTTGCTCAGTATGAGTTCCTTGTCTGCTTCAGAAGAAGCACGCATGCTTCCAACATCCAAGTTCTCTAAAGTGTGTGCATGTTGCATGATGGCCGCTCTGGAGGCCAGTTGTAGTGTCTGATCCATTTGCAGGCGCTTGGCTTCTGCAAGTTCGGCGATGCACCAAGCGCGACCGAACAGGCCAAGCTCTTGGTCCACTGCAATCACTTGCCTGCAGCCTCCTGTTGCTGCAAGGTGATACATCATGTCGTCGAACTTGTTGATCTCTGACACCGTACTTCTGCCATCCGGATCAACAATATTCACGCTGTTGCAACTGCAAACTGGATGCAGCTCATGTGTAACAGGATCCCGGTCGTAAGGATTGCTGTGGCATATACAAATATGCTGGTTGGCGGCAAACGCACAAATCCAGTACGTGTCATCCAAACGACAGCTTTGCGTCAGCATCTCACAAAGAAGGGCGCTGTCTTCCTCCAACAGCTGTGCTGCTAGGTTGAAGCTGCATTCCTGCAGGGCATCGGAAATGACAGCTGCCAGCAAATCCTTGTAGCAATTTCCCCAATTGTGGGTCACCATGACCTGGGCTCTTCGAGCACCGTCCTTGTTCAAAACCGAGACTGCGTATGCAGTTTCTTCACTGCTAGTTAGAGGAATGATTGCTCTGCGGACCACATCCCTGGTCTTGTGTTCCTTGGGCGAATATCTCCAGTCTGGCATGGAAGGGAGGCATTCCTGATAAAAAAGCAAGAGGCTGCGCAAGGTCATTCCCCGCAATGACAATTCGTCCACCTTCGCTTCCCAGGCGTAGCTCCATTTAGCCTTTTTTGCTGGCAGTGCTTTGCGCTGCGGGGGGCCTTCACAGCAAGACATCCTTTGACTAGTTTGACCGGGTTGGCTTGCAGGCAACCTGTGGCTGCCGGACAGAAGCAGCACAGCAATTGCATTTCCGAGGCAGTCGAGAACCTGGACTAAAACCATCACCGAAGCAACAACCTCGCCAACGTGGTGATCCCGTACGTAGTTGGACATGAGCATGTTTACGAAAATTGCGGGCATCACCAAACTCGTGGACACCAGGCTGGCAGACACACCCATGACTTGTAAAGCAGCTAACCTTCGGGCGGGTCTCAAAAAGGACGCTGCAGCGCTTGACGAGCCTTCTGCAAGCCGCAATACCTTTGCCAACTGGAGGCAGCACTGAATGAGAGAGTAGATCGCCACTGTGCTTGCGGCCATGTTGCACAACCAAGTGAATCCCACGATCACCAAAAGACTCCCAACAGAGGCAATGGCATACAGGAAGACAAGCAAAAATACAAGTAGGATGCCGCCCAAGGCTTGCATCCAAACCAGGTTGCGAAAGCACCTGCCGCAAAGCTTCTGATTTGAGCTTTGCTCAAGCAGATCAAGTCGGGCAGCGACGAGCAGCTGCATCCAGATCCAAACGATCACATAGAGCACAAACCTGCTATAAACGGCCACTTGGCCGGCCACATTTGCAACGGCTATAGTTGGCATGACGCCGTATCTGCAGCAAGGGCCTCCAATTGCTATAGACGTTTCACATAGCAAACCACCATAGCGCATGAAGGTCAAGGTTGCGATTATGGACTGGAACCAATTAACGGTTGCATAGCCACAGGCTGATCTGACGTGAGCAGAATCTCTTGCCCTTTTGCGAAGAAAGGCTGCCACACAACCGGCCCCAAAGCTCGCAAACGATTGTCCGAAGAAAAAACACCTTTCTAAGGAACTGCATCGGCGAGGATACATATCGTCCGCATCAACATCAACAAAGTACTGTCTGGGAAACAGCGCAGCTGCAACTGCCACGTTTACGACGAAGACCACGCAGTATGATCCCGGTAACCAATGCTGCCCAGGCCGGTGTAAAAAGAGGGGCCGACGGGTTGCAGTTGAAGCCTCGAAGGTCTCCACAGAATTTTCCGAGATTGAGGTTGCCATGTGCATCTAGGACTGAAGCAAAAAATGGCTGCAGAGTTGGCCTTCCGTCTTCGAACAGGAATTCTTGCCTCACGCCGTTCTGGACCGTAGATGCTGGGTGAGATTGAACCGAATTACTCGAATTACTCCCTCCAAACATGCAGGATGGGCCATCTCAATGATGAGGTCGCCCATCACCGGCATCGTCATTCCCCAGCTCGGGGTTAAGGATTCTTGTAAAGCCTATGAGAAGGGCATTTGCAGTCAGGATATTTGTTTTGGAATGGATAAGGTTATGGGTGTGGTGTGTTGGTGGCTTTGGTTTGGGGTTTGAAGCCCAGGGCATCCCGCCGGACAAGGTGGGGAAGGCTTCCCTCGCGGTCTCCCTCCCGGTGGTCTTCTATGGTTTTTTGTGTTTTTCTGGTGGTCTGGCCTGCTGGTCTCCTGCTGGTCGGTGGTCTCCTCCTGGCATCCTTCTCCTCGTGGTCTCCTGGTTGCCGTGCGCAGTGGTCGTCCTGGTGGTCGTCGTGGTCGTGGGCGTCATGGTCGTAATGGTCATTGTGGTGGTCTTTAACTGTTTGGGATCTACGCTGGCATAATTATGAGTTGGGCTTGTAGTGAACTGGGAAATGACCCTTTCTAGCTCCTCAACCCTGAACGCTAAACCCTAAACACTAAACCCTGCCTAGTCAGCTCTCCTGAAAAGGAGGCATGGCAGCCGAAGCCTGCCGACACTCGGCCACTTGAGTGGACATCACCAGGGCCATCTCTCCTCGAACGCTGGTTAGGGTTTATGGTTCAGGGTCACTAGTATAGGGCTTTGGGGTTTACAGGGCTGGGCTTGGAGTCTCAGAAGGCATTAGTTCAAAGAGTTCAGGGGGCGTTTGGGGCTTGGTAGGGGTTGCCTCCGAATCCAGCAGGAAATACGTAGATGACATCCTTAGAGTATCCCAGCAGAGTTGGAGGGTGGAAAGTTCAGTGGTCACCGTGTGGTTTCCAACAAAGGATCTTGAGCCGAATCTTGGGACTATGGGGTTTAGCTAGGGGTGACACAACCCTCAACCCGCCAACGCACAAAGCCGCTGTGGTCTGCGCCGGCTCAGGGGTGAAGGGGGCGGCATGGACGTCTAAGCCGCTCTACGGCCAAAGGGGTTCCACGCCTCCAACCGGAAAGCTCGGAGCCCAAAACCCTTAACCAGCTGCCCGGAAACGCTGAACCGACACTCACAGATTGAGTCTCAACTAAGCCCTAAGGCGCATGCAAAACAGGCAACCTAGCTGTGGGGTTGCACTCGGGCTTCGGACTCAAGGTTTAGGACTCATGGCTTTAGGGCTTAAGTTTTACCCTAAGACCTAAAACCCTAAGACCCTATGACCCAGCAAGTCGTCCTGTGCCAGAGGCCCGCACCGCGCCGCCTATGGCCGCCCAAGTCCGCGGCGGTACCAAGGCATTGCCCTCCTCCGCCTTCGCAGGGTTTTAGGATTTATAAGGTTTAGGGAGTTTAGGGCTCTTTGGGCTCTTTGGGAGAGGTAAGGTATGCAGGGCAGGTCTCTGGGCTGAAGGTGTGGAACTTTGCCGAGTGGGGCCTCCATCCACACCCCGTCCGGCGTGAGACCGAGAGGGAAGAGCACGCTGGGGCCCCGCAGCTGAAGGTGCCCCGTTTCCTAGTCTGTAGCTTCTGTGTGGTCTGAGAATTTACAGCTCCGCCCCAAACGCTTTTGAGCCTAAACCCCATGAATCTAAACGCCAAACAAAAATCGGTCACAATGTTCCAGGCGAGGTTCAGGGAAGTAGAGGAGCCGCGTTTGCTGCGGCAAGGCCAACTGGCACAGCACATGTGCCTGCGTCTCATGCCCTCGCTATACTCTAAAGACATCACACCCACCACCCTCAAAGGGTTCTGGTTTAGGGGTCTAAACTTAGACCCTAAACCCTAAACCCGTTGACAAGCTGTAGCAAAGCGAGCAGGACTAGACGAATGGTTTCCACACCACCAAAACCGAAACTTCTTGGGTTTAGGTTTGAGGGTTGAGGGCTGGCTGGGGATTTCTGGCGTTTAGGGCAAAGCCCAAAAAGGGGCAAGGTGAGGGCCAAGGTACCCAGCGGCAGTCGTGCCAGGGAACCCAGACGCCGGCATCGCGCCTGGGTCTTGTGCTTAGGGTTCAGGGTTTAGGGTGATGCTTTATGACCCTAAACCTGAAACCCTGAAGAACCCTACCAAAGTTACTCTACCCTAAGTTGCTAAACCCTGTGCCCTAGACATTAAACTACTGAACTCTGAACCCGAAACCCTAAACTACTCAACGCTGGGACTCAGAATGTATCCCCTAACTACTAAACCCTGCTGCTTGAACGCCCAAGCCCTAAACTCGCAACCCTCAACCCTCTCACCGTTGCAGGGTTTAGGGGTTTGTAGGCAGCGAGTTCATGCGTCTCAGGGTGCACGGCTTCGGACGTGGAATGCATTCCTTCGAACTAAGAGGGCTTAGGTCTGCAGGGCTTTTAGGGTTGTTGGGTTTAGGGTTTAGGTCTTGTATTTGTGTTTAGGGTGTAGGTCCTAGGGTTTTTAGGATGAAGTAACCAAGGGCTTGGTGTTTCGAAACTTAGGGTTAAGGCTTTCAAGGCTTCAACGCTCAACAGATGCTGCGCTCAGACTCCATGAGACGAAGCCCCCTCCCCCCCCCCCCCTTCCTGTGGGGTTTGCCTGCTTCCTTTTGTTGTCTCCAAAACCCCCTAAAAACCGAACCCGAACCCCACTCGGTCTGAAAAGCCCAAGAACCCCAAACGAAATGAAATGAATAGAGACCCCTAAACCCTAAACCCTGGCAATCGTGAAACACTCCCAAACCCCATAACCCCTTGCAAACAAAGCCCAAACAGTCCTTGGGATAACTCGGGATTGCTTGAAAAGAAACCAAACCCTGAACCCCTAACCCCCTGAGCCCGAAACACTTGGTCGCCTAAACCCATACATCCGCAGACCCCTAATCCCCGAACCCTGAACACCTAAACCTGCAATCAAAGCCAAAGTTCCAACCCAACCCTAAACCGCTAAACCCTCAAAAAGACCTAGAAAACCCTCAACCCTAAGCCCTAACCCTAAACCCTATAAACCCTAAACCCTCCAAACCTGTATGTGCACCTAGAGCCGAGACTCCGCGGAGCTCGGCTCTTCGGCCATCCGGCCGTGCGCAGGAAGCCTCGCACCTCGCGCCGCAGCTGCGCCGCCAAGCCTTCGACCTGATAGGGTTTAGGGTTATAGGGTTATAGGGTTATAGGGTTTCGGGCTTTGCGCCTAGGGTTTCGCACACGTCGCTGCAAGAAGAAAGGCGTATGATCACACGAAGCTGATCGAATTTAAGGGGCGTCATCGGTTCAGGTCCGCAGCCCCTAAGTCCCAGGATGCATCATGAGCTTCAGCTGTACTGAGACGCAGGACTTGTCACTAAGAAACATCCAACCCCAAACGATGTACGTCCCAATTTTCAGGAGCATCGGATTTTGCGCTTGCAAGACAAGGCCTAAGTACTAAGCTATGGCAAACCCAGCGACCCCATGGCGGATGCCAGGGATTGCCTGGCGACTCGAGACTTCGACACGTCCTGCGCCTCAGGCACAGACCTTCGCTGTGACTTCCTTTAGTTCCAGACTCTAGACTGTAGGTAGGCACCCTGCAGCCCCTAAACCCGAAACCCTAAACACTAAAACCCGAAACCCTAAACCCCACCTGCCCCAGCAGGGTCGGCAAAGGCGGGCAGGCGGTGCGGGCCGAGATGGCGGGTGGTGGCGCCCGCATTGGCCCAAGCCCCCCATCTCGGCAACTACGTGGATCGCAGTCCGAACCCCGGCAAGGTGAGCTTGGGGTTCGGTTTAGGGTTTAGGGTTTAGGCGTTTAGGGTTTAGGGTTTAGGGTTTAGGGCTTCGGTTTAGGCTTAAGGGGGGGGGGGGGGCTTCTTTACATGAGGTATCAGGAGGCTTCGCGGATTACAGGAGGTTGTAGTTATAGGGTCGGTCTTCTGAGTGTGCTCGCTTTTTTTTGGACTTGCAGGTGTTGTTTTTTGGTTGGGGGGGGGGGGGGGGGGGGGTTGGGCTTAAGACCTTGATGGGCAGGTTCGTGAGTTCTCTAGGACAACCTTCCCACTTCTCATGGCTGCTCGAATATTCGGCCCGTGGTCACAGGGTCTGGGCCAAAGAATGGCGACCGTGCGTGCAGTGGGCTCATGGTTCGTTTAGCAAGCTTTCTGCCTCTCTCTTCCCCCTCCTTATCATCATCCTTGCCATCCTGCCCGATCCCATGCAGCTTAGGTCCCTCCAGGGGGTTTGCAAACATCTCAGGTTCTATGGTCTCTTGATATGGTCCCTCATCTTGTTTAAAGGGTTCTGAAGTATGCCCCCCCCCCCCTCTTGGGTGTTAAGGGGTATGTGAAGGGTATATAAGGGATCCATGATTTCTCCAATTAAGGGCCCATATTAAGGGACCATGCACCTACCCCAAGAAAACAAGGCCGAGCAGTGGCCCATCTTTTCCTGCAAATTATGTGAGACCAGTGGCGGATCAGCCATGCTGCTATGTACAGCCGTCGGGTCAACCGAACTACCTCGCCCCATGCAACCTTCCTGCAAAAAACTAACTAAGGGTTGGGTTTCAGGGTTTGGGCTTGGGCGGGGAAGTTGGCACTCTCTCTCTCTCTCTCTCTCTCTCTCTCTCTCCTCTGGCCCTTGAAAAAGGAAGACCTTGGCTCTCTCTGAATACCGAACCTAATCCCCAAACTACGTACTTGAGTGGGTGCGGGGTCTGTCCACCGGCAGGTTTACCGACCGCCTCATTCATCATTGAACCCTTAATCCTAAAACTACACCGACCTCCTCACTCGTCCTCAGGGGCGTTCGTACTCAGATCGGAAGCACAGGCTGCTCGCACTGCCCGCACTGCTGCCGTCCCACCTGGCGAGCAAGCCCCTGGAGCCCTCTGGTCCTCGTTTAGGGTTTAGGGTTTGAAGGCTTAGAATGGGTGCTAGGCCCTTATGAAGGGGCAACTTGGGCGGGGGCGGTTCTTGGGGAGGGAAACGGTGGGGATGCAAGTTGAGGGGTTTTGCATTCTAGAAGTTCGGAAAGTAGGAGTTAAGGGGTTTAAGGTCTCAAGGTTTGGGGGCTCGGCAACCTTAGCCCCGAACTCTTCGCTGATTCCTTCATGAGATGTGCTTGAGGGATTGTGGGGTGTCGATGATTGCGGGTGTAAGAGTTGCAGGAATCCCCAGACCTCCCCTAAAGGGGGCAACCCCAAAAAAGTTCCCGACGACTTTAGGTCTCCAACAACATTGGGCCCCAGATTCTTCGGGGTCGCGTTGCAGGAAGGTTTGGGGTGGGATCCCCGGCGAAGATGAGGACTCCAGCGCCGCTTCAATGATTCAAGCTGGGCACCCCCAAACCCTGGCCGTCCCCCTAGTCTCCAGGCCTCAACACACTACATGTATACAACCTACATTTATTAACATGTGGGAGAATCCTGCTGATAACAATCATGACAACAACAGCATGATGAACGGCTATATCGCATCTGATCACTGAGTTCCAGACCTCCGGCGGCGGTCGGCACATCCTTGGAGTGTGCTGGCGGAGTGCCGGGAGCAGGCGTCGGCAGGGGGGCTGTGTCCACCTCGACGGCCGTGTCCGCATGTGAATTCGTCTCTGGGTCTGGGCCTCCGCTTCGCGGAGTCGCATCGTCTAGGGCCACTTCGGCCGGTCCCGCTGGGCTATCGGAGGGCTCCTGCGCGGTCGTGCCCGCGCAGGCGCCCTCTTGAGCTTCGGGGCTTGGGGCGGCCACGTCTTCCTCCGCCTTCTCCAGCAGGTCCATCAAAGCTCGGCGCCTGGGCGCAACCGGGTTCAAGCCCTCACGAGCGCTTTAGGATTATGTTTAATTGAAACGGGTATGAAGGATTGTGTTGGCAATCTTCAGAGCTTGTGCTTTTGTCCAAGATTTGATCGAGCTCTGGCAGTCTGGGAGCCGCACCAGCTGGAGGGAAGCCGAGATATACCTTCTCAGGCACTGGGCCGACAATTGAACGATTTAGGGTTTGGGGTTTCGGGTTCAGGGGTTCAGGGCGTTCAGGGCGTTTAGGGGTTCAGGGCTTATAGGTGATAGGGCATCTACCCACATCTACGGCGAATCTACGGCATCTACAATTCACTGAATGTCGGGCGGGCGGCGTTGCGCGAGTTCGTCAGGTGAGACCGAATCACCAGAGTCCTGCGTCCGGCTCAGCACATGGCAAGGAAGCTTCAAAACACAACCCCCGCAAAAAACGATTGCTCCTGTAAACAGTAAACCTCTAAACCCTACACCTTCAACTTACTATATCCTGCAGCCGCAACTTACTAAACCCTACACCACAGACTCCCTGCACCCTCAGAGGCTAGCAGTCGTTTTTTATTGGAGGCACCTCTGCTGCTGGCGACGGGTCACCTCGAGACGGATCACAGCAACAAAGCATTGGGTAAGCGGGGCGGCTGAGAGCTGAGGGTTTACGGGGACTCCTATAACAACTACTTCTATGGTGGGGGGGGGGAGGGGGTTATAAGCGGGTCCGCCATTATTTTGGGAAATGCACACTGGGACAAGTTGGTCATTCTTGAAATTGCAACTTGTCTGTGATGCAGGGTATTGTGGGTACTTGTAAAAATATAACAATCCAGGGAGTAACAGGTCGTTGCTCAAATCATTGTGTAACCCTAAGCCCCCACAAGCCCTAAACCTCTTCACTCCCAAACCCCTAAAAGCCCTAAACCCTACCTAAACCCCCCAAAAATATGCCAAACAATGGCCCTTTTATAGGTTTGGGCTATGTTTGTTTGACACACTTTGGGGGTCCAGGCAACCCCTGAAGCACATCCGAAATATGAGGCTCGCACTGACGTCGTCCACCTGTGGTTAAGTGCGCAGGTCAGTCCGACCATGTTTAAAAAATTATATATATACATATATACATATATACATATACACACACACCTATATCTAGACACATATCTTCAATTTGCACGAAACTTCAGTTATGTTTTCAGATTGTGTTTTTCCTGGACCTATATTACAGGCCTTTGTATAATGGTGTAGGCATATTCTATGATTGCCTTGCACTGACTTTCTTATACTACAATAAATGGTACATTCTTCTATCCACAGTTTTTCATATATAAATATATACATATATTTACATATGTATATACATATGGCCTTGAAATATTGTGTACACACATATATATATATATACATATTATTGTACTTGATTCCTGTATCTATGAAACCTTTGCAGCTCTCACGGAAGCATGCGCCAACACTTGCACGAAGATTTTGCGGTGAACCATTATAGCGGTCGCGTCATCGTCAAAATTCTACTCTGATTCTGTGGCCAGCAGGTTGGCAAATCGACCTTCTCACAGCCTCAGATGTGCATCAGCCAAGACGTTGAGGCAACATTGGCCAAGCTTTCTGGGCAATTGCACATGCGAAGCCAGAACCCCTATAAGGGGGTAATGTACCTCACTATTGTACACCCCAAAGTCCGGACTTTGAGGCTCAAGTACTCCCTGTTAAGGCACATGGACTCCCAGGGAGCGCGGAGCCCTGAACCGCTGCCGACAAGAAGCCATCCTTCACTCGGAGTACAGCAGAAGCCCTGCGATCAGAATGACCACAATGGCCAGGAACTCCAGGAAACCTTGGAAAAGCGGAGCTTTTGGAGGCTTCGTCGAAGGTCTACGCTGCGGAGCACTAGAGTCACTAGACCTTAGCCTCCAAATTGTTGACAACCTGAGCGCTAAACCAACCCCAAACCCATCCCCAAAAGGCATTAAGAGCCAAGCGTAGGGAACCCCGGCACCATTACACAAATAACAAATCCCTGACCGTAAGGGTCCATGTACCTAAATAGGTGGGCCTTGAGGCCATTGCTTTATTTGGACTGTGGGGGTCCAGGTATATAGATATAGTAATGGGGTACATGGACCGTTGAGGTATATAAGCCCCGAAGCCCCTTGCCAAAAAAACGACACAGGCAGAGGCGCCCATCCCAATCAGCGTGTACGTGAAAAGGTCCTCCTTCATGGATGGATTCCGAGCCATTCCCACCACCAGACTCGGTTCGGCAGGGAATATCATAGGGCTAAGGTGGTTGCTGAATGTTGCGACTGAGGGTCTTCAGGCTTTAGGGTGTACAAGCTTCATGGCTTTTGGGGCTTATAGGGCCTGTACGGTTCCTAAGATTTATTAGGATAGAGGGTTTACAGGGTGCTGGGCCGATTGAGCTGCCATCAGGAACGATGCGAAACCGTGAGCTGGGACAGGTTACCGGCTTGGGGGTTTGGATTTCGGGTGTTTGGGGGGTTTAGGTTTTAGGGTTAGTCATTACACGCGCGCAGGGACAAGCGAGACGGGTCACAAGCCTTCTGGCCGCAAACGACCTGCTACATCAACATATTGCAGGCGGCTTCCTAAACCCGACACTAAGTGTCATACAGCCTCCAACTTCTGCCCAGAAGCGCCGCGAAGAGTTGTCCGATGCCCTGAGCGCAACCGCCCACCGCAACCTAGGCTGCAACTGGGAGTTTCGTGCTGCGCGCACTAGCTGGAAAGGATTGCCCTCAACGACCCTAAAGCCCCTGAGAGCCGATTCTCAAGAACCAACCCGGCAGCATGTCCTGCAAGGCACGAGGTTTCTGAGAAGCAGAAATCGCAAATCAAGAAACTGTTTCGGCCAGAATGCTATTACCATCTTCTTGGACATTGGACATTTCTGATCATCATCATACAACCGTCGCTTCCTGTTGTTGAACTTTTTGTCCATCATTGGTCTAGCCCACTCGCTGCCCCGAATCGCCGAAGATTCCATATTTGTTTTGGCAGTTGCGACGCTTCACAAACCCTGATCAACCGTACGAAAACCCCAACACCCCTAAAACCGGCGGGCGTGAAGAACCACCCCAAAAACACCCATAACACCCTTGATCCGAAACCCCAAACCCCAAACCATAAACCCTACACCCTCAACCCTCAACCCTAGACCCTAAACCCAAACAACAACGAACGCCCGGCCACCATAGCGATGGCACAGCCCAGCACGGACACTCCGGCGTTGCGCTTGGTCATGGGCTCCCCGAGTCCTGGCTAAGTTTTCGTGACAGCACGTCTTGTTCCAGAAACGCGTCAAACATCCTGTGCACCGTGTTGTGCAAAGAGGCAAGAACGCTGCAAATACCAGTGCTATGGACTTGTTCACAAAAGCCTTCTGCATAATGTTGTGCAAAGAGGCAAGAACGCTGTGAATACCAGTGCTTTGGGGCATTGTCGCCTAAGGAACGGACGTTTCAAAGCACTCATGTACTTGGGTATGGAGTTGAGGGTTCTTCCGGATTTGGGGGATTGGGGAACAGGTACAGTAAATCCTTAACCCCTTTCAACGAGGACTTGGAACAAAGGCCCTTGTTGTCGCAGCTAAGGCTACAAGCCTACACCCTATACACCCTAAACCCATGCATGCTGTCCTGCGGTCTGGACAGCCGTCGAAGTCTGAGAAAGCTGGCCGGGCATTGACTTGGCCTGTGCTTGACGCGTCAATCAGGGCGTGCCCCAAAGCGGGTCCCTAAATGATCGGGGCTCAGGGTACCAAAGTGCCGAGTTGACAGGGGTCCTCACAATTCTTTTGCAATGTGGAGAGAACCCCTACCATGCTTCGGAACCCTCAACCCTAAACCCAACGAGGAAGGCCGAGGGCGTGAAAGTCTGGCTCTTGCCTCAGGGCGCAGCACCGCAAGAAAGCGGGAGCCCGTGGGGAGCGCCTTGCGGAACCGGGGCTTGGGGAGCTTAGGGGTGGCTTGGAGATTTCAGGGGGAGTTTCGGTTAGGGGGGGTTTGGGCGTTTAGGGGGCTTAGGGAGGGTTTTTTTTAGGGTTTCTTGGGGTTCTTAAGGGGTTTAGGAGGGGATTAGGGGGTTTAGGGTTTTTATTGCGGGGCTTGGGAGGTTTTGGGGGGGTTTAGGGGGTTTAGAGGCTTTGGGGGGTTTAGGGTTGCTTTGGCGGGTCTGGCGGGACGACATGGTATTCCCAAAAATTACAGACTCTTTAAACCCTCTACACCCCAAAGCCTGATGCTTTCAGCTTGGTTATAGCAAAGGCTTGCAGGCAAATTCGTCAGGCACCATGGTAAGGACACTGTGAGATTCAGGTTCAGGGGGGTTTGCCAAAAGACACCAAGGTAGTTTCTTTCTGGGCGATAGACGCAAGACACAGGCATGACATGAAGCAGCGCTTGTGCCCTTAGCATAGGGTTTAGGGCTCAGAGTTTGGGGGCTTGGAGTTCCTTGGGGGCCACCTACTTGACCTGTTTCTAAGACCGGGCCTGTCGGAGGATGGACTGAGGGGCGCGGGCGGCGCGGACGGCATGCTGGAGCAGAGCCATTGTGATCTCGGTCCTAGATGGATTCGTCGAGTTCTCCGAGTCTCGGCTGACTTGAACCAATCTCGTCAGCAGCCGGGCATATTGGCACGGCAACTCAGCAGAAACCCTATAAACTCTGACTAATCCTAGACCCTACAAACTCTAAACCCTAAAACCTGCAAACCCTAAACCCTATGTAAACCCGAAGCCCTAGACCCTAACCCACCTAAGCCCTTCTGTGCTTGGGCCCAATGAGAACTTTTGCCCGCAGCCTTAGCCCTGCTCCGGCACCCTCAACTCTCCAACCCCCCCCCCCCCCCCCCAAAAAAAAAAAAAAAACGCACACACACAAAAACCCGCGCAACCCCAACAAAAACGCCTCCCCTAACCTCCAAGTTATGACAGCCATCCATGACCCCTTCCCAAAACAAGGGTCCCCCTTTCTGCAAGAACCCTGAGTAAGGCGCCCAAACCCTCAACCCTCACCCTCAGCCCCGAAGTTTTAGGCCCCAATCCCTAAATCTTACCTAACAAGCTCCGGGCCTGGGCGCGGGGCAGAGGGGGCAGTTGCAGCTCGAGGCTGCAAAGCTCCTCTGCGCCAGACATCGAGCTATGAGGTTTGTAGGGTTTAGAGAGGGCCTGGTATTTAGGATTTAGGGTTTAATTGGTTAGGAGGGTCTAGGGTGGTGTAGAGGCTTACAGAGGGTGCATAGGCTCAGATATCATTATTGGGCGTATACTATACAGGGTTTATGGGGCTTGTGTAGGCTTTCGGGTTTTGGGGAAAGTTTCGGGCTGCACAGGGTTTGCGCGGATTAAAGGGTGTATCGGACAGGTTTTATCGGGCCTATGCGGCGAGCAGGGCTTACAAGGTTCAGGGCTTCAGGACTTTGCGCGACGGCTATGGGGTGTAGGGTGTAGGGAAGGCCTGGGGTCTTTGAAGACTGCATTAGGCTTGTAGGCCATAGTGGCTTTCAGGGTCTGTGGGGCTGAAGGGTCTATACCCTAAACCCTAAACCCTGAATTAATCTCTCTCGCTCTCTCTCTCTCTCTCTCACACCCTTCCCCCCCAAGCTGCCACAAATGCTCCTTCTGCGTCTGGTCCAGAGACGGCTGGGGATGCTTGTCAGCCTGGAAGATAATGGAATCCCGGTGAGCCCCAAATGGGTATTCTACCCTCCTAAAACCTGATGGAACCCGAAACCCTGAAACCCTGAATCCTAAACCCCCCATACCGTCATGCAACCCCTAAACGGCCCTAAACCCGCAAACCCTAGACCCTCCCCCACCCATCAAAGAGAGATGGAGCCCTGGCCTCCAGACATCTCGAGTCTTCGTCAGGCAGCTCTTCCGGAATCTCCTCTTTAGGATGACAACTCGTTTAGGGCTTCGGGCCTAATATTTAGGGACCCAAAGCTTGAACTTTAAACCCTGAACTCCAAACCCTACAAGTTTGGGGATTCGGGGTGGCATCCGCATGGCATGAGTTTCGGCTACCGCCAGGAAGCCCCTCAGAAAATGGACTGGGGGTCAGGGTTTAGGGCAAGTTTCGGGCTTAGGGTTAAGGGTTTTGGGGTTTTTAGAGTTGAGGGGGAGTGTCGGATCGAAGAGCCCAGCTACGGGGCAGAAGGCCTCTGAATCTTGGTGCGGCTCTTCCTCCTCGGTGCTGAGAGGCACCTGCCGGCACTTTGAGGGAGACAAAGACTCCTGGAACCCCTTCAAAAAGCCCTAAAAGCAATCCAAACCGCCCCCACCCCCCCAACCCTAAACCCTACAAACCCTAGACCCCACAAGTTGAGGGTCCGGCTTTTTGCGTCTCCGCCCAGGAGGGAAGGGCCTCGCCACACAGGAAGTCGACTTCACAGGCCTCAGGGGCTTATAGGGTTTAGGGTTTAGGGTTCATGGTTTAGGGTATTGTGGGAACGGAGGAGCGTTAACAATACTACTCGTACTTCTTCCGACCCCTTTACTATAGGGTTTAGGGGTCGAAGGGCTTTGTTGATTGATGGCAGGGGCTGGATGGAGAAGGCTGACCGTGGACCCTCAACCGTAAACCCTAAATCCTACCTCTTGTTTCTTTGGGGGCCGCACGTTCGGGCTATTCTTTCCGGGCTGTTGTCATGAGAGTGTTTCGGGGTGCAGAGTTTTTAGGGTGGGGTGGGGCGTTCAGGGTTTGGAGCTTGCGGGGTTTAGCGGTCGGGATTGAGGCTGCTGCTTGTTATCTTAGTCCCTTACCCCTATACACCCCCCCTCCCCCCCCCCCGCCCCCCAAAGAAAAGGTTGGATCCGGCAGGAAAAAGGGGGTGGGCAGTAGCAAGTGTGTCGCCCCTAGTAGTAGGGGGAAGGACATGCACATCCCAGATGTTTTGCATGCCCATGGAACAAAACCCTAGACCCGAAAGCCTAAACCCCAAAAGGCCCCATTTAAAACGGAGGCCTTGGAGGGAACGCGCTCTCCCGTCGGGCGGATGGCGAAAACCTGGCTCGGTGGGATGGGCAGAACCTTAGATACGAACCCTAACCCTAACCCCCGAACCCTAAACCCTGACAGTTCAGGGCTTCGTAAATTCAGGGAGGTACATCTTTCTTTCTTGCTGCCCTTGGGTATCCAACTTGAAAATACTATTTTAATTCCACTTGTTGGTTTTTTTAAAGGCTGGTTCAAAGTCTGGTTCTCCCCGGGAAGTGGGAATTTGCTACCCTATAGAATCCCATAAGGGTTGTATAGGCGCATATAAAGGCCGCTAACTTCCTACTTCCCCAGGTAGTGGGCAGATTTTCTGGAGGAGGCAAAGGTTCCTGGCAAACCCGAAACCCTAGGCCCTAGACCCTACCTAAACCCCAAAGGCTGAAACCCTAAGGCGGGGTGCCTCGCCACCGATGCCCTTGATCTCCACGGTGGCCTCCTCCCACTGCCTCCTCACGGGGGCTTCCAGGGCTTGAAGTTCGGGGCCTGCTTGGAGGCCGTTTAGGGGTTGTTAGAGCTTTGGGGGTAGAGTTGCGACTTACAGGGCTTTGGGTTCTTAGGGTTTCTGGAGTTTTTTTAGGGTTTCTAGGGTTCATAGGTTTTTGGGTTTGGGGGTCTAGGGCTTCGGGCTCTAGGGTTCTAGGGCTTTAGGGTGTTTAGCTTTATGAGGCACAGGGGTTCTATCCAAATCTGAGCGACCTTTGCTCACAAAACCCTCGCCCACTTTGGCGGTCTTTTGAACCACTGAAGCTCGCCGATGATAAACAAAGAAAGAAGAAGCCCCCTTCGGGTTTAGGACTTAGGGTTTAGAAAGACTATAAGTAGAATCCCCGTATATACCGCGTAAACCAAGCTCCCTTTTGTTGTTTTTTTGCTCCCGGCTTCGTCATGCAAAGACCTTCGCTCGACTCTCTGAGCCTAAACCCTATACACCCTGTAAACCCTATAAATCCTGCAAACCCAAAAAGCCCTTTGAACTTTTGTAAAACCAATTGTAAACCCTCTAAACCCAAGAAGCCTTAACCCTACACACCAGAGGCCGCGGCCATGCGCTGCCAAGGCTTCCGCGAGAGCGTGCGCGAGGAGGGCGGTTTTTGCCTCCCAGCCCTCAAACCTTCAAACCTTCAAGCCTTCAAATTTGAAGCACCTTCGTTTCGGAAGCCCCAGGCACCAAAAAGGTTCACGCCATCAGCCCCTATAATTTAGGGCTTCTTTCCTAAACGCCTACACTGAAAAGCATACTACAAGCTCCGAACTGCAACCCCTGCAGTCCCCATCAGCTCCCAAAACGTCACATCCTTCGACAAGCCCTGCGCAATAGGTAGGTGGATAGATTCGAGTCAGGTAGATAGATACAGATACATGCACCTAAACCCTCGGAGCACTAGACTCTGTAACCCTAAAGCCCGGCACCCTAATCCCCAAACCCTAAACCTCACACGTGGGCCATACGTCCTGCCTGGGGGCGTGGTGCGCTGCGAAGCATTGGCGCCCGAGAAGCAGACGCTGAAACCCTGCTCGCGCCTCCAGGTCCAGGGTTCAAGGGGCTTAGGGTTTAGGGGTTTGGGGTTTCGGGTTTTTAAGATCTCGGGTCGATGGTTTCGGGATTCAGGGGTTTAGGGTCTTAGGGGTTTAGGGGTTTGGGGTTTAGGGTTTTTAAGATCTCGGGTCTATGGTTTCGGGAGTCAGGGGTTTAGGGTCTTAGGGGTTTAGGGTTTTGGGATTGGGATCTAGGGCCTATCTAGGGTCTTAGGAACCTATATACCCGTAACATGCGCTAATGGTTGAGCCTGCTTCCCATCATAAACGGGCATTTCGGCTACTCTAGGACAAGGTGTTCAGGTGGCTTGTGGTTTTGTTTTGTTCGTTTCTTGTTTAGCGTGTTGGCATTTAATTTTGTGCTGAGCTCAATCAGCGGGGGTTAGGGTTAGGGTGTAGGCGATTGGGGCTTTATGTTCCTCAGCAAGCCGCTCAATTGGCATGGGATCAAGCTCGAAAAAGTATATACAGGATATACAGGGTTTAGAAATATACGTAATTGTAAGGTCGAACCCCATGCCCCTTATATTGAAATCACCCAAGAGAGGGACCTATTCAGGGATCTTTTTGGTGTGTTAACCGTGAGGGGTATACGTACTCTGGCCTCAATTTCTCCTGTGAGGTCTCGTCTTGCTGCTGCTGCCGCTGCACATGGTTGCGCTCCTTCTCCCAGGCAGTGTAGGGTTTAGGGTTTAGGGTTCAGGCCTCAAAGAGCCACTGAGCCCCTGGTCATGCGGTTTCGGAGGGTGTGCCAGTAACCAGCAAGTAACCCTAAACCCTGAATCGCCGGTCAGGCGTCCTGGAGGCGCTGCAAGTAGGCGCGGTGCTTCTCTTCGGGGTTGTAGGCCGAAAGGGATCCTGGGATGCACGCTCCGAGGGCTTGTTGCTTAGTTGTCCAGTAGCCTAGGGAACTAAAGGTTAAGCTTTGGGAATAAAAGGATTTGTACTAACCCGAAAAGGTTAAAGGCTACCTACTCTACTACTAAGGTTAGGGTCTGGATGGTCTGGGGCTTGG